ACATGGCGAGAAACTGCGATTTCAATCCATCGTCTGATATCTTCAGGTTTAATAGCTGGGCTATACAAATCAAGACGCAATCTTTCTATGACGGGAGCTCTATGTAACGGTAACTTCCTGTCGATAAAATCCCTAAGTTCAGGCTTTCGAGAAATGAACTCTAGTCTAGGCAACCACATCCAAAGAAACTCCCAACGCTTAGACAAAATGCTAGTGGATACAGCAACTTTTGTAGGAACAAACGATAAAATCTTCACCAGCACATCATCAGGCAATCCAGTGATTCTGTCCATATCTTACCAAATTCAAGTTACTGTTACAGTCCAAAATATACTTGAATCTTGTCTTCCCCTGAAAAAGAAGAGCAAAGCACAAGAAAACAACACCATAAGACTCATAAGGATTCTTCTTAAGCCAAGCAAACGAATTATCAAGCACACAGAGGAACCCTAGAAAAAAAAAACTGAAATTTTCAAAGCTGGAATGAGATAAAACCCTAGAAACTACCAGTGAGTTCGATTCCACTTAGAAAACAGAATCAAAAGATAAATGAGAACCCTAGAAATTAGCACTACATAGCATTTGCTTACAGTGTATAAGAGAAAGTGGGAGATCAGAAGATATCGGAATCGCAGAGAATCGTCTCCATCAAAGTTTCAGAAATGACAAAGCTTTCATCGTCGTCACTCACACTCACACCGGTTCGTGTTTTGGGCCAGAATGGCTTAAACCCATAGTGGGCCTTGGGGTGGGCCAGAAACTCTTTTCGACATGGGGATGAATGGAGGACAATGATTGAAGACAAAATAGTTCATTTGTATTTTATTTTTTTGTGATTTTTTTTTGGTAGTAATTTTATTTTTGTGATTTATAAATGTGAATGTTTTTTTTTCCCTTAAAATTTTTCGATTTTCAAAAAATAATTACTTACCAAAATGATATTTTTAAGAAAAATCTTAATTAAAAAGATAAAAATTCTAAAAAAATCTTTCTAACACCGTTTGGTAAGTTGACTAGACTCATACTAATTCGCTGCGCTGCGAAGCATTGGATCATCGTCTCTTTACTCTTAAGTCTTAGGCGGATGAATAAAACAGTCTTCTTGCTTTTGAATCTCACAGATCTATCGCCATTTTTGCTTCTTCACTCCTCCATTGACTAGGTTAAGCTCTCTCTCTCTCTCTCTCTCTCTATGTTAAATCTCTCAATCTTCAAATTTCTTCGTTTCTCACCATAAATTCTTACTCCTGTTAGAAGATTTGTTGTTCCCGACGAAGCCTTCGTGTCGTTTCATCTCCTTCTTCAAATTTTCCTAAATTTTTATGCTTTAGGTTTCGAATTGAGTAGATTAAGCACTGTTCACTATTTTTGATTTGTAAAATCTTGAACCCTAGTTGTTTTCACAAATTGATTAACAATGGATATGCAATGTAATCTTGAAGTCTTGAACCCTAATTTTCTGGATTTTCATTTGGTTTCTGGGTTGACGAAACGAGCTTGGATTGAAATTAATCGCTATAGGAGCTGAGATTTTTGTTAGATTTGTTAAATTATATTGCTTTGTTGGTTTCTTCATTCTTAGCAATTTACGTTAATCAAATGTTGAATTTTAGTTGATTCTTTGTTGCTTAAGGGATCTGAATCTTGTGTGGCTTGATTCGGATTTGATTTGTTGATTCTTTGCTTTAGGGAACTGAATCTTGTGTGCCTTGTTTTGGATATGATTCTTTTGGTCTTGAATTAATGTTCTATTTAATGTGTATTTTGTTCTCGCATTTCTGATACTGCCGTTTCTTATAACAGGGTATTTTTATGGGTGGTTAGTGAAATTGTTTTGAGGATATAAGCTTTTAATTTTGTTTTAAAATGGAAGCTGAGGATGTGCTTGACCTTGAATCTGGGAATGGGTCACCTGAGGCTAATTCTTTAGTTGGTAATGATGAGAACATGAAAGGAAATTTAGATGTGGAAAAGGATTTGGATTTAACGGAAGAGAATTTGAGAACTGTCGGTGGCGGGGAGTCTGGGGAAATATTAACAGAGCAGGTTAGTGATGTGTTCAATGCGAGTGTGGCGGTAGATGAGAAAGTGGGTATCCAAAAGGAGACACTAGTTCACCGCACCACTTTGGATGTTAGTTGTATCCTTCTTTTGCTCTTCTATATATAAGGTTGCTTGCATTCTCTGACCTTTTCTTTGTGATAAGACATGGCACTTGATCTGTTTCTGTAATTATTTGCTGTTCAGAGTCTCAGACTTGATGTCTGTGATTATGTTATCTTCTTCTGTTTTTTCCGTAATTCCTTATGTCAGCTAAAGCGGGTGTGAAAAGACCCCGAACATCGTTTGACGAACAGCAATCTACAGTCCATGTTACTTATAAGGACTTAACAAGGTTAGATGAAAAAAGAGTCATAACTCAACTGCATGTAATTTTAAGTTGCATGAAATGGTATTTACGTTTGAACTTAAAATTGGAATGCTCAAGCATTTCTGTTATTATGCGATTCCCAGCTTTACCACAATGTTTTAATTGTTAGTGAACTGCATCTTTCAGAGCTAGTAAGCAGAAGCTGGAAAGTTTATTGCGGCAATGGTCAGAATGGGAGGCTGAAAATACGTCCTTGGTTCAGGTATCTCTGAATGGAGAAGGTCATCTTACTCTCTAAAATGTTATTTGTAGCGAAATATAACAGTGACTGTTATCATCTTTCAATATTTGATCAATTTAGATTTTGTTAAGAGAATCCTTATTGTATATCGAGCTGAATAAAACATGATACTAGATTGTTTACCATATAAAGTATCTATTATCATGCATGCTGTAGATCTCCGATATTCTGTCCTTGCTTTAAATAGGTCATAGCCATATTAGTACTGAGATACCGACTATTTGTTGTATGTAAAAGTTTTACTAAGGCATGTTTATCATATTCCCTAATACCGAACTCTTTTAGTTCATATGATAAGATTTCAGACTTTACATGGGGAACTTGTTGTGACTAGGTTTTTATTCGAATAAAATTTTTTGACTTATTATATATGAAACTTTAAGGTAGAATATTTTCATTGGTTGTGTGCTCAGGATCAAGTACAGCCATTAGAATCTGGTGAAGAGACATATTTCCCCGCCTTACGTGTTGGATTGCAGAAGACTTCGTCTGTGGTGAGTGAAAATGTTGTCAGCGCTATTAAAAGTTATTAACTATTCATATCAGATATCTTCATGACATGACAATTGGTGCATTCTTGCATATGCAGTCATTCTGGATCGACAACCAAACTGGTCCTAAGTCGTTGGAAGAGTTTGTTCTAGTGGAAAGTAGCACCACTCCTCTTTATGACCGTAAATTTGCAATTGGTTTAAATTCAGCAGATGGCTCAAGAAACTTGGAAGGGTAAATTGAATCTAAAATTTGTAACAACTTCCACCTGTTTCTTATTTTATCTTCCACAGATCGTGACACATCCTTTAATTCTGCTTTGCTTACATTTGCTGTAGAATAACCTAACAGTGAATGCTATAATGGTCTTGCAATGGGTGCATTCATGTAACAGTTAATGTATTTATTGTTTCAGGGGATTGGAGATTATTGATGATGATCCTCCACGTTGCTTCAATTGTGGTGGCTATAGTCATTCCTTAAGAGAATGTCCAAAGCCTTTTGATCGATCAGCGGTTAATAGTGCTCGGAAGCTTCAGAAATCTAAAAGAAATCAGAGTAGTAGTGGGGCCCGTCTACCATCGAGATATTATCAAAAACCTCAAAGTGGAAAGTATGATGGCTTGAAACCCGGCACACTTGATGCAGAGACACGTCAGCTTCTGAATCTTGGGGTAATTTTGAACCTTTTTCTCTGTATTGTTCTAACAATATGCTGGATTCCATATTTCCTAGATCAGAGAAGTGAGTATTCTAATCAGTTCCTTTCCTCTTGTGAAGGAACTAGATCCTCCTCCATGGCTTAACAGAATGCGTGAGATTGGGTATCCTCCAGGATACTTAGGTAAGCCATTCTGCTCTGTTTTACTATCAGTTTATGTACATCGAAACTATACCAGCTGTTCTCATGCCTTCTGTTGTATCCTGTGGTACGTCTCTAGCTCCAGAAGATGACCATTTGTCTGGAATCACTATATTTGGAGAAGAAGTGGAGACTCGTGAGGAAATAGAGAGTGAGGATGGGGAAATCTTGGAAAAAGCAAACCCTCCAGAGCCACAAATGAAAAAGACAGTCGAGTTTCCGGGAATTAACGCTCCCTTCCCAGAAAACGCAGATGAGTGGCTTTGGGAAGCTGCACCTTCACATAGGAACAGCAGCAGAAGCGGCCGATGGCAACAACAAAGAGCAAGCAGAGGACACGATTACAGAGACGATGGTCAGCTCGGTGTTGAATCATCTAGTTATCCTCCAAGGTATGGCAGTAGATATGATTACGGGTATGGTTCAAACGATTATAGTTCTAGATCAAGAAGTCCGGGCATAGATAGATCTTTATCCGAAAGAAGTAAGAGGGACTATTCTTCTTACGATGCTGATTTCCGGGAAAGAGATAGAGATAGAGACAGGAACAGAGATAGGGACAGAGACAGAGACTGGGATAGGGACAGGGACGATCGTGATTGGTCTTATAGATTAAGCAACAGAAGATAAATTGTGAGATTGTTAGCTATGTATGTGTGTATGTGGAGGTTAGGGTTTCATTTTCTACTTTCTCTCTTTCCCTCTCTCTATGCTGGTTTTGTTGTTGTATCATGTCCATGAAAGTGGAAGCTTTTTTCTAGTTATCAGACTTTGGCTTTTGAAGCTTAAGGTTTTACTATTTTGGGTATGTCTTCACCTCTTAAAATGGAAAGTTAGTTACTCATGTTTCTTAATACAGACTATACAGTAGATGTTTGGAAATGTTACACAAAGATACATGAGAGATTATTTGTTACGCAATCATTTTCGATGCGTTGATTGACACAAAAATCTACAAAAGAAAACAAAAAAAAAACCCTAAAATGTCTTCATTGAAAACGATTTAGAAAGATAGAGATGTGACAGAAGAAGAGAGCATATTGATTATACAAAGAGCAATCTGGCCCAATTTAAACAACTTGTAATTCTCACCACCAATTGGAGACGTCCATGTCATCACACCACCACCGCCGTCACCGTCTCTCTCCCTAAACCCATCCTCACACGTCACGGCGGATTCCATGGCGGCGGTAACCATCACATTCACCGTCCCTAACTCTTTCCTTGCAATAAAAACTCTTACTGCCTCCTCCAATCTATCCGCAGCGTCCTCGTAAAGCTCGAGGCAGTCACGAAGGCAAGCACCGCGGAAACCACCGTCGTCCTCGCTTATCAGAAGCTGTTGAATGGTGGAAGCTGTTGCGGTGGCGTTGTCGAGAGCTTGAAGCATTGGAACTAGGGCAAGAGAAGAAAGATTGGTCGGAGAAGGAAGATCGATTGGTGAGTTGTTGAGAGAGGAGACACAGAAGTTGTAATCGAAGATCGTGGATTTCGCTGCGCAAGATTTGCAGGTTTGTTCGATCATATCGGACGTTGAGTTTACTTGTGAGACAAGGAAGAATAAGAAGATAATGTAGAAAACTTGAGAGAGCTTCATTGTTTTTTTAGTTATGAGATTCTTCTTAATTCTTTTGTTTGGTTATATATATAGAGAGAGATGAATGTGTACGTACGACGTCGTTTTTGTGTTGTGGGAATATTTGACTATGTAAGAACGTTGAGTAAAGTGTCATCAACAATGGGTTTCACTTGCTTCTACTCTAATACAAATGTACTGCTCAAGCAATTGTTTCGGTATTATGAGATCATTCTGCGTTAAATGTAAATTAGAAGAAAATTAAAGAAGTTGTCAAATGTCATTATTGCATGGACAATCACTTTTGAAAAATGATTGCAAATTCAAAGTGAGAAATTTGCTTCAAATTTTATTTTTTGGGTTAATTAAGTTTCACTTCGAAGATAATACCGTTCTTTACGTTAACATATTTTCAAAAGATTTTTATTATTACCAGAAAAAAGTCAAAGAAAAAAATTATTACTAAATTACCAGAAAAAATTACCTGCAGTAGACTTGTTTTTTGATTTTCTAGCAGCTTCCCTAGCTTTTTTTAGCTTCATCCCGCTCCTTCACCAGTTAGAGCATTTCTTGCTTCACCGATCTCGTTGATAGCTTCCGTCATCTTTTTATCATCCTTTGAAACCTCAAGGAAATGTGCTCCTGTTTTCTTGAGGGCGTATGTAATCCAGCCATCAACAATTTCATTGAGCTTTGTTAACTGAGACTCGTTCACTGTTCTTCCTCTGAGAAGTGAGATCTTTTCCTCAAGCAAAGAGGCCTCAAACTCACCCATCTGCTTGGAATTTTCTTCAAATAGGATTTTTCCATACTTGAGCTTGAAGGAATACTTACCCACAGCAACAGAATAAGAATCAAAAAACTCTATAACAATCTTGCCATGCCGAGGAAAACTCTCCTGGATTTCTGTAGCTCCCACCCAGCTCAACTTCCCCCAACTGTCGGACAAACGAAAGGTTGGGCTTTTGGAATGATGATTCCAAGAAGTGATGGTTTTGTGGATTGAGGTGAGGAAAAGCTTGAAAACTTTGGCTCTTTCCATTTTTCTCTCAAGATTTGTTCTCTGAAATTTTTTGCTTTTAGAATTGTGATGTGAAAGAGTTGAGATTGCTTTTAGAATTCTCCATTTCAAATATACATATAAACTTAATATTTCTTTTGTTCCGATTTAGAAAATCTCTAATGGTAATTGCTTTGTTTTTTTTTTGTTTCCAACTAATTGTGAGCAATTTGATTTTCAATTTTTAACAGATTTAATAGAAAATGGTTGAACAACAACGAAATCGACAAGCTCCTCAAGAATCTACATTACTTAGACAATATGTTAATGCTCAAAGTGAGTTTGGAAACGGTTTATTAGTTGTTTAGTTTTTTTAGTTCAAACTTATTTGATAGGTTTGATAGGTTCCAACTCTCAAACTCATGTACATAACAACACAAAACTAGTACACATATACATTATGTCTTGATTACCTTTATCTTGATTATCTTTGTTTTGATTAAGAAAAAGATAAAGAATCATTTAGTTAACTTATTTTCCTATATTGAAATGAACTTACAATTTAACTAAGGAAAAACTACATTATTCCTATTATCTATGTCATTGTTTATATCTTTTGTTCCTCCAATGTTAATGCTATTCGATCATTTTGTACGAAAAAAATAAAATTAAAAATTCTCATATATTTTTGTTCACTACAAAAATACACAAATTTTGTCATAGAAAGATTTAAAAAACAAACTTTTTTACTTCTATGATACATACATCCCATAGTTACTCAAAACAAAAATTATATTTATTAATTGATATTTCACCCAAGTTCATAATTAAGGTATCATGTATTTGACTTTGGCAGTGAAGATCTTAAAAAATGTGTATTTCTATGAGATATTATATGAAATATTGAAAATCTTCAAAAAAATATCTTCCTATAATTCTTCATGCATCCATTTTTTTCATTTATTTGTGCATCTTCTACTTAATATTTCTCTTAGGTATTGTTTCCTCATACATATTCTTGGAGTGGAATTCGCACCTTCGAATCCACCTACGTAAACATTAATTGGGCACTTAGATTTGTACTAGGCCCTTCAGCCCACGAAGAAGAAATGCGCAACTAGCAGCAGATCAAGAACAAGTCAAAAGGGAATTTTGGAACGGATCTGAAATATAGGAGCAGTTGGCGCGGACCTCGGACCAAATGACCTAGTGAAGACCTATATAAAGAGTGAGGATGACGTGGAGAAGAGGATGATAGCCTACCTGCTATAAACACCTAACACTTTACATACTTGTATTGACAGAATATCTCATGTACTCACTCAATTATCATCAATAAAATGCATTCGTTCTTAAGAATTAAATTCTCAGAGTTTCATTGAAGATCTAGCCCTTTTTCTCATAAAACCTAACTACAAATCTCGAGTGTGGATTTTAACATCCACACATATGAAAACAAACATGGATGACTTACATCATCGTCGACAAGTCATGACATAGTTGTTTGGCAAGTTGTTCATATTACTTACGTCAACGTAGACAAGTTTGTAAAGAATAAATATTGCATTAGCCTACAAAGAGAAAAATGGACATTTGAAAGATTGATCACTAAAGAAACATTCAGAAAGAAATATAAAGTATAATTTATATATTTTTACCGTGTTTATACCGGCGCTCAAATGTATACTTTTCAACAGTAACATAAGTAATGTGAATCTCAATCTCATGGACTCTACGGAAAGTCGTGGTCATGCTCTCTTTTTGTTGGTCGTAAGAGAAAAAATATTCGCTTGAACTATCTATTTGTTGTATGCGGTCCAAACAAGTTGATCTGTCTTAGTCCTAAAAAAAGTTTATGATCAATCCGTTTGATTCTCCCTATACATGAAGGCATATTGTAGATTTATTTTTTTATTTTTTATAGTGAAAAATCAAACTGTAAAAAGTGGCCATTTAAAAGATATTTTTTTTTAACACGAAAAAAAAAGTATATATTCCTAAAATTAAAAAATATAATAATGTTTCGGGCAAATCGCTCTGGTTGACTTCAAAGTCGAGTAATTGTAATAATCCTGCATCGCCGATCTAAAACAGAGCCGGTGGTTTCTTCTTCATTCAGAAATCCCCAAAATTCGACTAAAAACTACAACCCTAACCCTAATTCATCCTGATTTTGATCGCCGTGTAAGTATAATCGACTCTCATTTCTGGGCATAAGATGGTGGTTCCGGTACTGGGTGGGTTTCCGATCTTCATGGTAGTGAGAGTTTTGGGTTTCATCATCGCGGCTTTGGTTTTGACATGGACTGTTCATTACAGAGGAGGCTTAGCTCTTTCTTCTGATAACAAAGATCACATCTTTAATGTAATTCTCTTTCGATTGTTGTTCTTGTTGCTGTGGTCTGAGATTCATCTTTCTTGATTGTGTTGAGATATTGAAATTTGGATTTTACTTTTCTGTGTGTGATTACAAGTTGTGATCTTGGGATGTATAATGATGTATCTGATGATGTCAAATATCTTTGTTTGTAGGTTCATCCAGTGATGATGGTGATTGGACTCATTCTCTTCAATGGAGAAGGTAAGCAAATAATCTCCTACACATGTTTCCTTATGTTTTAGATATATTTGTTACTTATGAGGACGTTGACATTATTGATTTGTGTTTCTTTTCTTGAGGATGTTTTGTTAGCGACTTAGCGTTTGTAGGAGTTTAGCGTCTTAACTTCATATCATAGACTTGAAATTGTAGTATGTCCCATTCATCCGTCTGGCGACTATTCTAATGTCAAGAGGTTCAGTATTCATTGAATTGGGTTTCATGTTCGATTACCGCATTCTTCATCTGGACTGTGATGTTCTTCAAATTGCCTTTTTCTAACATTTGAATAGATTGATATTATTTGTCAAGAGGTTGAGGATTCATAGTATCAGTTTTCTTCTTTAATTACCGCATTCTTGATTCGTCAAAGAGACCATGGACATGTTATGTGGGCTTTTCAGTTTTTCGTTTCTAACATGTTGGGTACCTTCAACTTATGCAGCAATGTTAGCATATAAGTCAGTTCAAGGTACAAAGAACTTGAAGAAATTGGTTCATCTTACGCTTCAACTCACAGCATTTATTCTAAGCTTGATCGGAGTATGGGCGGCTCTCAAGTTCCACATTGACAAAGGGATCGAAAATTTCTACAGTCTCCATTCGTGGCTCGGCCTTGCTTGCCTCTTTCTCTTTGCATTCCAGGTACACCCTCTTCTGACTTCTCTTAAAATAACAATCTCCATTACTCGTAAGATAAATCAAGAACTCAAATCTATTGTTACAAACAGTGGGCTGCAGGGTTTGTGACTTATTGGTACCCGGGCGGTTCAAGAAACAGCCGAGCTAGTTTGATGCCATGGCATGTATTCTTAGGGATTTACATATATGCATTGGCGTTAGTGACTGCAACCACAGGGATACTTGAGAAGGTGACGTTCCTGCAAGTGAATCAGGTGATAACTCGGTATTCCACAGAGGCAATGTTAGTCAACACAATGGGCGTTCTAATTCTTATTCTTGGCGGTTTTGTGATACTCGGTGTGGTTACTCCGGTCAATGGCAAGGATCATGTTCTCACACAATAGAGTAAAACCTCGAAAAGATCTCTTTTAACATTTCGACCTATGGAAACATTGTTTATTTAAAAGACCATTTGTGATGTAATTGAGTTTTGTTGAAGTGATTTTTCGAGCAGTGCATACTCTATTGTATTACAAATAACGCATGAGAACACATGTCGGCCCATGGTGAAGACTGAACCAAAAAAAAATTGGCATAGAATCTGAGAAAGATTTGTATCAACCTCTATGAGAAGGGAGAGTAAGAGAAGCCTCACTCATACATCACAGACAAAGAAAAACATCACCGATATCGATAAAATCTTCCCGGAGAGGCGGATGATGAATCGCACTCTTCACAGAGTCAAAAGTTTCTAAAAACATGTCAAGGCCAAAAAAAATGAATCCGGTACTCAGGAAAAGAAGCGAATGAGGGAGGCAGTGCCGGTAGTTATTCTATGCGGGTTGTGACGAGAAGAGCCTGAGCTAGAGGAAGGGGTTGGAGAAGAAGAGCTTTCGCAAAAATGAGCTTTGCTTAGACAAGCAAGTGTTCTTTCTGATATTCTCTCACGATGACAGGCACGCTTGTGGGAGGTACCTGAATAAGGAAACATGGTCAGTGTTTAATAGTTTCAGATTCTGAATGAGTGGAGAAACTGTGTTGCTATGTTTTTAAGAGACGATATCTTACCATGCCATAATCTGTGATTATCATGGAAATGTAATCTGAAGGTGTAGCATCATACCTGTCATTAGAAAAATCAAAAACGGATTTAGTGGCAGAGAAGAATAGAATTCAGAGAACATAGTTTCACTTCTCCGATTAACACAAGCTTACATCAAGTTCAAAAACTGCAGGTTTGCGTTGTTGGTCAAGCCATCTAAGTAGTTTATGTCTTCTCTTCCATGAACTTTTGAAATAGCATTTGGATCACCTATAGGAAAAAAAGCAAGAAATCCAATGTAAGGTAAAACAAAATCAAAGGCGGTATAAGATATTGATATCGAGAGAATATATTGCATACCGAGTTCATTGGAGCATATTGAATCCAATTGCACCCTCTCATGGAACTTGTAGGCTTCGCAACATACAAGCACAGGAACACGGAATGCATTTGCAACCATTGCAACACAAGCAGTCCCAACCCTTGAGTAAACTGTTCCGTTAGACAAAACTGATGAGGCGCCCAAAAACACTTTGGTGACTTCGTGCATGATATATGAAATGGCATTTATATGAGTGTATGTACAGTTAATGCCTCGTTTGATCAATCTACGAAGCAGTAGCTGCCCTTCAAGCTTTGGACGAGAATCCACCACCAAGACACGAAACTTTTTCCTGAGTTCATGTGCATGTAATAATACCATCTCAACAGCCGTGGGAGATCCATAGGTCAGAAGGACATCACCGTCTCTGATTTTAGTAACAGCATGTTTGACTATCACCGTATCTGCCCCTATGATCTTATCGTTAATGAACCGTTCAATATCTGACTGAAGAGCAGCTTTTGCTTCAGATTCAGAAAGTGTTATAGGCAGCTTTGCAATCCTATTTTTCACAAATCGGATTGCGTTTCCCATGCTAATCGAAAGCGGACGGCATTCTATGAGGAAAGAGACATAGCTACTTATTTTCGCAGTCATGTCCCTGTTAAGAGACTTCTCAGGCGGTGTCGAATAATCTTTGACAACCTCTTGGAATGCTTGGAGCATCGCAATACACCTGGCATTGCCACCAGAGATATCCCCAGAAAGATATTGAAGACCAACCTGATAACCACAACAACTGATACTCATTCAGTACACAAGTAACATTCATCTTAATGAAGCAATAGCAACCAATCATTAGAACTACCGGTTCCTTGTTTTCACAAAGAGATTATTAAAAGTATATTACAAGTACCAACCAAATAAATTCAGAAGAGAAAAAAAATACCTTGTACACAGCAGGATGCATAGGGTCAAGTTGGAAGAACTTAGTCTCGAGATCAGGAAGTTGAGTGCCATGCTCATACTGAGGCAAATGCCTAAATAGCTCAACCCTGTTTTTAGCCTCGGTCTGTTTCACAACAGCACGTCTTTTGGCTTTCACGACTCTACTCTCATCATCATACTGCATACGGGGATGAGGAGCATCTTTCTTTCTATCTTTCTCAGATGGACCTCCCTTCTTCTCAGCTGCGCCAGCAGCAACAGCAACATCGTTCTTCTGAGATGTAGCCTTCCCAGGTTTAGCAGCTTTAACACTTGTTGAAGCCACCGAGGCTGCGTTCACTGGTGCCACCTTCCCACCATCAGCTGATATATCACAGTATTACACAGACTGATCAAGATATTGCAAAATGCACAACAGAGCAACCAGCAGCAAAATACATCCGTGTAAACATTCTCTGCGATAAAATCACACAATGGTATAATTCATAAAAATGCACCTTTTGCAGCAGCTTTAGCAGCTCTTTGAGCTTCTTGAATAGCTCGTCTCTCAGCTTTTGTGGTTTTCTCTTTCAATGGTTTCTTCTGGTCACTCTGCACCTCCATTCCACTAGCCTTCTCTGCAATTAAACAACATTGTGAATCCATTAGCCTTCAATATCCTAAAGAACCAAATTCCAAATCAATCAAGATTTTATGATTACGAGATCAGTTACCTGAAAGTCCTGGAGGCATGGTAACAACAGAGACAGTGGTTAATCCACTAGCAGGAACACTACTAGATTTAGCCGCAGCCATAGAATCCATCCCAATACCAGGAAGCGAAGAAGCAACAGGAACAGAAGATTTTACAAAACTACCCCTGGAATGGCGTCCAGGAGATGCCGTCGTTGATCCGTCAGGGAAATCACGGCGACTGGAGTAAGAAAACGAAGAAGGAGATACGGCTGACGCAGCAGCACCAGCGGCGGCGGCGCGGAGAGGGAAAGTATCAGAGGAATTGTGAAGAGGAGGAGGAATCATGACGGGGGAGAGTGAGTTACCGGAAGGAGAAATGGTGGAAAGTGGTGGAGAAGAAGCGGAGGTGGAGGAGATCGGGTCGGGTTGTTGTTGAGTAGATGATGAATCGGGTTGAGATGATGTGAAGAAACCGACTTGTCGGACCTTTGGATCCACTACGGCGCGAGGGTTCCGTCGAGACTCCATCGCGTCGGAGAAGAAGAAGATTTGGAATTTTTATTATTAGCAAATTTTGGTTTTGGGGATCGAATTTATTTTTTGTTTTCCCAGACGAATAAAAACGGAGCATAGGGTTTTTTTTTTTTTTTTTATATATATATTAATTTACATGATAATTTATTTTTATTTTCAGATTTATCCGATGTTGGCAGTCCAGTCCTAGTCACTAACAGTCTTCCTTTGTTCTTTTGTTTTTGTTTGTTTAGTATTTAATCCATTTGCAATTTGTTTATGCAACAAAATCTAGCATCCAAAGTTTGGTGTCATTAACATATTAATTAAATAGGAGCATAATCGGTTATGCGTTTTAGGTAAGTCCTTATTCAAATCTAACTAAGTAACTCCAAATGTAAATTGAGAGAGATGAGAACTGAAACACATTTCATCATGTTCAGAGCAAGGAGATGCAGAATAGAGAAAAGTTCAAACAAGTAGATTCTTTTAAGACGGGTGGAAATTCATAACATGATCTTACTCAGATTGAGGATTTTAAAGCATATGAGACCTGAAGATGGAAATACTTTGATGGTGAGACTAAAGATTGTTTTGACCCTACATGAAACTTGGGGGAACTGGGCCTTTGGAGAGACCAAGCCGAACTTCCATCCCGTGGTGAAAGTCTACTGGTTTGAGCGTCTCGGATTCACGAGGATCTGCAATTTAAATACTATTATCAGAATAACCGAAAATATGATGAAAACTAAGAAAATAAACAAGTTTAACACTTCTTGTTATATAGATACTAAACAGAGAGTTCAGTTTCCCGCAAAAACTGACGATGGTTATAGTTATACACAAAGCATGCATAATGATTAGAAGTAAACAACTCTATTGGTGTTTTGGTGTCGAACAATCTAACCAGCAAATGAAGTTTGTAAGGCTTAACGAAATGGAATAGAGCCATAGAACAATTACCATTCAAGTAATCCTCAAAACCAAAGTCATCTATAGCTCCTGTGTAGACTTCAAGGCCAAGCATTGACGACGGAATTGGTCCAGGAGGTCTCTGAAACCTAAATTCTCCAGAGAAAAGGATAAATGTTCAATTCACCAAAGGAAGATGAGGCTGCTTTATGTGTATACAGTCTACAAATCTATGAGTATCCACTACGCATTTATGGTTCTGAATTCGGATATAATCATTATGATGATTCATATACACATTTCTACAGAAAATCTTTCAAAATTCAGAACAGCAATTGATTTAATCAATATAGATTACTAGCACTAGGAAACCATATTTCAATCTTAAAACAGTATTCTATAGAACCAAAGGAAGATTCATATACATTCTCATATCTAATAATTACAGTGTACTTCAGAGAATTTCATCTATAATGCTACTGATTTAATAAGATCCATACCTGGAAAGGATTTGCCTATCAAGATCCATCTTCAAAGGAAGAGCAGCTCCATAAGTATGCGTAATCACTTTCCTCTTCATTTCTTCTTGTGTTTTCTTTCCCTGAAATCACAATAAACAATTTTATAGAAAGAAAACAAAAACCATAATTTCAGAAACGCCGTAAAATCCCAATTCTCCAATTTCTTGAATCAACGACGAAGCTCGTTAATCAATACACACTAAGTTGATTACTTAGCCTAATTTGTCTTCCTCGATATTAAGCAAAGAAAAAAAGAGATTGTGAATTGATTTGATTACAGATTCGTAGGCAGATTCGAGAGGGTGAGATCCAATGATATCGCTCTTAACACCGTGAAGTCCGAAGCGAAGAGCATCGTTCTTCATACCTCCGATCTCATGAGCTATCTTCTTCTCCGAATCCATTTCTCCTCTTCGATTTTTTTTCCTCCGCCGTTCTAGTTTTTAACTTTCTCGGCGACTTTCTGGACAAGCAAGCAAAGCAAAATCAGAGAAAGAAGAAGGAACTAATAGAATGATTTTAAGTAAAGCTCAAAACCTAAGGCCCATTTAGACTTTCTTTCTTACTCTGGCATACTTTTAAGCCCATTTAACTCGACTGAAAATTGGTTGGACTAGTAATTTTTTACCGCTCTGATAACAGAATAGTTAAATTACTAGTGGGGTAAATCCATTTATAGATTATACCACTTTTATTTATCATTCATAAATTATAACCTCTTAAATGGTGCAGATGGAGAAAAATAGAAGAAATTTGATACTGATCAAACTATGGAACGTTTTTACATAGATAAAAATTTAGTTCACAGCGGATTGTTGTCCGTCCAAAAATAAAGTGGTCTAGTCTGCTAATGGTTTAGTCCGCTCGGCCCGCAACATCCATTCAAACTTTGTGCGGATGTGGAGAATGGTATACATGTAATTTGGTTCAATGAAACAGTGAGACATAAATCCAAAGAAAAAATTTCAATTGTCTCGTATCGTTGTTGTCCACGAACACAAAACTAATAGACAGTGTAAAACGAGTTCGTACAATGCGAGGAAACTCTAAACAAATCTGGTGGACGTTAGGTAAGGCTGGTTACAATTGCGATTGCTGTAAGTAGTATGAACATTTTATACATAGGATGATTATATAGAATTGATATACAAGACCAAAATTACAAAATAACATTTTACTGAAAACATCGCCGTATACATGATTGTCTATGTTCAAGAGGTAGAAGATACAGAGTTTGTGGAGAGGTTGGAAATCAGTCTTACTTCATAGAGATTCTCACTTTCTCCTTTACCTTCAAAGCATAACAACGAAAGACAATTTTTTATGATTCAGAAATAAATTTAGGAACAAGCAAATCAAAAACATGAATCGTAAAACTACTTACCAACTTCTGCAGTGATGTCTGGTCCAAAGAAGGATGTGAATTTCCCCTATCAAAACAAGATTTTTATGCTTAGTTTCAGCTTTATGTTTTTCTACTTCTTAGAAATGACATTTGATGAAACCAACGCTAATTAAGCTATATTCTTACGCGCCAAGCGGATTAGTGTGTAGCTTGTTAGTTTATGAATCTAAATCTTACCTGTCTTTTTTCATAATCTGACAACGTCAAAGCTTTGGCCTCAAATACAAGGACCAGACAGTAACGACCATCGGTCAGGACCTACAGAGTAAGTTTAGTTTCACCAGTCAATATCCATGTCATAAGCAAGTAAAAAATGAGTTCTATATTTTGATGATTCATATAATAATATGATGTAAAGTCATGCACATGAAGAGATTTACCTCCTCCCTTATCAGCTGTAAGATAGGTGCACTACGTCTTGGGATTCCTCCTCCCTTATGATCAAAACAGTCGGAAGAAAGAGGGGTTAAAGCAAAAGTACAAAAAGCGTGTTGTGAGCTTCATTTTGTTTCAATAAGATAGCTTACCAGTCCATATTGAAAGATTCGTTTTAGTGCTTCTTCCAAATGTTGTTCATCTCCATAACGGTATCTCGTGACATCATTTCTAACCTAATAAAAGAAAGAAGAAGCCCGGTGCATTAACAATTCACGAGAGGTTAGTTTAAAATCCTATCTGCACCGACAAGACTACAATGTCATGCCATATAGGCATAAAGGAAACTAAACTGAACTTTTGTGTAAGCAAGTGAGCATACTACACTGAAATCAAGCTAGCATTTAGATTGAATTTCCAAATACTAATGGCGAAAACTAGTAACACCCCTTCCTCTAATCAGAAACATAAATGTGTTTTAGGAAATTAAGGTAACAGATACGAGCTGAAGAAATTTATCTACAATTATTATGAAGGTACTCCGGTAAGTATCAAGAACAACCAGAACTACTAAGTACCTGCGTTAAAATAGGAGTAGCGCAGCTTTCTCTAAGCTTTACAGCATCTGAGTAGCTCAAGCAAGGAACGGGTTTGAGTTCTGCATACTGCAAAAGAACAAAAAATATCCTCAGGGAGTAAAACAATAAGGCGTTCCAAAAAAAACAATGAAGAAATGAAGAACTCTAGTACAGAAGTCAAATCTCTCCGTACTGTTAGAGATATCCAAAAATATTCCACTCTCTAAGAGACAGGCGAGTCAGAAAGATAACTGGAGAGCAATGCAAACACAAGAGATAGCAGACCTTAAGAGCCATTCCGATAATAGCAAGGGGAAATCCATATGTTAGCATTATAGCAGACCACTCAGATCCAGGAAGGATATTAAAATAAGCCCCAAAACCATACCTGTAGGATTTTAACACATCCATAATGTTAAAACTCACATATAACTCTCTCTAGCAACAAAGAAGGCATGGAAAAAACTCACGAGAGTAGCGAAACCCCGAGACCTAGCCCAATAACACCAAATGAAATCTGCAATCCAAAAAACATATGGAAAACTTCTCATTGTGAAAATTGTTCCAACACATTCTAAACCAAACTAGGATCTTGGTTTCGTAGTAACGAGAAACCGTATACTGTACCATTCTACTGAGGTTTTAACAGAAACAAAACAACAAATTTGATAGCAATGAGATAAGTTTCCTTGAATTTTCATCAGAATCTATGAATTGCATTTGCATACATCAAATCCTTCCTAATTCTCAATTTCAGACCACTGAATCGAAATTCAGTGGAATTAGGAACCTACCTACTTCACTAATTGCTCGATTATATAATCACATTAACACAATTGATTTGAAGAAACTCTTAAATTATATAACCTTGGCTAAAGTGAATTCATCATCAGGGATTAGGGTTCTATCACCGGAAGCTACTGATGGAGAAGAGCTCGTGGAATCAGCAGCTCTTACAATGAAATCGAGCTTTAGAATCTCTCTTTTCAACAACCTCGTCTCAGGAACGTAAAGCCATCTCTGCTTTGGCATTAGAGACGGTTGTGAAGACGAAACGACGGGTAGATTCTCATGACGACGATTGTATAAACTGTGGCGACGGAGATTGGAGAATAAGACGGTGGTTCCCGGAGCTGCCGATATGGATCCCATTTTCTTCCTCTTCTCTTCTCTCTCTCTGTGTATCTTTGTGCGAGTAATGTGAGGCTGAGGTAAAGTCTGTATCAGCCGCCAAAATTCTGGCCACGGTTTACCTATTCTAAATTCGGTTTATGAAAAACCGGTCTACAGTTAAAACCAATTGACATTTTGGTTCGGTTTCTATTGAATAGTTCAGGCAATTTGAATATTCGGTTCGGTATCGAGTCTGTATTTTCTGTATTCGGTATTTTAAAAAGATATTGGCTATGAATGGTTGTGAGTTTTTAAATGGTTTTTAGATTATAGTTTTTGGTTTTTAAATTTTAGTTTTTGATTTTTGTGTTTTTTGTTTTTGTAACAGATTTTAGTTTTCGTAAAACTTGAATGGTGATTTTAGTTTTTGGTTGTTTTTTTTTTAAAATTATAAAGATAGAAAAGAAAAAGAAAATTTTCGTGGGTTTTTTCTTAAAATCTCAAATTATGTGGATTCTAGTTTTTGTTAAAAATCGTAAAGAAAAGGTATAAACTGGTTTTCTTATTTTTTAGAGAATCTATTTTGTTTAAAATCTTCAATGGAGAAAAAATGGGTTTTTGAAAAACAAAATCCAAAAACTATTATAGAATCTACTACCATTTAAGGTTTGAGTTTTGTTTTCATTTGAGTCAATTTTGGTTATAGGTTATAGGTTTAAAATCTACTACCATTCAAGGTTTGAGTTTTGTTTTCATTTGAGTCAATTTTGGTTCGGTTTCAATTCTCTCTTTGGTTCGGTTTCAATTCCTCTCTGTTTAGTTCGGTTTCGGTTTGGTCTACAGGAATTTTTAGTATTATTTGAAATTAGAATTTACCAAATTAAATTCGACATGAAAATAGCTTGGGTAATTAAATTTGGATTTTATCTGATTTATGTAGGAGTGAAAAACCAATGCCATAATAAAAATGATCAAAATTTTAACCGGTTTATACCTTAACCAAAACCGGTTTAGTCCCAATCCTTGAAGTTCTCTGCAAGTTGGAGAAGTGAAAGAAATCGAGAGGTTGTTTTATCAACTGCGATTTCGTCTCAGATATTTATGTCAATGTCGTCCAGGCCAAAGAAGAAGCGGTACACGATGCCGCCGCAATCGAACCCGAATCCGTCACTTCCCGATGATTTGATATTGAGCTGCGTCGCACGGGTCTCAAGATTGTACTATCCGACTCTCTCCCTCGTCTCCAAGAGCTTTCGATCTCACATAGCTTCACCAGAGCTTTACAAGACCCGATCACTCTTGGACCGAACCGAGAGTTGTCTCTATGTGTGCTTAAAGTTAAATCCTTTTGATGAGAACCCTAGGTGGTTTACTCTCTGCCGGAAACATAATCGAACCCTAAAGTCAAGTGGGTATGTTTTGGCTACAGTCCCAATTCCACATTCTCCTCTTGAGTCATCTTCTTCGAGTCTTGTGGCGGTTTGTTCTAATATCTACAATATTGGCGGATCTGAATCTCCTTCCTCTAGTGTCTCGATTCTGGATTGCACGTCTAACATGTGGCGCGAGGGCCCTAGCTTGCGGGTTAAGCTAATGTCATGTGCTGCTTGCGTTCTTGATGGAAAGATTTATGTATTAGGAAGCTGCGAAGATGACGATTCCACGACGTTCCAAGTGTTTGACACAAATACACAAACTTGGGATCTTGAGCCCATCCCTTGCAGCGAGACAAAACACGACTTTCACTACAAAATCGTATGGTTTGACGGAAAGTTACACATGGTGAGTAACAAAGGTGTGGATGCTTACAATACCAAGGAAGGTAGATGGGACGTGGTTGAACCAAGCAGAGAACATTATAAGTATTTATATGATTCTTATTGCAAAATAGGGAATGTTTGGTACTCTGTTTTAAAAGGACGGTTCTCAAAGTTCATATGGTATAACACTGAGCAAAGAGTGTGGAGAGAACTGAAGGGTATGGAAGGATTACCTAAGTTTCCTTTTGATGCTTGTGTTAGATTGGCTGATTATGGTGGGAAGATGGTGGTTTTGTGGGATATGTATGTTCTTGGCGGAAAGAAGATGATTTGGTGTGCGGAGATTGCACTTGAAAGACGCGGAAGTTTGGAAATTTGGGGGGAAGTTGAATGGTTTGATCATATGCTTACAGTCCCTGGACGTTATATATGAATTCGTCAAGGTTCTTTCTGCTACTGTTTGATGAATGTCTCACAAGGCTTGATACTATGCTAGTATGATTTTGTCCCTTGTTTTACTTCTAGTTATTCGATGTCACTTATTGGTTGATAAGAATATTTTTTTACTAACATTACAAATTTGAAAGTTCGAAAGTGTGCAAAGAAATTGTGACGCTGAAATATCCGAAAGTATGTATATAGATGTGATTTGAGATCGATAAGCAATCTTAACCACTGTATATGTATCCTCATGAAACTCTTTATCTGGTTATCTAGTATTGAAAACTAATATCTTTATTAACCCAACAATTATCAAAACTTTAACCGGTTCTCACCTTAACCAAAGGCATGAACCGGCATAAAGATTAACCCTAAATTTGTTCTCTCCAAGTTCGAGAAGAAGTTGATCAACAGCGATTTTCGTCTCTTAAACTCCGTCAATGTCGTCCCCGGAAAAGCTGTCGCCGGCGCCGGAATCGAACTCAAATCCGTCACTTCCCGATGCTCTGCTAATAAGCTGTATCGCACGCATCTCAAGATTGTATTATCCGACTCTCTCCCTTGTCTCCAAGAGCTTTCGATCTCTCCTAGCTTCACCGGAGCTTTACAAGGCCCGATTACTCTTGGACCGCACCGAGAATTGTCTCTATGTATGCTTAAAGCTAAGTCCTTCTGAGAACCCTAGCTGGTTTACTCTCTGCCTGAAACCTGATATCACCCTAACTTATGACACAAGTAATACAAAGAATTCAAGTGGATATGTTTTGGCTAAAGTCCCAATTCCTCATTCTCCTGTGAAACGTTCGAGTCTCGTTGCAGTTGGTTCTAATATCTATAACATTGGCGGATCAAGATCACCTTCCTCTAGCGTCTTGATTCTTGATTGCACATCTCACACATGGCGTGAGGCTCCAAGCTTGCGGAAGAAGCTAATGTCAATCTCTGCTAGCGTCCTTGATCGAAAGATATATGTCGTAGGAAGCTGCAAAGATGGCGATTCTGATTCTTTGAAGAACTCTTACGAGGTGTTTGACACAGAAACACAAATTTGGGATCATGTGCCTAGCCCTTACAACGAAACAAAACACAACTTTTACTCCAAAAGCGTATGTATCGACGAAAAGTGGCACGTGTTGAATAACAGAGCGGTGGTTCCTTACAATACCCATATCGTGCGGAGGAACAGAGCGGTGGTTGCTTACAATCCCAAGAAAAGTAAATGGAACCTTGTTGGAGCAGCGAATTGTGATTTTATGCTTTCATATGATTCTCAATCTCATTGTGAGATAAAGAACGCTTTGTACTCTGTTTTCAGCTGCGGGTATCTTGGCACTGAGTTCAGATGGTATGACACTGAGGTAAGACGGTGGAGAAAATTGGAGGGTTTGGTAGGACTACCTAAGTTTTCTCTTCATGCTTGTGTTAGATTGGCTGATTATGGTGGAAAGATGGTGGTTTTGTGGGAGGAGAATATACGCTATAGTGGGCGCGGTGACAGAGGAGGTAAGAAGATGATTTGGTGTGCGGTGATTACGCTTGAAAGGCGCGAAAATAGTGGAATTTGGGGAAAAGTTGAGTGGTTTGCTCATTTGCTTACAGTTCCTAAAACATATGTTTTCAAAAAGCTTTTTGCTGCTACTGTTTAATGAATGCAACACAAGTATGCAACTATATGATGAATGACTTGGTCTCTTGCTTCACTTTCTAGTCATTTGATATTAAGCTTACCTTGTGACCAAAAAAAAAGCAGTCCAACATTACAAAACTGAAAATACAAAATCAAAATAATAATTATAGAATCTGTTTGTTCACTTTTCAGACATACAAACAACTCAAACTATCAAAGATCGTTTCATACTTCAGGGAATCCGAATGAACATTATCATACAAACAGAGCTTTTTGGGTTGTTCATACATCAATACTCAATGCGATTCAAAATCACATGTCCAAACATTTTTGAGTCAGCCTTTTACCTCTTCGCTTATCAGAATCATGCTCTTATGTGCTCGTGATCCAGTGACTCGTGCCTGGCACTAGTTTATCGTGGGAGAAGTCGAGGATAGGTAAGCATTGCTCTTCGTGTGAGTCCATTGGAGTAGAAAGAGAAAAGGTCAGGTGATGATGAATTTAGAGACTACTCTAGCATTGCATTTATAGAATCATGTAACTCAGTAGGCGTCAAAGTCAATTGTACATTCACAGTGGATTGGGGATTCGATTCTTTATAGAAAGGACAATAGCCTTTTGATTTTCTTTAGTTAAAAGATTTGTCAGTATTAGTCAGTCCTTAATTATACACAGATTATTATCATCTTTTTTAAGCACAAACAAAGTCGAGCAATGAAAACATTGATTAAATGGTTTCACATCTCAATGAAACATGGCACCAACCCTTTGACCGCAGATGGAATCGAAGACAGAAGACGCACTCGAAGCTGCCACACACCCGTTTCAACATAAGAGTACTTCTTCATCAAGTCATTTTGGTAAGTCAAACTTAGACATCGCGAGGAGCGGCTTCGGAATCGACGTGCGATCCATCACTGGACCGGGAAAACAGAGTAACCGAAGAACAGTCTAACGTTCTTAGCTTCAGTAACAAGTAAAGAACAACTCCACACCCAAATCCTAAGGCGGCACTCGAGCCAGTCATGGACACAGCGGCGCAGACCAACATGATGAAGGAATCTTCTTTGGAGTTCATGTCTTTGGAAGCCATTGCCAGTTCGATCCCTGCGAATAGCAACAGAACCCCCAAAATTCCAATCGGAAATTGGCTCAGAATCCTTACAAAAGAGTTTCCAAACACCAGACCGACAATCAGTTTCCCGATCCCGAGAAAGATAACGGACAATCCACTCCTTGCCCCGAACCGGTACTGCCCAGCTAACCCGCCAGCACCGTGACAGACAGGCATAGCGCCAAACCAGCACCCGATTAAGTTCATCACCCCAACGCTGATGGACACAGTAGTCGCGGAGAGTTCCTTGTCGAACAAGTCGTTGGATAGTTTGCAAACGGCGATCACTGAGTTCAATACAGAGAGTGGAATCTGAGGAATGGCCGCCCTCACAAACCCGATTTTCCAATCATCCCAAGTGATTCTCAGAATATGGAACTTGGACGGACCGAATTTAAGGTCTTTGAAAATGGACGGATCGCGTATGAAACAGAGCACCAACCCAATTACGAACACGACTAGAGCAGATGGAATCGAAGACAGAAGACGCAGTCGTCTCCTCCGGCGACACTGGCTTTGGTTGCTAGAAGTCTCGGCAAAATCTTCATCTTCATCTTCGGCGGCGTCTCTGTCGTTGCCAGAGCCCGTGGACAAAATGATGAAGAGCAGAGCAGCTAGAGCCAAGATAAGGCCGTCGAGGCCAAGCCAAGTACGAGGAGAAGAAGAGGGTTTGAGAGTGGCAGCGTCGTAATTAAACCTGACATATTTGATGGCGGTGAAGGCGAACTGAAGACCCTGAGAAAGCTGGACGCCGCGTACGACTGGGAGAGGTATGAGGTTGTAGAGGAAAGACATGGCTCCGGTGGCTCCAAGGAGAAGGAGCGTGGCGGCAGTGGATGCTCCAGCGGCGGCAATCTGTGAAGGAGTTAGATGTGGGGATTCGGAGACAGCCACGGCGGCGATAGATTTCATGGGCTGGACGGGCATAGGGATGTCAAAGAGGAGACCCGTGGCGATGTTGTAGAAACCCGTGAAGATGAGAGTGGTGGACAGATCAAGATTGGAGACTAGAGTTAGTGTAAGGACGATGGGGATGAAAGTGCCGAGATCACCAACAGCGCCAGAGAGTTCAGAAGAAAGAGGGTTTTTCAGGCGGAGACGACGGCGGAGCCACCCGCATCGGCCACGATCACCGGGAAGCAGAGGAGAGGTTGTTGTCTCCATGATTGGATCTAAAGAGAAAACTCTCTCGCTCTCTCTCTCTCTCTCTGTTGACAATTCTATTTAATAAAGATAAGAAAAGGATTGGGAATCCCCGGAGAAGTCGGATAAAAGACGGCTTTTCAGACACTCGACGAGTCCAATGTTTTAACGACGTGCAAATTTCCCGGGACCATGTGACAAGTTGTTTCAACGGTTGTTGGTTCAACTACCTGCCGTTTTTTTGGGTTGTTGGTTCAACTACCTGCCGTTTTTTTGGGTTGTTGGTTCAACTACCTGCCGTTTTTTTCCGCGCAAACGCTTTCCTTTTTCAAAAGCTCTGTTTAATGAATGCGTCACAAGTATTTAAAATGCGTATTGTGTATGCAACTATGATGAATGACCTCGTCTATTGTTTCACTTTCTAGTCATTTGATGTCCACTTGTTGATTGTTAAGCTTATGTTGTGACCAAAAAAAAAAAATGCAGTCGAACATTACAAGATTGAAAACTATCAAAGATCGTTTCATACTTTAGGGAATCCGAACGAACATTATCATACAAACAGAGCTTTTTGGGTTGTTCATAAAGCAATACTCAATGCGATTCAAAATCACATGTCAAAGAGTTTTGAGTCAGCCGTTTTCCTCTTTGCTTATCAGAATCATGTTCTTATGTGCTCGCGGGCAAAGAGAATCATCATAGCTAAGTAATAATAGTATTTGCATTCTTTTGTGCTCCAAGCCGTTTCATCCTACAAAACATAGGATTCAGAAGGAAAAATTGAGATGCAAAACCCATGAACCAAATAGCATCGATCGAAGTACAAAAACCCATGAACTAGTTCTATGCAAAGAAGTTTGATTAATTGTAACACTGAAAGATTCAAAAGTATTTACTTTCCAGTGAAGCATCAATTACTTATACCGCAAAACATATTCAAAAGAAGAAATGAGATGCGAAGCAGAAAATACAAACCCATGAACAAATTATCGTTGATCAAAGTTCAAGAAAACCAAAATACAGTTCCATGCAAAGTATAATTTTAACTGATGAATAATTTATACTGTTAGTCTGTGGATAGATGGTTTAGTTGCAGGTTATATATAGATGAATCAGATTAATCAAGCAGTTTTATAACCTCTAAATAGTTTCATGGCATGCTATATAAATTCCTTGGGCTTAAGAGAGAAATAAAATGATTCACCTTATGGAAGAGATGTATTTCTCTATCTCTGGTTTCTGCTCAGAGCTGAAGGAAAACCATTTTTCATGAAGACATACTTCATTCCAGCTTCCTAAATCTGCATACAAACAAAGGAAAGAGATTATAATTACTATACTATTGTGGAGACAGACAAAGAGTTTGCAAAATATTTCACACCTTGAAGCAAAATGTTTTGCTCATCATTGTAGTAAGACTTTAATCTCCAGAATATAAGACCATTGTCATCCAATTCAACCGGGTTGGTTCTAACAGCATCATCACTTCCTTGACTCTCTGCAAACATGATACAACACTTAAGAAGCATCTAATCATGATCATGTAACCATAAACAGTCAAAGGAGTCTAATTCGTACTTTTGGATAGCATGTCTATCGCGTTTTGCATTTCAGAATAAACTTCTTTAGTTTCAGCAGTTATACGCGATACAATTGCATCACGTTCTGTTATCAACAATGGAATTCCGTTTTTCTCTGTTACGGCTTGAGCCAACTCATCTTGCAATTTCTGCTTTAGTTGTTTCTCCTACAACAGAAAGCTTTTAGAATGAATTAAGTGTTGTCGAAGTTAAATTGTGAAGACTTGGTAGATTTTACAGTTACCTTATCTTTTGCTGCAATGATCTTTTCTTTTGCTTCCTTTTTCCTTTCAACAGATTCAATATTTTGGCTATCAATGCAATTTCTCATCACCCTGGAAATTTTACCAAAATATGTAAACCCTCAAGCACCATATATCAAACAACAGATGAATATAACTATTACTTACGATGTGCCAAGCGTCTCATCGCATAAGAAATTCAAAAGCTTAAGCCTTTTTGATGAATTCAACTTCTCATACTGAGAAATGCCTTTTTCAAACATTTCAGGAGGGAAATCATCTAGCTTAACTTCTGATTCCGAAAGACATTCTCCAATTGTAGTGAACCAACTAGCATCAGTTGCACTCAGGCAAACCGATCTATATCATTTTAAAAATGGAAATGAATCAGACATGCATCATCAGAGAGGGAAGCTAATAGAAAACTTATTACGTTTCAAGAAAAAAATTCTTACGTTTCTCCTTTATCCTCTAATATCACAGTAAGTAGTTGGATTATCATCTGGGTAAGTGTGGAATATTGTTGTCTTCTTTTGCTTCGCCCGGATAACATTTCACGTATAACACATTCAGCTTGTCCTTTCCTCAAATCAAGTGCCTATCATATAAAGTCAAATGAAGCAGGTAAGGAGCCATTAGTAAACCTTTCAAATATTTGATCAATTATCAAACTGTGCAAAGGCCTAGATGATACCTTCCCAAAAGCTGAACAAAACTCCAAAAACTGAAATACATTTCCAGCATCTTCAGGAGCCAAGTCAATGCCAGAAACAGTAATTGAGCTATTACCCTGAGGTAGTTTAACCTCAACCTGATCCTCCTCTTTCTTCTTGAGAGCAGGTTTAATTTTTTTGATCTTAACCGCTACGTTGTTTTCCTTGATATCTTTAGCAGTAGTCTCTGCATCACAAAAAATTCATGTGTTAGTCTCTTTTCAATGGTAATACTAGCATTCTCAAGGGCACATTTAAGATCAAATCCTCTCACTCTTCTCTTTTCCTTCTGCCAATACTTTCTTGGTAACTTCTGTCGCATGAACAGAATCAGAAATCTTGATCTTACCCGCTATGTTGTTTTCCTTGATATCTTTGGTAGTAGTCTCTGCATCACAAAACATTCATGTTAGTCTTTTTTCAACGGTAGTACTCGCATTATCGGGAAAATTCTCTCACTCTTCTTTTTTCCTTCTGCCAATACTTTCTTGGTAACTTCTGTCACATGATTGGAATCAGAAATCTTGATCTTTTTTGGACTGCTCTTTTTCACCACAGCATTCTCATCGCTGCAGCCATTGTTTAAATCCTTTAGCTCTTCCCGTTTAGTTTTTCTCGATTTTTTAACACTAACATGTTTTTGTTCAATAGAATTCTCCTGGTCAAGTTTCAGTGGTAAAGCTACAACACTACCTTCCTGCAGACACTACCATATAAATCAAAATAGACACAAAACAAGACTCAAAGTTAAGATACACAATACAAGGATCATGCGCACATACCGGTTTCACCTTCTTTGTATAAAAATATTTGTCAGAACCACTAGTTTTAAGAAGCTCGGATACAGAAGAGAACCCAGTCTTTTTAGCAGTGTGTACTAATATCCCGGTAGGCTTTTGGCCTCGTTTCTTCCTAAAAATATACAAAATTAGCTCTAAAGACAACATAAACCTTGCAAATTTAATGTAATGAATGATTTTGAATTACATGCAGTAGCTACAATTGCAGTTTCCTCTACACTTGGGACAAATCCAATCCTGTTTCAAAGCAACCTCTTCTGCATTCTCTCCATACCTTTAACATCAAACCAGAATCGATACCACAATCACAAGAGCTTATACATTTCTCTCTAAACACCAATCTCAAAACATCAAATCAAACCTGTTCAATATGCACTTAGTACATAACTTAATCGGACATGTCTTGTCTTTCTTCTTAGTCACGCAGGATCCAACAAGATCCGTTCTCTTTTGTCGACACTACAAACACAAGACCATTAATCAAAACAATAACTCTGATATTATAAACATTAATTCAATTTCAGCTTAATTTCAAAACCCAGTTAAAGACCACTATGAACACACCAAATCAGATCACTATGGTTAACAATTTTGTCAAAATTAAGTAAAACCCAGAATTTGACGAGTGCCCATGTCTCAATTTCAGCTTAATTTCAAAACCCAGACGAACATAACCCTAAAGAAAACGCCTAAATTCGAATATTTTCATTTTGAAAATATCAATATTGTCAAAATTAAGGAAAATCCAGAATTTGACGAGTGCCCATGTTTCAATTTCAGCTTAATTTCAAATACCAGATGAACATAACCCTAAAGAAGACGCCTAAATTCGAAAATTTTCAATTTTAAAAATCTCACTATTGAAGACCGTTGATTGAAGCAATTACTCAAGTGTTTACTCAAATTCATCAAATCAAATTCAGTACCATAATAGATCTCTAGTTACAAGCAACTATGAATACACAAAATCGGATCAATTTCAAAACCCACTTCGAAAAAGAATCGAAAATTTTCTCACCTGATGACAAGTCTTTCCAATGGTGGAATCTTCGATCCTTGGTTCAACAACCCTAATCCCAGGATTTGGTGTTTGTTGTTGGGTCTGATTCTTGCTCACCACCGCCATAACCAGAAGCTCAACAAAAGCAACAGCCAAAAAAAATGATTTGATTCGGAAATTTGTGTTTATGGGTATATGAGTTTTGTTTATCACTGGACTCGAGTTTTATGCTTCTTCTTCTTTGGAAGGAGTGAGAAAATTTCGAAAGAAGAGAGACAAATCCAAAAGTTTTTGATTTGGTTTTTCCCTCGCTACCGAAAATTTTGAGCGGGCGAGGATTTCGATTTTTCCGTTTTTCAGGTTTTTCGTATATTTTTTTCCATCTTATGGATGTAGATGTAGATGTAGATGTAGTAGAAGTTCTTTTCCTTAAATACCGTAAATCAGCAAATTACAATCCTTATATCAAATCGATAATCACTAGGTTATTTTCGGTGCGATGCAATTTTTTAATTTTTTCTATTTAGTAACGGATAGATTATTTTCACGCGATATATAACAGATAGATTGTTGGAATTTGATAATATGGTTTAACCACTTTTCTGGTAAAAATATTTAGCCGGATGACGGAATGTATAGAATCGTCGTCGTGAATACTACCTGGTGGTGTATTGGAATGTCGAAAACAAATATCGTTAGAATGAGAATTAGAGGTCCAAAATGGTTAGTTTGCATAAACTTGAAATTAAGGTTATCAATGGTTGATAGAGATGATCCGTCAGGTAGAGCTATCAAAATGGGCGGGCGGACCATGCTGTTCATGTCCAACACATTATGGACCGGATATGGACAAGCCCATTTGGAGATGGTCATTAATGGTCATGGTCTAATTTTGCCCACATACAAAACGGGTTGGACAATATGGACATTGGTCGGCTCATAAAACCTAAAAAGTTAGGTCAAAAATTGATTAGGGGGGGAAATCAAAATACATTTACTTATTTTCGTAAAATCGAAACCAGAGAACTCCGGCGATTTCTTCACATATCTTCCCTTCGATATCTTTCCTTGCTTGTCTCGATGGCTTCAACGCATCAATCTCATCTAGTTCTTTCGATTCAGAATCAAAATCATGTGAGATTTAAGGTTTTTCGATTTGAGCATTTGCGATTTTGGGAGAAACCCATTTACTCGTTTTGAGAGAGACCTATTTGCGATTTTGAAAGAGACCCATTTACTCGTTTTAAGAGAGACCCATTAGGGTTCTATGAATTCTCATGAGATGTATAGCCTTAGAATTTCTCTTGAGTGTTTGTGTTTGAGTTAGGACTGAAGTTTGAACGTTTCCCGCAGCTTGAGACTTCTCATAACTCTCTGATTTTGTCATTAGACTTGTAGTTTTTAATCATTAGCTCTTGTTTTGTCGTTTATCACCATTTCACCATTTCTCTGATTTTGTCTTTGCCATTGATATGATGTTGTAATGTTTCTATGTTCTGTTCTGTGGTTGATGAGTTTTTGTTATTGTTTTAGTTGGGTAACGATGATACTCTAAACCTTGATGATGACTATATGACTGGGATGAGATGGATCTGGATGAAGAGAATATGGATGAAGAGATTATCGGATGAAGAGAATCAGGTAGAAGTAGATTCACTTGCTAGTACAAATGAGAACAAGGTGAAAGGTGACCGTAAGCGTTCAAAGTGCTGGAAAATTTTTAGTTTCATTGGAACTAAATCGGCTGATGGTATGAGTAATATTAGATGAAACTATTGCAATCATACTTATTGCATAAACCTGCGTAGAAGTGGTGCACTATTCTGTTGCATCACATGAGAGTATGCTCAAAGATTCCTGAAAGTACACCTACAAGTGGAAATAGGAAGCTTGATATGAAGAAGATACTTTGGTGTTCAAATTTGTTCTATTATGACCAATGGACAGCCCATTTGGACATGGTCGTTAATGGTTATGGTTGTTAATGGACATGGTCATTAATAGAAATGGTTACTGTTTATTCATAATTAAAATGTTCAATATTGGACCGGGCCAAATTGACGTGGACATCCCATTTTGACAGCTCTACCGTCAAGCGAAGAGTTTGATTGCGCTCATGGCTAGATCGATCGGTTTCAGGTAAGATCTGTCACAATCTCTTCTATTACTTCATTTATGTCCCAGAATAAAACCCGACCACCACCTATAAGACGGCTTAGTTTGTACCACCACCTATAAGACGGCTTAGACGACATCAAGAAAGCCAACTCTCAGACAAGAGTGCATGTAGATTTTGACTTCTTCGAAATTGGAGATGGAATGAATGCATTGATAGTTCGGTCTGAGGAAAATCTTTAAAGCGATAAGAGAACATGGCTTTTAAGAGAAGCTCCACCATCCCTAGACGGCTTAGTTTGCCCAGCTTGGTGAATCACATCCTCGCACATATATATTTGACTATGAATAATATTTTTTAGAAAAAACAGGTAATCACACTCATTTACTCTACCTCATCAATATTGGATTTTCTAAAAATATTGTTGATAGTATTGAAAAAAAAGTCTACGTTCAAAAAGAATATTGTACGCAAATAATTGTCAAAATCATCCTTTTATAAAATAATTATTTACGATCGATGACACTAATAATTAGATATATGTGTAGATATTGGTGAAAATATTAATAATTTCAAATTAGAAAAGATTCACTTTTGTGATTTTATTAAGTTGTGATTGGTGTGTAGATAGAGTAATAAGGAGGCGAAAAAAGTTGAAAAATATGGATAAGTAAAAAGTAAAGTTGGCGCAAAAGCCAAAACTGCCCAAAAGGTTTCTTGTGTTTTCAGTAGATGAAAAACTTAAGTTCGTTTTATTGCCTTTTCTCTACTATATAAACTTGACTTGTAGTCATATTAAAACAGTCTGTTATAAATTAAATTAAATATTTACAGAAAATACTATTAGGATATATTAAAACAATTATATAGTATAATAATTTTTATAATTTAATTATTTATTGAGATTTCCTATAAGTATCTATACTAGTATAATCGCAGCACTTTTTGTGACGGGTGGGTAAAAAAGCTTTCGGGTATATCGGATATCCGACCCATTTTAAAAATTCCTTCACAAAAAATTTGTTGGGTCGGGTTATATTTAACCCAATTCATACACCGGATATTCCATATTTAATAATTTAGATTTTTAGAAGATTTGATTAAGATTTATAATTATGATTCTCCTATCATCTTTGTTTGATTTGTTTTTAACTGTTTTGAATCATCATATAATACATAAAGTAAAAAAAAAAAATCAATTTTTTTTCTGCATATACTGTGATTCGAAATTTTAAAAACGGACATATATTATCCAATTGACGAAAATGTGTGTTCAACGTTCTACATCGATTAAAATATTTAGACAATGATTCAGAATCATATCATAAATAAGAACATTAATAAAATAAATGAGTTTTTTGGCGGGATGGGTTTGGCGGGACGGGTTTTTGAATCAACAATAATAAAAAGATTAAAATATCATTAATCCGCCGTTTCAATACGGATTTAATCATTATTTTTTTAATACAAATCACAGGACGGGTTAAGAAATTACGGAACGGGTTATATTTCGGAAATGATTTATATGGCGGACGAATTTGAATCAATATTTATATACCGCTTTAATACGGGTTAAATCCTCAGTTTATTAATAATTATCTCGTGGACTCGTGGTATACCGTTACTTAATAACAATTGTAAACTATAATATAAATAAATATGTTATAAGGAGATACAATTTACAAAATATTTTTATACTAACTTTAAAATTAAATCATCCCGCGGTGTACCGCGGGTTAAAATCTAGTTTTGTTATATTTTTTTTTTGTCAACCACACATTAATTAATAAATAACTCCTTGATTGGTTACCCAACTAGGAGGAGAAGTGTTTACAAAAGTAACTTCAGAAAATAAAAGTCAGTATTTTGTTATTTTCTAATAATGTTTTTATATATTTAATTTAATTTATAGTATTTGTAAATACAAAACGCATGAAATAAATTACTATATTTTGTCTACTATTATTTTTCAATTGAAAACTATAAATTGCAAATGAAATCACACAATATTTATATCAAGATTATGTAATAACAAAACTTTATAAGTCTTGATTATTGTGAATTTGTGATATATATGACTAAGTCGGATTCTTATTCTACAAATATTAACACCATATCACTTTCAACACCGATTGTTTTTGGTAATCAAGTTCCACAACATTGTCTCAAAATGGGAAACGAATTTTTATGTTATAACTTCTACAATCACATATAGTCAAAGACAGCAAAATGTTCACGGCTCCACAATGATCTTCCCAGTAGCATGGCCATCAATACTTTTGGCCCAAGCATCCTCGGCTTTGCTCAAAGAGTACTTCGAGTCAATCACAGTCTTCACTTTTCCTTCCTTCACTAGATTCACCAAAAACTCCAAATTCTCAGCTAATTTTGGGATCAAAAAGAGTGGCACAAATTGCTTCTTCGACATAGTTAATTTCTTAACCGCATAAGTCCATATAGCACTAGGCCTTGGCGTGATGTCTATAACCTTTCCGTTTTCGGACAAATTTGGTTCTAATGTTGAGAACGGGATATAGTTTGCGCAGTGGATCACAACATCATATTTCTTACTTGATGGACTCTTGAGGGTGGCTCCCTCAGGAGTCTTGTAGTCGAGAACTTCGTCTGCGCCTAAAGATTTTACAAAGTCGATGTTTCGGGCTCCACATGTGGCTGTTACATGAGCGTTCCCAAGCTTTGCCAGTTGGACTGCATAGTGGCCAACCCCACCAGATGCTGCTGTGACCAAGATATTCGCCTGCTTGTCTGTGCCATCCAGTTTCAACCCCGCGTGATGCGTTAGAACATAAAGAGCAGTTAGACCTGGTACAGGCAAAGCGGCTGCTTCAGCTGCTCCCACTTCTTGAGGCCTTTTGATGGTCACATTTTGACTTACAACTACGTATTCAGCTAGTCCACCTCCGGTCTGAAAATAACCAAAAGCAATTACTACATTTTTTTTTCATGTTTTAAGGTAATTGGAGTAATCATTGTAACTTTCTTGGTAATGGCTTGGCTTGTACGTAAGTTAAAAACATACTAGATAGCTGAGAATCGCAACAACTTTGTCACCAGCTTTTAACTTCTCGACTCCTGATCCAACCTCAACGACCTCACCAGCAACATCAGTAGCTGATCAAGACATATATCAATTAAAAAGCCTATAAGTCTATGAAGTAAAAACAACAAAACATATAAGAGAAATCTTGAAAGCTATAGTATTAGAATACCAGGAATGAAGGGGAACTTGCGGGGCAAAAAAGGCCGAATCATTCCTTTTTGAATTTTCCAATCAATAGGGTTTATACTAATAGCTTCTAATTTTAGTAAGACCTCGTTGCCTTTTGGTGATGGAACTGGGACTTGGACATGCTGAGAACAGATTAGATACACACTTACTAATCATCAAAAAAGAAACACGAGATTATGTTACCTTTAAATCAGAAAACAAATGCACACATGAGAAAAATAATTTCACATATTTATCTTAATAACTTCGAATACCAAAAACAATAGACTATATAATATATCATCTAAACAATACTAACCAAAAATATAACCGACTTATTTACACATGATACTATCGACAAAAAAAGAGAGTCAAATAGCAATAAAGCAGCAGCTTAGAGAGGCAGAAAGAGATTTAACCTTCAAACCAGCGGCGCCACCACCGTAAGAGTCATACTGAAGAGCGTGCATGAGTTTTCCGGCCATTAAAATTGTTAGAGTAAAGTTTTTAGAGGTTATGGAGAAAGTGTTTAAGTATTTGAGAGAGAGTGATAGGAAATAGAACTTTTATTACTTTGATTTTAACTTGAAGACAACTTCACAACATTATAATAAATGAGAGAGGGAGGAGATATTTATAACCTCCAAACTACAAAATATCTAAAATATTTTAATCCTAAATATAGAGAATTCTTACATAATATCTAAATTATAATATTTTAATTATCTAGATTATTTTATAAGAATATCTAGATTATTATCTTTAAGGAGGTGGAAGATGATTCTTTATAACTTTTAAGGAGGTGGGTGTGTTGATATTTCTAGAGAAAACTCTATAACTTGGATTTGGCCCATCAAATGATTATTAGATAATTGACCCAATAATTAAACTTGATTCAAATCACACCAGCATAAATTAGAGTAAAATTATTTAATTGAATACAAAATGCATCTTATGCATTTAATGTTAAATTTGACAAAATGTATCTTTAAATTATTTACAACTAGATGAATATAGCCACGCTACGCGTGACTTGTTACAATTTTATTGTAAACATGAATTTAAAATTTGAAATGAAAACTAAAAGAAAATTATGCTTTTAATATTAATACACATATTCATCTATTATTATAATGCATAATTTTTTAACATCACTTATTTTTTAGTATTGTAATAATTAATCAATTAAGTGGTACGACTCAAAATATTTTATAAATTATTTGTATATTGTAATTAAAAAACCATATATCAAGAATAATGTAGTTTCTAGATAGATCTAACACCTACTTACATTTTTTTTATTAAGTCTAAGTTCTAATATCTTCAATTTTAAGAAAATTCAACTTATTTATATACAATCATAATTTTTGTGTACTTGATGCAAAGGAAAAAACAGTTTTTCTTCTAACATGAATAGCATACATTTTTCATTAAAGATATTTTTTCTCACATCTTTTTACCAACATGATATTTAAACATTTGCTATTGATTATCTACATTATGATTATCTAAAAAGTAATTTTGACCACAAACCTTGGAAAAATACTACAATGATATTCATATCACTACATGTTGGAATAATGTTTTTTGTTTGAATAAATAGATAAAGAGAATAATCATACATCAATAGTAAAAAACGAAGATATATCATTTCAATTTGATTGACTTGTGTGAATATTAGAATAGTTAGCTTTTGAACTTCCATAGATAAATTGGGAAACAGATAAATATTATAGTAAGAATTTTGAAAACTAAAAATGAAAGAAATATATTCTTGTAATGCGGTAGAAACAAAATAAAATGGAATACAATATAAACTACATATATACCATATAATCTCTAAAAATAAAATAAACGAAATACAAATTGAATACAATGTAAACTACATATCATATAATCTTTAAAAATAAATATTACAATCAAACCTTCACTATCACCATGACACAATTGTTTTTAACTCATGCAAGAACATAAAATAAATTAAATTTACAGATTTGAAAATATGGTGGAGAATGATAAGAGAATTGATATTTATAGATGAGAAGTGGTGAAACTCTTATAATTATTGAGTATGAGTTACAAATTATTATTTATTGGTAGAAGTTACTATTGAGTTTAAATGTAGAGTTTAAATTATAGTCAATATCATTTTCAAATAGTTAATGCATTTTAGTGGAGGAGTTACAATGTGGAGTTACACATGAGTTTTAAAGGGAGTTAATTAGAGATTAATATATTAAAGGTAAATTTAAGAAAATATGAAAAAGAAATGCCAAGTGGACCAATCATGGGAGAGTGAAACCCTACTTTTATATGTATGATTTACAACTCTACAGAATACCCAAATCTGATCAAAAATTTTGATTCAAAATTCCAATTGAACTTTTTTTTACATGAGTTTTATCAGTTTGTTTGCTAAATGGCTATAAGTAGCATGTTCTTTTGTTTCTTTTTTTCACATGTACATCACTTAAAATAAAATATACTACATACACTAGTATATTATTGTTAAAATTAAAACCATCACTCTTTTATTATTATTTTTTTTTTGAAAAAGATCACTCTTTTATTTTATGGAAACCATCATTTAATATGAAAAAGAGATAATAGGTATTTATGTTTGAAAATGTGACTAAATCTGGTGTTTTAGCATTATCTCCCTTGTCTAGCTACCTTATTAATTTTTGACTTGCATTGTTGAATTAATCTTGTTATTATTCTTTTGGTAAACGAATTAATCTTGTTTTAAATAAAGTTATTATAGACATGATGTTGACTTTTCCGGCTATTTACTTTTCAATAATATTAGTAACGTCTAGTTGTAGAACACCAATAAGCATTTCAGTTTCAAAAGGAAGAAAGAAAATTAAAGGGAAAATGTTTCTCAGCTACGCCAACAATACGTCATCACATCGTCACACATGCAGACAAAGAAAATGTTGCGACAACTACACCAACTACTGCAATCACATAACGACATGCACGAACTAACATGAGTTATGGTGCCAACACCATAAACATACATTCCGGTACCGTTCCGGTGAAAGATGCGACAGAATCCGGCACCGGAGATATCCAATTGTAAACCCGACCCAAATTAAAAAAAAAAAAAACAAAAAAAGGCCAAAATTAAATAGAACCCGACCCATAACTCGTGATAAAACCCAACCCAAAATAATTAAAACTACCGTAAATTAACACAAGAATGTCGATTCTCTGTTCTTAGTCTGGTTTCGAGAGCTTAGAAGTGAGGTGTGTTGAGAAAAAGAGATTTCTAAATCTTTGTAAGGATATAGCTAATTCTCGGATTTCATCGGGTTTGAAACAGGTATGTTGTAATTTGATTTCTTAAGAATTTGTGAGAATAGATTTGAATAGATTTACTCGATGAGTATAATGGGACAGATTTGCGTGTTGATTGTTGTAATGGAAAGGATTTCGTATTTATTTTGGTTGTAATTGAACATGAAATTGATGCAGATCAGTTGTTTGTTGAAATGTTTAAAAGAAGAGTTTTGTTGTCTGATTTTTTGCAAGATGGATACAAGTAGTGGGTCATCTAGTTTGAGTAGATCGTTTGGAGCTCTAAAAAAGTGTAATTGTGGATTGCCTGCGAAGATATACAAACCCGACAAAACCCAGAAAAAATCACAGACAATATCAACAATAAGTTAAAATCCAAAAACCCCAATGTCGGGATCTGTTTCGACTTTATACACCCAAATCAACCCAGAAAACTTGAGTTCTTACCTCATTGGAACGAGATTCCGTTACGATTCACTCTCTAAGCTTTAATCGTGACAATATTGGAGAAGAAATGTGGCGATTCGAAAAGTCCCTCTTCTACGCTCATGAACCCTAAATCGCAAAGAGAGAGTTTGATTATGGTCTCGGTAATTACGTTTGTTGTTGTTAAATTAGTGTTGGGCTGGGTGTAGGCCCAATTAGTTTCTAGTTGGGTTTTTATTAACTCGGGTTGGTTTTTAATTGTGTCTGGGTCGGGATTTAATTATTTGGGTCGGGTTTACAATTGGATATCTCCGGTGCCGGATTCCGTCGCGTCTTTCACCGGAATGTATGTTTATGGTGTTGGCACCATAACTCATTTTAGTTCGTGCATGTCGTTATGTGATTGCAGTAGTTGGTGTAGCTGTCGCAACATTTTCTTTGTCTGCATGTGTGACGATGTGATGACGTATTGTTGGCGTAGCTGAGAAACATTTTCCCAAAATTAAACGAAGAAGAATAAACGTCGAAGTTATCAAACAAGAATAAAGAAGAATAAATGTTGTGAATAGAATTCGATTTTGTGCATGTATCAAACAAACAAGCAAAACATACATACAAAAATATCAAACATACAAGCAAAACATATATACAAAACATAGATATCTGAATTTTGCCAAAAACTCCAATTAATCTTGTTATAATTATAGAATTTTTCGATACTCCACCATAAATAAAAGACATGAACCATACCCAAAATTTCTACACAGTAAAATCAAACCTGAAACAAAGAAATTTTTTTGTATTTAATTGATTCTAGACATAATAGGCTTATACTATTTTACCATATAAAGACATATTTGTTTATCTTTCATTTCTATTTTTTTTTTTTTTTTTTTTTGAGAAACTAAAGATTCTAAACCGAAACCCATAATTCTCAAAACCAAAAGTAAAAACTAATTTTAATCTCCTTACAAAAATTTGTCCAAAAAAAAAAAAAAAAAAAAAAATCTCCTTACAAAAAAAAAAATTGAACCATAGTTTGGTCTCTACTTTAGGACCACTAATCCCAATTCCTTCTTGGTGCCTTATCTTTTAGGAATAATTGCACATTTAGGCACTTTTTTGAACATATTTGTGAGTTTAGACACTTTCCAAGGAGTAGGCACTTTGTGTGGACAATTTGACCAATTTACCCTTTAACTACGTCTCTCTCGTTACAATCTCCTTGTCTCTCTCCTTTTACTATCTCTTCTCTCACCTTATCGACAAAATCAAGCGGAGAAAAAAATAACATTTCCATGATTTTACTCTTTCTCTCTTTTACCATCATCAGTCCATTTACCAATTCCTTCCTCAATTTTGTTCTATTCATAAAAATTCTAGGATTTTGTTGGAATCTAAGATTCAGATTTTGCACTCCCTCTCTCTCTCCTTGCTGCAAAATAAATTTGAATCCTTGTCTCTGGGATTGCTTCATTAGTCAAGTTTCGGCTATGGCGGAGTAGAAAACGGCGGACATGTGAAAGACGAAGCGAGTACTCGTCGGAGGACGAAGGTACGGAGGATTATAAAAAGTTTTTCAGTAACGAGATCGATTTGTTTCCGCCGGAGTTGGGAATTTGTTGAATTTGGAGTATCTTGAGGTGAAGATATCATCACCGGGTTTTGGCGATGGCCTGTCGTTGGAAAAGCTCAATCCTCTCTAAGAGATTCGGAACTCTCGAATCCGAAGAAGCTTCCTCCGTCGCGAAATCAATCGAAGACGAAGCTTACGCCGTTGCTTCCGCCGCCGTGATTAGTGACGACGACGGGATCGAGAGTCTTAAAACTTATTCTGAAGAGATTAGTAAACGTATGCTTGAATCTGTGAAAGCTAAGACTAATGTGGCTTCTCCTCCACCAAAGGATGGTGATGGAATTGAATTAGCTGCAGATTCAAAGGTTGATTCAAGTGGAGATGTTAAAGAAGATGACGCGAATCCAAAGCTTGACGAGGCTTGAACATGGTGTTGTTCTCTTATCTCTAATTATCTTTTAAAAGACTATTTTCTTTGTTTAGATTCGTATGAGATTATCTTTGTAGTGTGACTTGTTGATTTTGCATTTCTTAGTAATATGAATTTGTCTTCGCTTTGGTTTTGAGTCTTTTGATGTTGGATTCTGGATGATTGTGCTTTTTCTTAATCATGGTAAATAACCATACAGTTACATCCACATGGTCAATACATTAACATACTATACTATGAAAACTCTACAATAGAACTTTGGCTACGTGGACAGATCATCATGACATTCAGCGTTGTGGACTGCCTTTGCTAATTTTGGTTCATCAACTTTAGCTTTGTGGACACAACGGGAGCGTTTCAGACCTTGTAGAGATCTTTGGTAATTTCAGTAAAATTAAAATTTTCAACTTTTAACAAAGAAAAAGCGTTTCTGTCTACATTATTATATTCAAATTTTTTTCGATTATCGATAGTGTAAACAAGATTTTTTTTTTGTTAGTTTTAATGTGTAAACAAGATTACTGAACTTTTCATGCTTCTATCGGTTTTCTTCTTTGTCTTTCATGCTTGTATCAGAACAAAACCTCAAGATGTATAACCATACATATCCCTCATGCTTGACTAAATGTTATAAAAAGATTGGAGTGTCTATATACAAGTGAACAAATGGTCAGCGAAAAATGGACGCTTTTCGTGATTGGTGGTTTTCATTTATGTATAAACTTCTGTCTTGGTATGAAACGACGACCATGTGAGTCACAAGATGACCATATGGATTGCACAGCTTGGACAAACATCAATAAACAACGTATATGGTATGGATCCATTTTATAATGATGGTAGTGTCCATTCACAAGTGAATATTGGTCAAAGAAAAATGGATGGTGTACTTTTAGTTGTCGATTATCGTTCATGTATAAATTTGTGTATTGATATAAAACGACCATGTGAGTTACTAGATGACCATTAGGACTTGACTTCTTGGACACTCATCAATGGAAGATTATGATATATTGTATGGTTTTGAGTATTGGTTTACGGTTTATAATCTAGTTTATGTTTAAAGATTATGATTTTAGGATATAAGGTTGAGTGGAAAAGGGTTAGGTGTTAGATGTTTAGGGTTTAGATTTAAAGTTTAGTGTGTAGTTTTAAAAGAATTTCTAAATGTTTTAAAATGACAAAATGTTCTATAATAATCGGATGGCCTACTATGTATTTGGATTTATATTGTTGACGAAGTTAGATATCGATTTGGGTTTAGTAGATAAGGGGTAGGGTTTAGTGTTATATATTTTAAAGAGTTAAATATCAGTTTGGGTTTAGTAGGTAGGTAGTAGGGTTTAGTGTTATATATTTAAAAAAATTAAATATTAGTTTGGGTTTATATTGTTGACGAAGTTAGATTTCGGTTTGGGTTTAGTATGTAGGGGGTAGGGTATAGTGTTATATATTTAAAAGAAGGTAAACATCGGTTTGGGTTTACTAAGTAGGGGGTAGGGTTTAGTGTTAAACCTTTAAACCGAATTTTCTTCTCGTTTTAGGTTTATATTGTTGGCAAAGTTAAATATCGGTTTGGGTTTAGCAGGTAGGGGGTAGGGTTTAATGTTATATATTTAAAGAAGTTAAATATCGGTTTGGGTTTAGTAGGTAGGGGTAGGGTTTAGTGTTATATATTTAAAGAAGTTAAATATCGGTTTGGGTTTAGTAGGTAGGGGGTAGGGTTTAGTGTTATATATTTAAAGAAGTTAAATATCGGTTTGGGTTTAGTAGGTAGGGGGTAGGGTTTAGTGTTATATATTTAAAAGGAGTTAAATATCGGTTTGGGTTTATATTGTTAATAAAGCTAGATATCGGTTTCGGTTTAGTAGGTAGGGAATATGGTTTAGTGTTATATATTAACAAGAAGTTAAATATTGGTTTGGGTTTAGTAGGTAGGGGGTAGGGTTTAGGGTTAAACATTTAAACCAAATTTTTATGTCGTTTTAGGTTTATATTGTCGACGAAGTTAGTTATCAGTTTGGGTTTATTAGGTATGGGGGTAGTGTTATATATTTTTTAAAACTGAAAAACCGGTTTAGGTTTAATTAGTTTTACAATTACTGTTTTGTATAGGGGTAAGTAAAGAAAAGCATGGTCAAGTTTAAGTGAACAAGTTATCATGATAAAATTGGTTTAAAAAAAAAGCATAAGGGAAAGTAAAGAATGATGATTTTGACCAAAGAGATATTGTGTGGATAATCCATCTTGAATATATTGTCATGGATCGTCCGTTTCTTACCATATATTTGAAGGGTAATGGACGGATTCCTATGGTTGACAATCCGCAAGTACGCGTTCATATATGAAATTTAGGAGTGGAGGTGTATCCATGAACCATCGAACAAATGGATATAGTGTAAGAATTGATGGTGTATCCATCTAGCGGCTTTAGGAGTGGAGGTGTATCCATGTAACATCGAACAAATAGATATAGTGTAAGAAATGATGGTGTATCCATCTAGCGGCGACCAAATGGATATGCATTTTAGTGTTTTTTCGTAAACCTATCTTGACATACAGGAGCCACCTTACCTACTATGTACTTAAGCAGACGATCTAATAGATTGGTGTCGCCGATCAGCTTCCTCAGCTTTTGACCTCAACTCTGACCTAAGTATCAAGTATGGAGTTTGTATTTTTCTCCTTCTCACTGTCATTCTTAACATGGTTTTCTTAGCTACTTAGGCTTCCCTAGCAGTTTTCAGAGAAATTTAACTGCTTCTCATCTAATTTGAAATTACAATTGTTTCAAGTTAATATCCTATAACAAGCATAATTTCACAGAATCAAGGAAAATACAAAACACATAGCAAGTTATATAAAAATTTTAAATACAAATTCAAAGATTCGAGTAAAAACATACACCATTTTACAACAGTAGAAGTTTCATATAAACCGAGACTGATTTAAGATTCATAGAAACCAAAACTCCCCACCAATTGAAAGCACAGACATTGAAGTTCTTCTCCTCGCCAATCCACTAGCAACCAGAAACACAAAAGGCCTCGTGTTTGCTGCAATTCATTCCACTAGCAACCTCACATTTTCGCTTTCTCTTTGCTCTCACTATCTAAACTCTGAATTTCGATTTCAATGGAGTCACACGCGTGCTGTTACGCGCCACCGCGAATGTCGTCGGAATTCCGAAATTGAGACGACCAATCGGAGCGATCCACCGTCAATTCAGCACTGCGTCGTCTTCTTCGTCGTCGTTCTCGGTTAAACCAATCGGAGGAATCAGAGACACTCTTTTTCATTCGAAAGACAATTGATGGAAGCTCTACACATGAATCATTTGTGTTCAAGTGTTTGTCATGTTTCACCATTACTCCACATGGTCAAGTCTATGTGGACAAGTTAACATGGACCCAAACTATCATTAACTACTTGGGTTTTGAGAGTTGCTATTTGAAAGCAATGTCTACATATTGTTCTTGGGGTTTGGAGACCTATAGGATTATTAGTTTATACATAATGAAATCGTGTTGGAAGCTTTGACAGTTTGTCTCCATGAAAACTTGTCCAATTAGATGTGACCATGTGGAAATAACTGATTCTCATATGCGAAGTAAAGTGCTCTTAGCTTAGAGATTCAACGAAATATCAATTTATCAAGCTAGAATCAAATGTACCAAACAAGCTGATCAGAAGGATATGAAATTCAATACTGGAATTAGCCAAACTGGTGCTCCATGGAATAGAACAGAGTAACGAGGACCTCACATCTTCTTCTTCTTCTTCTTCTTCTTCTTCTTCTTCTTCTTCTTCTTCTTCTTCTTCTTCTTCTTCTTCTTCTCTCGTCGTCTTCACAAACACAATTTCGCTAATATGGAACATTGAGGGAACAAATCTTCTTGAGGGAACAAATCTTCTTCTTCTTTCACCTCTAGATGTTACCGGCTGCAACACTCGAGCTTTCGCCGTTGGCTACACGCGCTGCCGCTTCAAAACCTCAATTTTCAATCGAACAAGCCTAATCGTCACTTAAATCTAGAGAGGCTTCTCCATGAAGAAAAATACAGAAGCTACATGATCTTGACAAACTCTCTCATATTTGATTTTGCAAAGAAAGAAAGTAACAATTAAGAGAGATAGATAGAGAGAGAAAAGAATAATAAGAAGATGACGAAGAAGAAGGAAAAAAATGTAAAATAGAGAAGATATATATTATGAATTTTTTGGATAATTAAATTGTGTATATAATCTGATAATTAGATCTTACCTAGAACTTCCATCCAACGACCCATCATACACCACCTGTTTCTTTTTTTCTAACTAAACTCAAACACTAGCTATCTTCCTTCCTTTTTTTTCAGGGGCAAATTGGTCACAAATTCATTGAAAGAGTTGGCAAAATGCCTCATGAATCCAAAGTGCCTAAAGTGTAAGAACTTTCATAAAAAATGCCTTAACATGCAAATCACCCTATCTTTTATCGCCACTATTATTTAGTAGTGTTTACATTGTTAGGGAGAGAATCTTGCTAAATTCATGTCTCAAGATTCCAATTGAGTAAAGTCAAAGATTCACAAGTTCAGGTCTGAATGTTGCATCCGATTCACCATCCACCGACTCGCGAAGACAAATCTTGATCACAATTCAATTTTTAGTTCTTTCTATTAAATAATCATATCCATTTAATAATTACGATCTATCCAATGACATCTCATATGGTCACACAGGTCACGTCCTTGGTGTCTCTGACTCGACTTTCTTAATAGATTTATTATTTTATCTTTTCCCAAAACAAATAAATATGTCCTGTCAGAAAATTACGGCGAAATTCTTCTCTTACACTTTACTCTAAATTAATTAGAGTTTTTTTTTTTTTGCCGACAAAAAAAATTATAGTTTTTTTTATCTATTGTTAAATTAGTAAGAGTTATTTTATTGGTAAGAAATTAGTTAGAGTTTTATTTCATCTTTGATTCCATTTCGTTGATAAATACATCCACATATAATTCAATTTCATCTTTGATTTATCAATCCTCATCTGCAAATACATCTCACGTTTAGTAACTATATATCAATCCGAATCTTATTTATGGCATTAATTAACTTCGTAACGGTTTCTTTGATATAACGAATGCGGAATTTACGATCAAGAATTATGGATTATTAACTATTTTAACAGAAAAATATTATGGATTATTATTATGATCGCTTATTAATGATACCATAAATTGCAATTAAAATTAGAAAACCACGTAGTATTGACGTCAACAGCAAAAAGCCACGTGATATTTGTTATGCAAATTGCAATCCGAAGATAAGCTATGTATAACTTCAAGCTTGGCTATCAAAAATCTATATAGTTTATCTCTTTAAAATGATAACCAGGACTAAACCTCCAATCATTTTTTTAACTTAACAAAAAAAACCCTATTTTATTTTGGATGATTTAATCCTCATTTATTAATTAAATTATTTATGCAAAACTTAAATTAAATTTGAAGAAACTGATTTACTATTAAAAAATAATATTAACTATATTCCTAAATTATAACTAAGATATTATCTAAGAAAATAATTTGAAAGCTGAAATATGTAACGGTTTAATTTAACGGTTTCATATAGATGATAACAAATAAATGAAAAAGAAATTTTCACGTTTATGCTGAAAAAAAGATTTGGTCTCAGCTTTTGGCAAAGTGAGATTTCGTGATCACCAAATGGCAGTTAAGCCAAAAACTGACGAAAATACCCCTAATGGGGAAAACCAAACGTGCACAGTTAATTTCGGTTTAGTTGCATTTTCTTTGTTTTACATGTATCGGTTTAGTTTCTTTTAATTTCTTTTACGTTTTCAATTTAAAAAAAAAAAAACACGAAACCTAGAAGACGAAGAAGAAGAACGAGTGAGAGACTGAGAGATTCGAGAGAGAAGTCGAAATTCATTCATCCATCATCTTCGTTTTTCGACATCACCGATCGAATTGTTGGCTACTTGATTTGAGGCATCGCATTGAACTCCGAAAACCGGCGAACAGAAAGTTGCAGTTTTTCCGGCGAAGAGGAACTGAGAAAACTCCGGCGAGATACCAACCTTCGCGATGGATGGGAATAAACCAAAGGACGTAGTCTCGAGGAAGAAGCATACGCAGGAAGGCCCCGAGAAGGACAAGGGGGAACTCAGAGTATCCCCGAGGAGGAAACTCCCTCCGACAAAGCCGCCGGAGGAATTGGGTAAGTTCTGATATTATTTCGTTTGTAGTTTCTTTGGGTGTATCGGAATCTTAAAGCTTGTTTGATTTAAGGCATAGAAGTTGCCGGATTTTGCTAAATCTGTAGGTTGAAAATGTTTGAAGTTGAATTGGAAATCTCTGTTTCCGCCAAAATTCAGATTTTGAGTATATAATGTTGATAATTCTTGTGTACGTACACGAATTCGTATTGTTTACATTCTTACTTAATTGTATATCACTTGTAATTTCAGGCAGTACAAGTGTTGCTCCGACTGAAGATCTTATAGTTGAAGAGTTACCACCAAGACTCTTTGCTCTAGACCGGTACCCTTCGAAGACGAAGATGAACGCGTACTCCAAACCGGAGTACATTTCTGACATAGCGGAAGTTCTTAAGGGAAAAGCTGAGATGCAGATGCTTCTCGACTCTCCATTTGGGTACCTTTTTGGAATACCTGCTAACAAGTGTTCCTTCTCAGGTAAGCTTGTGCTTGGATTAATATGCCGTCAGTTAGTGACAAAGAAAGTGAATGAGATGTGGATGGTTTTCGGCGGTCATCCAATCAAATTTGGACTAAGAGAATTTAGTATTGTAACTGGGCTGGAATGTGGGCTGTATCCCAAGAAGAAAGAAGTGGAGGCTGTGCTAAAGGTTAAACCTGGGTGTAAAAAAGTCTGGGATGCTCTGTTTGTGGACAGGTTTGGGGAGAATGCGACTCCATTAGTGCATGATTTGGTGGCCTGGCTGAAGGAGGATAAATCCATGGATGGGTGGAAGCAACTGGCTCTATCACTTATAATCCTGGTAGATGGTGTGATAGCCTGCGGTAAAAACCCCATCAGGCCTCAAGATACGACTGTCGAGATGACGAAGAACGTGAAGTTCTTCTTGAAATACCCATGGGGAAGGCTGTCTTTTACCCGTACTTTGGAGAGGATAGCAAACTTCCAAACCCCTTCAGATGTTAAAAAACTGATAAGGTGTGTAAAGGATGGGTCTTATGCACTACAAGGATTCCCATTAGCACTCCAGCTCTTTGCGTTTGAAACAATCCCATCCCTTGCTAAGCTAGCACCTGATGACGAAGCGAACAGGACATTTACTCAGAGGTCTATCCATCATCTTGCCTCACTGCGGCCAATCAGGACATCCAGCATCTTGGCCTGTGAGGCTGCTGAAGAGGTATGTACAATTTTTTATGTACGTACATTATTTAAAAAGTAAGTGTACATTCTCTAAGTGGTTAACAAACTTATTCGTGTAGGTTGAGGTAACCTATCTTGTGAAACCAGATGACAATATTTGCCCTCCATCCCTGTCATGGGATGATGAAGTTGAGGATCCAAGAGTTGCTTACATTGAGCGACTGATGTTAGCTGGTCATGAGTGGCAGGAGGAAGAATGGGTTGGAGGTTCAGCTGCATTCCCAAAGCAGGAGCGCCCACCACAACTAGGAGAGATACGTGAGTGTAAATGTTGTTTTTATACTCTCTGATTATTGTCCCTTGAAGACCAATCAATGATTAAACTGATCTATCGTAGATGCGAAGAAGAGGAAAAGAAATGTACGAGGCCCGAATGCACCTGTTTTGAAAAAACAGAAATCTGTTGTGGAAGATGAAAATGAGGAAACTGCTGAGGATTGTTCTGAAGATCCCCAGTTTGAGAAGTTTGTAGTCGAACTTAGGAGGTGTTTCAGGAGGCAGGAAGCACAAAATAAACAAATGCAAGAAGACTTGAAGAACTTTGTCCGTCAAGAGATACGTGCTGCCCGTGATCCAAAGGGCAAAAAGACAGAACCAACCCAAACTTCCCATGCTTCACCCAGCCCAACTAAATCGGTGGTTAAGGCACCGATTACTGTGAAGAAGGCATCTAAAAGGATGTCTACAAAGAAAGTCTTCAAGTCTGGAACAAGAAAGTCTTCAAGGCTGAATAATATAATGACGTCAGCTGTGCAGATTACTGAGCTTTCTGATGTTAACTCGTCCTCTGAGGAAGATGACCAGGTATGGCATGTACGTACATTTATATATAGTATTTTTCCATATGTACGTACATTCAGATTAATAACTGTAACTTGTCTGCTATGGTACAGGTTGAAGCCAACAATGAAGGTGGTTTTACTGCAAATGCTGGACACGATTTTTCTAACAGAGACGAAGATATGGTTGAGACTGGAGTACCTAACATTTCAGTTGGTGGACCTACACCTTCCCATCAGGTATGTCGTGTACAAATATTTTTATCAATTATTATTCAGTTGTGTACGTACACATAGGCTTCAGAAGTGTATGGTATACTATGTTTCAGGATGAAGGAGCAGGTGATGGTGGTGAGTCTGTCCTTGTTGGTACACAGTCAGGGACCGAGGAAAAAGCTAGTGCTGACACAGAGATGGAAGAAATTCCATCTCCTGTACCTTCAACCTCTGCACAGGTATGTCTTGTGCTAATAGTCACATACTGTTTTCCATAAGTGTACGCGTATCAATTATTTTCAGTTCTCCACGTACATATAGCTTAAGCAGTGTATGGTATACTATGTTTTAGGATAAAGGACCAATTGATGGTGGTGAGCCTGTCGTAGTTGGTACACAGTCAGGGACAGATGGAAAAGCAACTGCTGACACAGAGATGGTAGAAAATCCATCTGGTTTACCTGCAACATCTGGACAGGTATATGTCTGCTAATAGTCAAATGTATATCTCAACATCGAACATTGAGATCATTTAGGAGCAACTGTGGTAAATCGACAGCTCTCGGACCCCCTTGCGTAGAACTGTATCTGCTCTTCACTACCTCTCCGAGAAGCTTATAACTAGCATGTTTATTATAATTCTTCCGAGTGTCGACGTCACACGTATGGGTGGAATCATACGATGTGATTTTGAAACATTCTGAATTCTTGACGACTTGAGCAGTCAAATGCCATGGACAAGTATCATCAACGCAAACCATCTCCAATCTTGTAGGACATGACCTAGGTTGCTTGTAGCAAAAGCATTGTTTGATTGCGAGATAAGACATTGTTTGTTGTATGACTTTTCTGTTCTTAAAAACACTCCCCACATACAAAGTCTCACCTGTCGTACTGAGTTCAACTTGTGTCTCATCGGCTCGAAAATTGGCTAAATCATCGAATACCGGAGCAGCATCATTGTCGAGAATCTCCAACTCGCCACCATGTAATGAAGAAAAGCCATTATACACTTCATAAGCCTCAGCTGCGGTAACTAGCCCATTATCATTCAGTGTCCCACTTGAGCAAGCTCCAATACCACGGTCAATGACATCATCCCCAGAGACTTCGTCTATACCATTAATATTGGTATCGGTGTTACCTTCGCAGCCTGTATCTTGTACACATTCAGTTGTGTACGTACATTGGTACAAACCATGTTGACACGTAGGTCTTGGAGTCACGGTTGGTGTACGGTCAACCGAGTTATCTCCTCCAGGTACACGACGACTTGTGTACGTACACTCTGCCATTAAACGACTGAATTCCCCTGGATGTTGAACCGTTTGTTGAGTGAGAATGACGTCCTCCTCGACATGTCCTATTCCATATTCTTCAACAATTACATCGTTCCACTTGTTGTAATCGTAATCTTCGCCACTGCCTTCACTACCATCTATAGTAGGATCGAGGGTACTTCCCCCCATAGATCCATCATCACCCTGATAATCATCATACCCAGCACCATCTTCGTTGTCCTCCTCCTCTTCTTCATCCTCATCTGTTTTATCGTCTTCAGCGTCGTCTTCCTCATATACGGCCTCATTATTTCCATCTACATTTGAAGCCGCTATGATGGGATTTGGTGTCTTTGCACTCCCACACACACGGTCACTCTCACCATCGTCACCATCGGTCCTAGGGACAGTATTCTCGAGTGCCTTGACGGTTGTAATGAAAGAGACAAACAAGGTGACACTAGGATCCCCACCACGAATCAAAAAGAAGGTATCCAGGCTCATTTGATTGTCAATGTAGACAGGAGGGCGTTTACTTTCTATCATCACTGACATCTTTCCCGGCATCCAGTAACTAATTATTGGATTGCATTCGGTGGACTTCAAACTGAAAACCTCGCATAATGTACGTACAAATTCCGTGTACGTCATGTTTTCCTTAACACGTACACAACGACCAAACCTGCCTTCCTCTGGTTCAAATTTCCATTCTTCTTCTTTGCATCTCCACTCACCCACCATAGTAAATACGGGAATATCCATTACCCACCTGCATCATAAATTCAGCAGAACCCCATTAAATGCAACTCAAAGCATGATTATATCTACAAAAAACAAAAAGAATTCCCAACTACACACTTATATACATAAATCTATCCTCATTTAGCATTTTCAACTAACAAAATTGGAAATAAAAATATTCTGGGTTTTTATATAAAAACAATGTTGATTTCGAACACAATCAAGACCCTAGTGTGTTATAACAAAAAAACTTCTTAACCAATTTCATTACTTACACGATCAATGCTTGTCTTGGCTCCAAACTTTGTAAATCAAGAAGATCAAAACTTCTCCAGCATCACATTCGTTCAGACTAATTTGTTTGTTTGATGGATCTTGTTTATCTCAATAACTTCAGTCAAACCAAAATTTAGGCAATTTTCACTTTCTGAAAAGATTCTCTCCTAATTCTTGATTATTATTTTCCGGATTCTATCCCAATTTTAAGAAAAATTAACTCCTACTATGATATTATCCCAATCAGACATTCTAGTAACATATATTGACATCTATTACCACATATGTACACACACACATAAAACCTTGTGTGTTATGTATAAATACATGTAGCAATAACACACAAACACACAAACCCCAACACACAAAAACGCTTGTGAACAAAAAAGAGAGAAACCAAAAAAACCGAACAAAAAAAATAAAACAAAACGTTCTTAATAGTTTAAATGGCAAACCGTTTCCTCCGACCAAACCTCATCCACCGTTTCTCCACCGTGAGTCCCGTCGGTCCTCCGACCACTGTCATCCCGGAGATTCTTTCCTTTGACCAACCAAAACAAGACGTTGACCTAGATCTCTCTGACCAAGCTCGACTCTTTGCTTCTGTCCCAATCTCCACCCTCCTCCGCTCAACCGCAGTTCTTCATGCTACGTCCATAGGCCCTATGGTAGATCTTGGCTCATGGCTCATGAGTTCAAAGCTCATGGACACGACCGTTACACGCGATCTAATACTCCGTGTCGTGAAAGGAACGTTTTATGACCATTTCTGCGCCGGTGAAGATGCGGCTGCCGCAGCAAGGCGCGTGAGTAGCGTTTATGAGTCTACAGGACTTAAAGGTATGTTGGTATATGGCGTTGAACATGCCGAAGACAGTGGCGCGTGTGATGAAAACATTCAGAAATTCATTGAAACCGTCGAAGCTGCTAAAACCCTACCTACGTCTCACGTAAGACATTCTCAATTCTATTTTATTTTTCTAGTCTCAAAAGAGTTCATCTTTCAGACTTTTTCTATGCATTTCTCTATTTTTCCAAAACAAAACTCTTCATATATTTTCATCAATATATGTTTTTATTATTGTTTTGGTTTAGAATTACTTTAATTAGTCGATATAGGCATATAGCCATTATTTTAATATTGATCAAATATTTTTAGTGGGGTTACATATATATGATAATCATTTTGTGCAAGTCGGATCTACCTATACAAACAAACCACCATAGATATTTATAGGGGTAGAGGCAAATGGTGAGAAATGAGGTCAATTGACCCCAATGTTATTTGCTATGTTGACATACATTTTTTGTTGGATAATTTGACATAAAACTACCTCCACCAGTTCGATTCTTCTATATGTTTTTAGATATTTTTATCTTAAAAAATTCGATCCCACTAGATTTTTTTTCTAGATCTGTCACTCCAAAAACGTGGAGTAACCGACCAATGAAAACCATTTATAAGAATAAATATATAAAAACTAAATTAGAAAAGAGACTAACGCGTGTTTAATAAACCTTTAAAAAACAACAAAGAACACCAACTTGTCTGATTTTTCTTTCGATAACGACTTTTTTTGTTTTGTTTTATAACGTCTTGTCTGAATTTTTAGTTTTGTGTTTTTTTTTTCTTTCTAAATTAGAGATATGAAATAACAATCAAAGCCACGTCGATTCCTCGTCAGACTTAAAAGTTAACACGTTAATCACGCAATGAGGACATATTTGGAAATCAGAATTGTCAACTACACGACAGGAATATTCTTCCGTATACAATAATTCCGGTTTAAACCGGTTCAACTGCTAATCAAGTTTTTTTTTTTTTTTTGTCTGTAACAGTTAAGCTCAGTGGTGATCAAAATCACAGCGACTTGTCCAATGAATCTCCTGAAACGAGTTAGTGATTTGCTCCGGTGGCAATACAAGAAGCCTAATTTCAAACTTCCATGGAAACTCAATTCATTTCCGGTTTTCTCCGGTTTAAGTCCTCTCTACCACACAACTTCTGAACCGGAACCATTAACCGTAGAGGAAGAACGAGAGCTAGAAAAAGCTCATGAACGCCTCAAATCCGTCTGTAAAAGATGTCAAGAATCGAACGTACCGTTACTAATCGATGCGGAAGACACAATTCTCCAACCGGCGATTGATTACATGGCTTATTGGTCGGCGATTATGTTCAATTCTGACAAAGACCGACCTATAGTTTACAACACGATTCAAGCCTACTTGAAAGATGCAGGAGAGAGATTGCATTTGTCTTTACGAGAATCGGAGAAAATGAATGTTCCTATTGGGTTTAAATTGGTGAGAGGTGCTTATATGTCTAGTGAAGCTAGGTTAGCAGATTCCTTGGGTCACAAGTCACCGGTCCATGACACAATTCAAGATACACACGATTGCTACAATGACTGTATGAGTTTCCTTATGGAGAAAGCCTCTAATGGATCAGGCATTGCGGTCATTCTAGCGACGCATAACACCGACTCCGGTAAGACATTGAACCATACTTATTAAATTCCTACACTAGAAAATTGAAAACTGAAAATAAGAATGAACACACTTAGATTCGATATTGTTTATTCAATATTTATTTCTCTATCATTTGGGATGATATATTTTTTTCGGTTCTGTTTGGATTCGTCTCGCTTTTATGTTCACCCTTAGATTTAATGATAAAATTGTCCCTAGACTTTGTTATACTTTAACTGTTTGTTCTTATTTATGATTCATGATAGGTAAACTAGGGGCAAGGAAAGCAAGTGAGCTAGGTTTCGATAAAGAAAACGGGAAGATCGAGTTTGCACAGCTCTACGGAATGTCGGATGCATTATCTTTCGGATTGAAAAGGGCCGGTTTCAATGTGAGCAAGTACATGCCATACGGGCCGGTTGATACTGCGGTTCCATACCTTATCCGGCGGGCATATGAGAACCGTGGTATGATGTCTACAGGTGCTCTAGACCGCCAACTTATGAGGTAACTCACCAGTTTAACACTCTGGTTTAGTCTTTGATATATAGTTTTGGTGTATATAACAGGCTAGTTCACCGGTTTAACACTTTGGTTGCGTCCGTACCGGTTTGGAAAACATCGTTTTCTGACTAGATTTGGTGTTAACAATGTGTTGGTTTGTTTGTGTCTTTGTAGGAAGGAGCTTAAGAGAAGAGTTATGGGTTGGTGATTGGTGAAGACGGAAGATATATATATATATATATCTATACTAGTATAATTGCAGCACTTTTTGTGACGGGTGGGTAAAAAATCTTACGGGTATATCGGATATCCGACCCGTTTTAAAAATTCCTTCACAAAAATAAACTTGGATCGGGACAAATTAAACCCAACTCATACACCGGATATTCCATATTTAATAATTTAGATATTTAGAAGATTTGATTGAAATTTATAATTATGATTCTCCTATCATCTTTGTTTGATTTGTTTTTAACTGTTTTGAATCATCATATAATACATAAAGTAAAAAAAAATCAATTTTTTTTTCTGCATATACTGTGATTCGAAATTTAAAAAACGGACATATATTATCTAATTGACGAAAATGTGTGTTCAACGTTCTACATCGATTAAATTATTTAGACAATGATTCAGAATCGTATCATAAATAAGAACATTAATAAAATAAATGAGTTTTTTTGCCGGACGGGTTTGGCGGGACGGGTTTTTGAATCAACAATAATAAAAAAATTAAAATATCATTAATCCGCCGCTTCAATACGGATTAAATCTTCTTTTTTAATACCACAAATATTAGACATATTAAATCAGTCTCATTTAGAAAAGATTGTATAAAACCAAAAATTGTCCCATGGTATAATGTCCCGTGGTCTTAGAGGATGATATGATTTGTAAACTTTTATATATAATAAATAATCATTAAATTTTAAAATAAAAACAAATCACGGGATGGGTTAAAAAATTACGGAACAGGTTATATTTCGGAAAGGATTTATATGGCGGACGAATTTGAATCAATATTTATATACCGCTTTAATACGGGTTAAATCCTCTGTTTATTAATAATTGTCTCGTGGACTCGTGGTATACCGTTACTTAATAACAATTATAAACTATAATATAAATAAATATGTTATAAGGAGATACAATTTACAAAATATTTTTATACTAATTTTAAAATTAAATCATCCCGCGGTATACCGCGGGTTAAAATCTAGTATATATATATATATATATATATATATATATATATATATATATATATATATATAAATGTGCTTCATTCATGGTCATGGCAAATATAGATTTTAAAATTATATAAATGGAGTAGCAAAATATCTGAAGTAGGTTGATCACAAAAGGGTATCATCCACAAATGTATAATTCCTTATTAGTGATCAATGAAAATGCAATTTGCATATTTCATTTTTTGCTTAAATCAATAATATATATTTTTATTTAAAATTTACTATGATTTTTTGAAAAGTGTGTTTCTTCATGTTGATTTTCGTATAAATTTTTCAAAAAAAATTTTGGTAAAAAATTTATCACAACTAAAACACCATAAGAAGGATCAAAGCAAAAATATATGAACTCTATACAAGGACCACAACATGCTAATCGTATGTAATTGTTGGGAAAATTAGTAGGTTCTCATATATGTGATGATATGATAATGTCGATGATGATCATAATGAGAAGACGATGATGATGGTCATAATGAGAAGATGATGATGATGATTGTATGATGATCATGATATGATGATCGTGATGAGAAAAACAAACAAAAATGGGTAACCCATCAAATCTATTACAATATCCCATGTTACAAACACATTAGACTCACCAACCATTTTTTTTTTTTTTTTTTGGGCAAAGTTTTGTTTGACTAAGACATTAAGTTTCTAATACAAGGGTTCACAAAGAGGATTTAGCTAGAGCATCTGCCTCTTGGTTTTCTCCTCTCGGAAAGAAATTGAAAGCGATTTTGCAAAAATTGAAAAGTAGAGTCAGTTTATCATGAAGAATCCCATGGAACTCCTTTGAAGGTTGCTCCAAATTTATAGCTTCGATTGCTTGTTTAGAATCTGAAGCGATTGTGATGTTTGAGATCCCTAGAGATAGGGCATGTTGAAGAGCGAGGTGAATTGCTATGGTCTCTGCCATAAGAGGCGATCTGATATGGAGACTGGTGGAGGAACCTTCATGGCGAAAACCCTCCAATCGATTGGATAAGATTAAGCCGAAACCTGCAGTCTTTTGATTTTCGTGCCAAGCCGCGTCTGTATGGTAAGTATAAGATCTAGCTTCATCTCTTTTTCGGTTGATAAGTTTTGTCACATTGGATGACGATTCGGGTTTATGCTCTTGGGCTCCTTGCCATTCTTTGGCGATTGCGATTGCATGAGCCAGTGTATCCATTGGTGATGTTGCTTTATCATTAAAGATCTTCTGGCTCCTCGCAATCCAGATTGCCCAGATTATCCAAGGTAAATATCGGTAACTACTCAAACTATTCAAAATACTTAAAATTTAATGAAATACCACAAAAATAGGTAAATGTGGTGAATGGGTTAGTTAGGTTCGGGTTTTTTTGAGATTCGGTTCAGGTTTTTACGGCTACCCAAAGTTTCGGTCTCTAAAACCTTTTCAGATATTTTTAGGCTCAGATAGGATATTTCGAACCAGATTCGGTTCGTATCTTCGGATCCAACTATTTTCCTAGCCCTAACATGAGTGAATGATTAGATAATTAAAAATTTACATTTATCATAACATTAAATAAAATAAAATAAAATAATCGAAAAAATCTGCAGCGTAGCGCGGGTGATCACCTAGTTGAAATAAATAATGAAAATTTTATAATTAAATTAGGACACATGTCGCAATCTAAAATTATTAGCACGATGATATATGATTAATCTTTTATATATCAAAACTACAACAATTAAACTTAAAATATGTAAATCATGATATATGTATATACTAGAATAGTAATTGTAATTTTTTCCTTTTTAGGATTAGTAATTTACTATATCTTTTTATTTTATTTTTATATACCTTTATAAAAAGGGTAATTGTCATTTTTATTTACTTTTATGATTTGTAAATTATTATATAATTATTTTTACACGTGTAAAAAAATCTGTAACATAATCTTAAATTTGAAATAAAATATTCACATACATCTAAATTTATACATTCTAAGTTTATATAATACCAAAAGATCCGCTGTAGCACTTTGGTTAAATCTCAACATCTAGATCCTTTGATATCTGGCTTTGAATTCTGGGTTCAAAGCCCGGCAGCGGAACACCTTTTTTGTTATCGAAAATGCCATAACACTAATTTGATATGATAGTCTTTATACATATACTTTGTTCTCCTTCATTCATAAGATTTTGAGCCGACTTTACTCTTATATATGGATGGTATAATAAATTGGGTGCAAAAACTCCACACTTGAGTCTTGCAATTTGTTATATACGACCAACTTTGGTCTCTGTTGAGTTTTGTCTTTGATTTCTTCTATTCTTTAATTCTTTAATATGTTTTATTATTAATTCTCTGATATGTTTGCTTGTATGATCTGCTCCAGTGCCTTACTCTTTGAAGCTGGAAACTGTTGATCATGAAAAGAATCGGTTAACTCAAAGAGTCGGTTAACTCAAGTATGTGTAGTTGGAAACATCTCTTATGAATTTGTGTGCAGGCACCAACCGATATTACTTGATGTGTATGAATGAGTTTTTGGCGTTCGGAGGTGGACGAAACTTCGCTCTTTGTATAGACGAATATTTGTCGTAAGGTACAATCTGGCTCCATCTCATTTAAAAAAAAAGTCCACTTTTAAAGTTTTAATGATACTCGAACCGAAAGTTTCAACCTGAACAACATTGAAGGCAACAAGTGGACCTTCTGAAACCTTTGGGATCAAATGCTTAGCTAGCAGAACAGAGTTTGAGTTAAAGAATGTTTAGGTAAAGCTGTATATATATCAAGTTTCCGCGATGGCAACTTTATTCGACATATTAAGCAATCTTACTTGGGTTTTGAAGTAATCAGTGTAAGCTCATGTTGTTAAAGCAGTAACTCTCAATACCTCTCCTGAGTCCTGACCTTAGAGATCCCTTTCTTTGTGGAGAATCAAGATACCTCAATAGAAAGCAAAACTTACCGTTTACAGACCTAAGCATAGAAACCAAGCCTCTCTCCATTCTTCTTAGCAAGCTTGATCAGCCCTTGTCTCCGTTTAGCATCTGCTCCAATCGATTTGCAAAACTCAGTGATCACCTGAAAGAACAAAACCCATTTCCGCAAAACTCATGGTAATTTTATTACTTTTATGATTTGTAATTTGGGAAAAATGTCATTAAAATCCCCAACTTATTCAAAACGTTGATTTAAGTCCTCAACTCACGACGAAACGAAATAAATATCAAACTTATGTTGACTTTCCAAATAAATATTAAATTTATGTTGACTTTCCAAATAAACACCAAACTTTCATTGACTTGGCCATATTAGGCATGACGTTAAGTGAGTTAACAGACCATGTTAACGGAATTAATTTTCTGTTATCAGACCCGCTAATTAAAAATGACAGTATTCCTTCTAAACATAAAACGACGTTGTTTTGTCGTAACTGCTCAATAAAATCTCAAGTTTCAAATCATATGAAGATTTAGGGTTAGGGATTTTGCTCGATTTGGAAATCTAAGATTGACTTTAGGGATTTAATTCAATCGTTATGACAAAACAACGTCGTTTTGTTGTTATATGAAACGATGTTGTTATCAATTAACATGTATGTTAATAGAAAATTAACTCCGTTAACGAGATCTATTAACCCACTTAACGTCGTACCTAATATGGCTAGGTCAACGGAAGTTTGATTTTTATTTGGAAAGTCAACATAAGTTTGATATTTATTTAGAAAGTCAACATAAATTTGATATTTATTTCGTTTCGTCATGAGTTGAGGATTTAAATCAACGTTTTGAATAAGTTGGGGATTTTAACGACATTTTTCCCTTTGTAATTTATAATAAGATTTTTTTTACACATGTCAAAATCTGATCGATAGACTTCACACGTGTCATTATCCTATGAATTACTAACATTGAAAACCAAGCTATGAGTTACTAATTTTTTCCTTGTTAGGATTAGTAATTTACCATATTTTTTTTTAAATTTTGTATTACCTTTTAAAAAGGTAATTGTAATTTTTTTACTTTTATGATTTGTAATTTATTATATAATTTTTTTTACACCTATCAAAAAATATGTAACAAAATCTTAAATTTGAAATAAAATATTCACGTACATCTAAATTTATACATTCTGCATTCATATAGTAACAAAAGATCCGCTGTAGCACTTTGGTTAAATCTCAACATCTAGATCTTTCGATATCTGGCTTTGAATTCCGGGTTCAAAGCCCGGCAGCGGAACACTTTTTTGTTATCTAAAACGCCATAACACTAATTTGATATCATAGTCTTTGTTCTCCTTCATTCATAAGATTTTGAGCCGACTTTATTTGTATATATTGATGGTATAATAAATTGGGTGCAAAAACTCCACACTCGAGTCTTGCAATTTGTTATATACGACCCACTTTGGTCTCTATTGAGTTTTGTCTTTGATATGTTTTATCATTAATTCTTTGATATGTTTGCTTGTATGATCAGCTCGAGTGAAGCTGGTAAGTGTTGATCATGAAAAGGTAAAAATCTTACCTTGATCCACACTTGTTTTAGTTTGTTGAAATTGTTTTTTTTTTTAATGCAATTTCAAAACTTATTCAATCTAATGTTCCAAGGGAAAAAATTATATTTCTTTTTGTTTATCAGCCTGAAATTGTCAATTACAAAACTTGATCATAATAACACATTCATGCTATTGCTCAGAAGCTTCATTAGAGTCTGAACCCACAAAGCTACCCACAAAGCTCATGTTTTTCATGCAGATGTATTCTTCCTTAGAAAGGCTTAAACCTACGAGCGGCCCGAAGTTGTTGTATCCTCTTCTTGTCTTGCTCGAACTTACTCTGAAGCGACAAGATTTCTGTCAACAAACAAGAAAACACAAAACCAAGAATCAATCATCAGAATAAGGGCAGACAGATCGAAGGGCCGCATGTGCCTAGCAGGTGCATACAAAATCTGACCCGAGCCAAACCGAAACTGACACAAACCAAGTTTGAAACTTCAATATAGAAAAGCCAGGGCTTACCATTAAGTTGTGCTTCTCGCCTTTGGAAACGGTAGAAACCATGAGCGACAGGCTCACTCTGTTTCTTCTTAGAGATTTTATCCTCTATAGCAGCCTGAGAAAAAGATCCAACCGCTGTTCCAGATTCAGTTTCTGTTGTCTTTTTCCTTCCTTTGTGATGCACGACCACAGTCCATCCACCTTCTGCAGCTTTAGCTTCTCTATCTTGTTTCTCCTGTTCAACACATATGACAGCTATAGCATTAGACAAAACATATGTAGTCTCTTAGACAATAGACATGAACACTTGAAAATATAGGAGAAAAGGAAGAACCTGTTCAAGGCGTTCTTCGTGAGCAGTCATGAAGTCATCGATTCTCTTTTGCAGCTCATCTAAACCAGGTCTACCCTCATAGTAATTAGTAACCCATTCTGCAGTGTGAAAGAGAACTTATCAAATTAAGGCAGAAACAGATTCAAGAGTGTTCAGGCTTATCTAATCATATTCAGCTAATAATGGAAGAAACAGCAATCATTTTTGTTTCAATCATACTTTTCATTCCCCTTGTGCAATCCTCATCGCCTGAAGAAATTTGATAAACATCTTCCTCCTCTTCAATTTTGTTCTCTTTCGTAGAGGTCATGTCCATCTTTTTCTTCTTATTTGATTTCTTAGACTTGCCTACAAAAAACGATTTACTTTATTAACAAGACCCCAAACAAGACAATGACTGCATCAAGCAGCTCTGAACTACCGGTTTATTACTTCAGTTCCAATACGACCATGTCAAACATTAATAACATTCATAAAAACCTCCTCAGATTAACATCATATGACAGAATTAGATAGACTGTAAAGTTAACATACTGCTAAAAAAATATCATACAAAGACTTGAAACTAGATAAAGTTCTTCATGCAAATGTTGAGAGAACTAACATGAGACAAACACAACATGGTAATGAACTACTCACCTTCTCCTTTCAGATGATCAGCTTCAACTGTAGCGCTAATTATTTCCTCGGCCTTCCTTTTCTTTTTTATCTTGTTCATTTTACCCTTCTTTCCTTTGACTATAACAAGAACAAAAGATACTAAACTCAATACCAGAATTTAACAACTGGGTAATAGACTGCTCTGCCAAAAATAAAAGAATTCACCTTCCAGATTCGGTTCGCTTATATCAGCATTGCCTACTTTCTCTTTTCTCTTCTTCATCTTCCCACTAAGCTTCCCATCAGCTGGAGAACTTTCTATTTCCTTAATCTTCTGAATCTTCTTCTTCAATTCAACCTTCTTTCGTTTCGGTTTCTCACTTGAATTAGCTGTAAGGAAACAAACAAGATACTAAATTCAACACCAGAACACATCTTATAACACTTAAGAACTTCTAAATTTATCAAAGCCAAAACTTTCACCTTGGAGCTGTGTAACCTGAGATTGCTCGTTTAATTCGACATTGCTCACTTGAACTTTCTTCTTCCTCAGAATTTTTTTCCCAACTCTCGTTCCACCAGTTTCCCCTGCATTGATTTTATCAGTCACTTCAATTAGACAAACAGAAATTTACAAAAGCAATTAACTTCTGTTGCACAAGATAAACCCTTTGTAATTGAGTTCAATGTCATTCCAAATCAAATAAGTTAACTCTAAGAACACAATCTAGTATACACAATAGCCATCAACACAAAACAGAACAGTACAAACTCTTATAAGGTCTTATCGGTTTTGCAATGAAAAATCTTTAATCAATTCAGAATCTTCAAACCCAAGTAAGCAAGAATGAACAAAATTCTAAGCATATAATCGAATTAAGAGAAAAAAGAATCAAACGCGAGAAAATTAGACCTACCTTCAGGGAGATTTGTCTTCTTTAGCTTTCTCGTCACCTTCATCTTCTTTCTATCTCGTGAGAAACAAAAAATCTGTCGGCGATTATCGGCGTCGACGCTCTCGGAAAAATTGGGATTAGTCAGGCCACGACGATGTAAATTAGGGTTTTTGCGTTTTGAGGTTTTGGACAGATACAGGGGTAAAGTTGTTAATAGTAGCAAGACTAGAGGACATATACGTATTTCTTCTAAACCGGTCCGTTCCCAAGTTACATTCGATTCGGTTCGGTATTTTAAATTAGGCTGGTTACTGATCTAGTATTTGGTACAAAAGCTGAAATTATTTTTATGGAAATCGGTTTGGTTTCGAATTGATGAATTTTGATCCGGAAAGATTGAGTTTTCAATTCGTATTTTCTCAAAAATTGGCCAGTTCCCGGTACGTTCGGTTCCGGTTTTCATTTCAGTTGTTTAATCAACTATTGGCAAATAATCCGGCCTGGTTAATAGCAGCAAGACGAGAGGACATATACGTATTCTTTAGTAAACCGGTCTAAAATTCGGTTTCTTTTCGAATTGATAAATTTTGATTCGGTTCAGTTCGATTTTAATACGTATCTCGTTTCCGGTTTTGATTTCGGTCGTTTAATTGGTAAATAACCCGGTCTGGTTCATCTAGTGAGAAATTCAAACCGGTTTAGGCCTTCTCTTAATCATCGTCACTCTTCTTTGTTACAAGTTACAAGACTTGAGCAACAACAATGGTGAATTTGTTGTCTACAAATCGAGAAGCTTTGATTGCACAAAGCATCTGTGCAACTGTATTGAAAGGAAACTGGAAAAATATTATGAAACACAAAGTTGATTCTGGGTTATTGAAATCATCGATAATCACTCAGGTAATCTCCGAGCTTTCTCTGTATTCTGGTTATGGTGGACCTTCTCTTTCATGGAGTTTCTTTACCTGGACTGATTCGTTACCTAGTTGCAAGCATAGTTTACAATCATCTTGGAAAATGATTTTGATTCTCACAAAACACAAGCATTTCAAAACTGCACACCAACTGCTCGATAAATTGTCTCAGAGAGAGCTTTTGTCATCTCCTCTGGTTTTGAGATCTTTAGTTGGTGGTGTTTCTGAAGACCCAGAAGTTTTATCTCACGTTTTTAGCTGGTTGATGATATTTTACGCGAAATCCGGGATGATCAATGATTCGATTGCGGTGTTTGAGCAGATTAGGAGTTGTGGATTGAAGCCTCATTTGCAGGCTTGTACTGTGTTACTTAATAGTTTGGTTAAAGAGAGATTGACTGATACAGTTTGGAAGATTTTCAAGAAGATGGTTAAGTTAGGTGTTGTTGCTAACATTCATGTGTATAATGTATTGGTTCATGCTTGTTCTAAGTCCGGTGATTCTGAGAAAGCCGAGAAGTTGTTGAGCGAGATGGAAGAAAAAGGTGTGTTTCCTGATATTTTTAGTTACAACACGTTGATCTCTGTATATTGCAAAAAGAGTATGCATTTCGAGGCTTTATCCGTGCAAGATAGGATGGAGAGAAGTGGGGTTGCTCCTGATATTGTCACTTATAACTCACTCATACATGGGTTTTGTAGAGAAGGTAGAATGAGGGAAGCGACGCGGCTTTTTCGGGAGATCAAAGGCGTTGTGACGGCGAACCATGTTACTTATACTACTTTGATTGATGGATATTGTAGAATGAATGATATAGATGAAGCTTTGAGGTTACGAGAGGTAATGGAGGCAAGAGGGTTTTGTCCTGGAGTTGTGACTTACAACTCGATTCTACGTAAGTTATGTGAAGATGGAAGAATAAGAGAAGCTAACCGGCTTTTGACTGAGATGAGTGGAAAAAAGATAGAACCTGATAATATCACCTGCAACACTTTGATCAACGCATATTGCAAAATCGAAGACATGGTATCTGCAGTGAAGGTAAAGAAGAAGATGATTGAATCAGGGCTAAAGCTGGACATGTATTCATACAAAGCATTGATTCACGGGTTTTGTAAAGTGCTGGAACTGGACAACGCAAAGGAGGAACTGTTCTCTATGATAGAGAAAGGCTTCTCTCCAGGATATTCGGCATATTCTTGGCTTGTGGATGGATTCTATAACCAGAACAAGCAAGACGAAATCACAAAACTCCCAGAGGAGTTTGAAAAAAGAGGTCTTTGCCCTGATGTTGCTCTATACAGAGGATTAATAAGAAGGATTTGTAAGTTAGAACAGGTGGATTACGCCAAAGGGTTGTTTGAATCAATGGAAAAGAAGGGTTTAATGGGAGATAGCGTTATATACACGAGCATGGCGTATGCATATTGGAGAACAGGGAAGGTAACTGAAGCTTCTGCTCTGTTCGATGTAATGTATAATCGACGGTTGATGGTAAACTTGAAACTTTATAAATCTCTCAGTGCCTCTTACGCTGGTGATAACGATGTTTTGAAATTCTTTTGGAGTCATGTAGGTGATAGATGTCTTATATCGAAGAGTATTTTACGAGAAATGAACAAAAGCGAGGTCTTATGAAGTGAGTGCTTGTATAAGCTCAGTACTGATCATGATCAATGTTGACATACTTGGTTAGACTGTTATTTTTCTTTAATCTCTTTAAAATTTAATCATTTGTCAACATTATCAAACAACATACATTATGAAAATTTAAATCCAGCTTATGTTAACACTAAACTACTAATCTACCTGGATTTAAACTTCAAATCCTAAAAAGATGCAATACTTGTAATAATAAAGCTGAATTAATCAAATCAAAACTGTACTAAAACAAAAGACGAGATCACAATCATTAGAACAAGTCAATCGAGCTAAAAATATCCAACAAACGAGTCAAACTCCCATATAACTCTAATCTCATGAACTAAATACGGATTAATCATCCTAATCTCCACATGACCCGGAACACCCCATATTCCAACACTTTACTGCCATGTGTCAGAAAATGAAAGCTTCATGAGAGCTATATAAATTATGGAACCTTTGGAGGAACTTAACTCAATTCACTAATCCCATATTCACACTCTTATTCAAAGCAAAAACTTATCTTTCTTTTCACTAAATCTATTCGAAAATGTCAAGCAACTCCCAGAACATAAGCTTCCAAGCCGGCCAGGCCAAAGGCCAAACTCAGGTAATCCTAATCCTAAATTACTTCAACTATATAAAAAAAAGTTTTTTGGTCTATTTATAAAACATAATTTTAATTAAAGATTTCAAGAGCTTTCTAGTTTTTTGTGTGAGATTTTTTCTTGTAATGTGTTGATGGTGTTCAGGAGAAGGCTAGCACTATGATGGACAAGGCTAGCAATGCTGCCCAATCTGCCAAGGAGTCTCTCCAAGAGGTTGGTAAAATCAAGATAATTTTCATGATTAAATTGAATCCGAACTTAGAAATAAAAATAAATAAGAATTCTTGAAATAACATGGAACTAAATTGTTTCACTTGTAAACATTTGTATAGACCGGCCAGCAGATTAAGGAGAAGGCACAAGGAGCTACCGAATCAGTGAAGAATGCGACCGGCATCAACAAATGAAGACAATAATCATATGATTCATTATGCTATATTTTTTTCACGAATAAAAACAATAATTCATTTTTTGAAACCTAAAGATTAGGTTCAACGGTTTGATTATTCAAACTGTTGTTTTTTTCCTTTCTTAATATTATTACTACTTTGATTGGGTTTTGCTTCTGTTCTCATGATCATGTATTCTTTGAGATCCTTTTTCATTTTTAGAGATCTCTAATAAAATAGCAATGTCTTATGATCATTTCTGCTTTTCAAATATTCCATATCATATGAAAATGTGGCCGAAACCAATCTAAATTTTATGTGTAACCGATTGTTTTTTTTTATATACTCGATCAACTGATCCAGTCAGCTCCGGTAGAAACGTACCAAAGTGTTTCAGAATGCGTCCAATAACCCGAAATCAAATCCAAACCGCAACTAGTGTATAGAAACCAAACCAAATCAAATAAATTAATTTTCTTATAATTTTACATTTTATAGAGACTATAACAGGTTTACAAAAAAAAAAAAGAGACTATAACTAAATCGTTGTTACATATTCTTATAATTTATTTGGTAAAAATGATTATAAAAAAGTTCAGATAACAAAAGACTCAAGAAAAAAAAAAAATTAAGAAACTAAACATACAATCTTATATGTGATAAAAATGATACTAGAATTGACTATAAACTTTATAATTGTTTGTAACTTGAGACACAATAAGTTTAGCTTCAACTATACTAATATAAAAAAAATAATTCACACAAATAATTTGTTTTCTTAATTTGCCTCATTAATACATATTCCTATACATAATTTATTTGGTTTTTAGGATGAAATTTAAACATATGAGAATAGGTTACACAGTAATTTATATATCTTGTACAAAGGACTCGATAGATTAATCAACATCAACTCACAAATCGATTATTTAAGAAAATTGTGGCATCACAAACACAAAGGATCTAAGCTTGGTAACAAAAGAGATCAAAGAATCTCTTAAGCGTTCAAGAAAGAATAAACCCTTTTAGGACAAAACCTCAGAAGGCAACTTGGCATCTAAAGACTGTGCAAAACTCATCACTTTTTGGTTAAACTATATAAATAACTAACCCAACAAACTCGAGAAGAAAAAAGCTAGTGGAAGAGGAAAGATCAGTTCTCAAGATCAACGAGGCAATGAGTCTGGATAGTGATTCAATGGTCCCGGTTAACTCCGGGTTAGAGAACTTAAACTCTCCAATTCTCTCTAAGATTTGTGCGTGGGGCGTAATGTTGGGGCTCTTTGCGATTTCATTGATCGCGATGGCCTATGCTTGCTATCATAAGCAACACGCTTCGAATTCATGTATCGAAGAGCAAGAGAAATCAGGAAAGAAGCAAGTGTTGAAGCCACTAGATATGGAACCAAAGATTGTTGTTATAATGGCTGGTAATGAAAACCCTACCTTCTTTGCCAAGCCAACCAAGATCAATGCATGACCAATATTGTCTAAAATAATCATGTCCAAAATCGCTAGATTAGTGTTTTGTTTTTCTTCCGTTATGCTTGTTAATTGGGTTCGATAAGCAAGACGACACCATTTATGTATATCCTTGACTAATATTCTGCTGATTTCTAATTTAAACTCAGATTAATTCGTTGTTGATGATAAACATTGTTTCTTTGTTTAACTTGTCACGAAGAAAATATTTTGTAAACTTCTATACCAACCAAAACAACTCGAGTAGGATTTTTGTCTATTAAAATTTCTGTTTGTAGTAAGACTTGAATAGAAATTACATACGAACCCCCATTAGAACAAAAACTAAGTTACACTACCCTCTTATCTCAAGAGTCCATCATCAAACAATATCAGTAAGAGTTTGAGATCAAAGGGTTCATCAAAGAGACAGTCACAAAACAAGCTTAATTACCTACAAAGCAAAAGAGTGCCGATATTTATAAGCGAAAACAATTGTCAATTTGCATTCCGCTAAGCAACGCAACACAAGACATTCTTTCAAATGTGGCAATACATAAAACAACAAGGCGACATAACTTGTCTCATCTCTCATGAGTCATTTATGAAAGAGTAGCAGCAATAGCACACACAAATTGATAAGCTTTAGGGACTGTAAGCACAGCTTCAAACCACTCGACCTTGCCCCAAATCTCGTCATTCTTCCGTTTGTCAAGCGAAATCTCGGCACACCAAATCATCTTCTCCTCCTCAAACTCAGTTACAGGAACATTTTGGTCCCACAAAACCATCAGCTTACCACCATAATTCACCAATCTAACAGTACTATCACTATCAAACTTAGGTAAACCCTCTAAACCCTTTAATTTTCTCGCACCTTCTTCCTCCTTGTCAAAGTATAACCACAGAAACTCCCCATTGGGTTTATTATAAGAATAGAGTATGTTCTCTATCATACCAACAGAAGCCCATCCCTTACTCCCCATTGGGTTTATTATAAGAATAGAGTATGTTCCAACAACCACTTATGACTAATATTCTGCTGATTTGTTTATATTCATATACTCGATTAAATTTTTATTTTTTAATTATAAACGTGTTATTAGTTCCTTGTTTAATTTTTCAAAAGGAAAATATTTTGTTAATAAACTTTTCTATCGACATAAAAATAAATTATGACAAAGATATATATGTCTAGTCTAAAAATTCATCATTACATAATTCATAAATCAAAGAAAAAAACCAAAGAACACTATCAAGAAAAAATAAAGAATAAACCAAAGAACGAATAAACTACATCATAATATAAAATAGTTAAATATTAGAAGTGGGTACAATATGTGTTTGTGTTCGGTTTAAGTAAAACCTAACATATAGAGCTGCTAACATGAAGATGACCAAGATAGACACCACGGCTACGATAACTTGGAAGAAACCAGGCTCCATATTGTTTCTTCACTACGCACTTCAAAATTTGTTCTTTCTCACTTATTTTTTTCGTGTCTTCTTCTCTTTCTCGGATGCAAATTATACTTAATATGTGTATTGAAACAAAAGTTTAGATTTTTGTAAATAGACCGGTGATATTTGTAAGTTTTACATTTTGTTATTAAGAAACACTAACTAGGAAAATTGGAAATTTTACATTTTGTCATTAAGGAGCATTAACTAGGAAAAAGAATACATTTTCCATTTTATGGTAGCTTTATTTAGAGTGCTAGATCCTCGAATATATTGTGTTTGTTTGCATATGTGTGTGTTAGTATTACTATAGAATGTATTGAATTACACTTTTGAGTCAATTTTGGTTCAGTGGTATCGTTCGATCCTCGAAACATTTTAAGATTGGTCTTTAGTTATGCATGTTGATCTCTTCTGCCAAAAATAAATAAATAAAAATCAATACAAGTTGATTACTTCATTATTTGACAATGTTTAAAATTCCAACCAACGTCCAAAGATGAAAGTGTTAACCATAACCAAGTCACCTTGGTCTAGTAGTTAAAGAAGGTAATTCCCGCCACCTGAGTTTGAGTAGCATTGACTACCAGGGTTCAAGCAATTTAACATGGTTTTCCGGGCACAAGAATCATGATTAGTCTTTGAGCCTAGAAAGCATTTAGGATCACCTGAGTAATATATATATATATATATATATATATATATATAAAAGTGTTAACCAGACAAGACTTTGTTATATACTTCTATTTCGTATTCCTCTTTCTAGTATTTTATTTTAGAAAGTTCAGTTGGATTTGAGCTGGGAAAGCTTGGTTTTGTCTAGGACTATATATGTTTGATAGCCAAGTGATCAAGTTTGTTTCTTCTTGTTCAACAAAGTGTTTGACATTGGAAACCCTAAACGGCAAATTCAAGGCTCTTTACGCATTGATGATATACAGAAACATGGCAATTTTTGGGGTGCAAGGCTAGCTACTTATAGAGATCTTGTGCTTAGGTTGGAATTATGTAGATTTGGTCGCCACACTATTATTTGTTTTTGTCAATCATACGGATTATTTTTTCTAAAATAATGGCTTTCACATGAAATAAAGGGAGATTTTTATAAATATACTAAATTTTATAAGAAATTTGAAATTATACCCAGTTTAATAATAATTTGAAAACTAATTTTTTCCATTGAAAATTGACCGTAATACCCATTTTATTTATTTATGTAAATTAAATTAAAATAATAGAAATTAAATTATGAATAAATTTTAAAATATATAGATTTAATAAAATTTGTAATTAAGATTTTTTTAAATGAACATTTTTAAAAAATTATTTACTATGAGTAGAGTAATCATTATCTAAAATTTTGAATAAAAAATAGAAAAAAATAATGAATAATATTTTTATAATTTCAAGTAATTCAAAATTATATAATTTATCATAAAAAATAATAATAATATTTTTCTTTGATATTTTTGGTAAACTTATTTTATTATATGTTTATTCATAAATAAAGTCGATTTTTGAATTGTCGACTTATTTTTTACTTTTGTTAACTTAATTTTTTCTCCATCTACGTATTTCAAAATAGTCTACTTATATTTTTTTTTGTTGATTTATAACATAGTCGGGTTTTTAAACTTTTGACTTAATTTTTTTGCTCATCGATTTAGAGTTTTTTCAGTCAACTTGTTTATATATGGTACTTACGTCATTATAAGTTGACTTATTAATAAGTTCGATTTTTTGAACTGGCGACTTCTATTTCATTTCGTTGACTAAATTTATTTTGTCTATCGACTTATTTAAAACAACTAACTTATATATAAGTTGATTGATTTTTAACATAGTCGACTTTTTAAATTGTTGACTTATTTTTCTTGATTGTTGATTTTAATTTTTTTCTTCCGCCGACTTGTTTATTCTTTGTAGAATTATTATATTTTATGTTGATTTATTAATGAAGTAGATTTTTGAACTGTCCACTTACATTTATTTCAGTTGACTTAATTTTCTTCTCTGTCGACTTATATTTTGGTCAACTGATTTTTTACATTGATGATAAATTATAACTGTTTATTTTATTAAAAATCGAGATAACTAATAATTTAAGTTAAAATAATTTAATTTTGGTTATAACTTTTAAATTAATAATTTAATTTAAAAATAAATATTAGGTATGAAATTATATTCTTAATTAGTATGAATATATATATATATATATATATATATATATATATATATTATAAAATTATATTCGTATTTTTATATTATGTATCATTATTATCAGCACGTTACCTAGATTTGTTCGGCAACTCAGTTTCAATATATACCACATGTTTTTTTGCCTTATCCAGCGCATGTTAATTATCTTATTAAGTGCTGATCTGTTTCAAACTTAACAAAATAAGCAATTTGCTTTCATCTCTTTGGTTGTATATATTGAAAGTGAGATTGATAACATTTTAAGAGAATAACGATCAAACACAGAATCACCATGTCAACATCTTCTCAATCGTACCCAATGAGCGGCGGTGATGATAAACACAGTTACATCCATAATTCCTCATACCAAGTATGTTATCTAACCTTCATAAATATTTTATACGATTGTAATCATGATTGATTTTGTTATTCCTAGAATATAACCATATGATGCAATTTTTGTGAGACAAATTCCTAGATATATCTAGCACACTGAAATAGTTAACATACATTGTTGTGATACAGAAAGCAGGCATAGATGGGGTTCAAGAAAAGGCAAGACAATACATTTTAAAAAACCTTGATCTCCTAAATATGAATCCCAATCTTAGTACTTTTACAATTGCAGATTTTGGTTGTTCTATTGGCCCTAACACTTTTCATGCTGTTCAAAACATCATTGATATTGTGAAACTTAAAGAAAGCCAAGAAAATAGGTTTGTGCCTCTTGAGTTCCAAGTTTACTTCAACGATCTACCGAACAATGACTTTAACACGCTCTTTAGGACTCAACCTCCTTCCTCCGGACAAGAATATTTCTCGGTCGGAGTTCCAGGTTCTTTCTATGGAAGGGTGTTACCAAGAAATAGCATCCACATCGGAAATACTTCCTTCACGACTCATTGGCTTTCAAAAGTTCCTGAAGAAGTTTGTGACAAGAAATCTCCAGCTTGGAACAAAAATTACATTCATTGTAATGATTTGATAGAAGAAGTTACCGAGGCTTACAAGGTCCAGTTCACTAAAGACATGAGGGTCTTTCTTAAAGCTAGAGCTGAAGAACTTGTGGCTGGAGGATTGATGATCGCATTAGGACAATGTTTGCCCGATGGTGTGGCCATGTATGAGACATGGCCAGGTATTGTGAAGGATACCATCGGTGATTGTCTTCAGGATATGGCCACATTGGTAAGATATAAAATTCCAAAGTATTTTTTTTTATATATACCCAAATCATCATATCTAGTTTTTAAAGCCTAGATCATATATTTTGTTTGATGCTTTAGAATTGGATTATGAGAAATTGGTATTAATCAAGTGTGTTTTTTCTCCTTTATAGGGATTAACCACTGAGGAAAAGATCGAAATGTTCAACTTGCCCGTATATTTTCCTCAATCTAGTGAATTGAAAGGAGCGATTGAACAAAACAAAAGCTTTACAATTGAGATGATGGAGATTGTAAGCCATCCATTGGAGGCTATGCAATTATCCAACAACTTCGTCACTTCTATGTATCGAGCAATTCTCTCTACAGTTATAGAAGAACACTTTGGAGATAGTGTGGTCGATGAACTATTTCGTCGATTTGCTGAGAAACTTTCTAAGCACCCGATTGATTTTGAAAAGTGTAAGAAGCAAATGGTCTATCATATCGTTCTTAAACGAAAGTGAGTACTGAGATTATCCAAAACGTTATGTATTGTTCAAGTCCAAAGTGTTATTTCCAGCATTTGTAAACGTTTTAAAACTTTGAGTTATATATTGTGCTTGTTCCATTGTGTTATCGATTAATCATAATAACAATATTAGGCAAACAAGCTAAAAATTACTTCAAATTTCTATAACAAATAATGCTAAAGAAAAAGAAAAAACAGAGGAGGAGGGAAAAGTTACTGAAGTTTATAAATCTTAAAATATAAAATATTGAGAGACTCTAGGTGACATGGAAGGTATCAAGCAGAGCTCAAAGACTCCGTGTGAGTCAGAAGGTTTCAAGTTATATTTCTACAGATGCCACGTGTGACATATGGATTGGCCGATGTCGTTTAAAATCAGACTTGTCAAGAATTTGATACAGTATATCTCTATAGTATGTTCTCTCTCATTCATTTTTTCCTATATAAAGACTTTCTTAGCTTTTTTTTTTTTAAATGTTTAATTGATTGATATAAAAATATGTATAGACTTTAGTTCAATGGGCTAAGAAAACCAAATAAATAGAAACAAATCTACTACAACTCTAGGCCAGAATTAAAGATCAGGGAATTAAGAGAAGAAGAAACTAGTCCGTTGCTCCTCACTTGAATGGTGTTACGGAAGACCAGCCTTGAAGCAGATGGTGAAGTCGGGGCCGAGGCGTGTAATCAAGTGAACTGATCCGGTTTCGAATAAGTCTGTCTATGTGTCTAACCATCTAGGGAACCAAGCTATACTTGCTACGATGTATCCGAGCATTTCTCTCCCTCAAAAAAGAGTAGATTGAGATTTGAAAACAGAGGTGAATGAGGATGTCTTTGTCGCGACTCCCTACACCTACAACCAAGATATCCAATGTGATTTGCCAATATGGATCTAATTGTTGCCAAAGAAGTTTTTCCGCTACCTCTGACCAGATTGTAAAGGAGAAAGGGCACGCGAAAAAGAGATGATCGCGAGATTCATCGTGTTCACCGCATAGAACACATGATTGATTTACTCCTCAGCTGCGCATACGCAGTCCCATGGACAGCTTATCTCGTATCGTCAACCATGTTATAAACCTGCAGCGAGGGATGGTTTGACTAACCCATAAGACTCTTCTCCAATCCATCGATGGAGAATTGAGTTCTAACATTTTCTCATGTTTCTTATCTATTACCTAATTCATCAAACTTAAATATTAGCATGTAGACAATGGGCAATCTACTGAATTTGAATCTAGATGATGAGATATTGGTAATAGTAATAACAAAACAACTAGACTACATGTTTTAATCTAAATAATTTTTTTTTAACTTTGGTTTTTGAAAGATATTTTCTTAAACTATATATGTATATAGTTTACTTGATTCAAATTGTTTATACCACCACCTCCATGGATGTTATTTTTCTAAATAAATTTCCTAAATAAAGTATCGTTTAATCATCCAATAATTAGATTAAAGACAAAGAGTCAGGAGGACACCGACTCATCATCCCCGTAAAGAGACAACCGAATGCAAACAAAGATAGCACACAAATGTGGACATCTATTTGTACATAAGTCCGTTGCATATGAACATCTTAATTTATATCTTGATGCTATATTAAATTATTAATTTGGATTAGCTTCATACTTTATGTGAAAAGATCACTTGGTGATACGTACGTATGTAAATTTGATTATAATATCTTATTATAAAGAAAAAGTGAAATACTCTTATATACGAAAAAAGAAGAAGAAGAAGAAGAAGTGTGTAATTCATAAATACCACAAACTTTAAAAATTAGAAGATTTTTCTATTAAATGTTCATTTTTTTAGTTTTTTGAAGTTTATGAAATGTTCTAAAATACTTTACGTCAAGGAAAGAGTTCTTAAAAGTTTACAAAGGCTTCTTAAAAGTCTTAAAAAGATTTGTAAAAGTTTAGAATTTGGAATTACAATGGGCATTTACCATTTCTTTAAGACTTTTAACGTTTAAAAATCTTTTGGAAACCTAAAGTTTGTGGAATGTTTGAAGTTTTGGGGGTTGGTGATAATTTTAAAAACAAAACATAATTATTTTTTTATTTTTTGAGCATTGTTCATATATATCTCTATATTTATTATAGAAAATAGTAAATGATGACTTTAGTTCAGAAAGAAGATAAAAAGTGGCACTATCCTAACATGCATGTTATAGAACATGGGTTTGATCAGAACCTAACACCAATCTTCAGGAAGGTTCGTGTTTGGTTTCATATACAGAGAATTCTAAGTGTAAAGATACATTCCTCTCATGCTATAATGTAAAACTAAAATGGCCTCACTCTCTTTAATCACACCCATTAATTTAATTTGTTAGTAATATAACCTAATTAATGATATTTTTTCAAAGGGGTGCTATGAAGGATAGAAACATCGACTTTTAAAAAATTGTTTTCTCAACTACCGTAGTATTGGTGAACCTAATTAATCGAGCCATTAAGAGAAGAAAACACATAAACAATTAGAAAGAAACAAAACATTCACATAAAAGAACAATTATTCTTTTTCGAATCATGTCGGATATAGCTTTAAACGTTAAAACATAAGCTGTCCTTAACTCAATAAACTAATAAAAACATACCAGCAGCCTTATTCCTACCACATGCACATACATATATACATACGAGTCTCATTCCTAGAAAATGCACAGCTACACCTCTAAGAAACAAACCTCTCTCTCTCCCTCTAGCATCAAGATTAGGGTTCTTGAGTTCTTGATGGATAAGGAAGAATGCAGCAGTAGTGAATCTGGTTGGACGACTTATATTTCGTCGCCGATTAAGGTAGATGAAGATGAGGTCGTGGATGAGGACTACTATGAAGGGTATAACATTTATAATTATTCGAGTAAAGTCGAACACGAAGAAGAGAGGAACAAAGATAGTGATGATTCAATGGCCTCGGATGCTTCGTCGGGGCCAAATTATCAGCGCTATCACCAAAAGAACAAGGCGTTGGATTTGAGGAACGGTAAAAATGAAGGTAATACTAAGAGTAAAAACGTTGATGATGATCATAATCGTTACCATGACGGTAAGAAAACTAGTAACTCATACAGGAAAAAAGAGAAGAAAAAGAGAGAAAATAAGAGTACCTATAGAATGAAGTGATTAATCATTGTATATTAGTGATGTAATATGTAATTAGTGTTTGTATATTGGGATGTTGGATTATGATTTCCTAATTTGTTTGGGGTTTTTTGATGCCTCAAGGATAGGAAGATGATTCTTTTATTATTTATTGAAAATTATGTGGGATATTTATGTGTTGATTGATGTCTATATTGTTGTTCTTGATTTTGATTACTTGTTCTCTAATTTGTGAATCAATGTTTCTCAAAGAGAGAAACTATGCGGTTTGATCACATATATCAGTATATCACTCTGTATTTTACTAGTCAAATATCTTCTTAAAAAAGTTATTTAATATACAATACCAAATTTTAATTTAACGTAACTGAAATTCATGAGGTTGTTTAGCCCATAATTCTTGATTCAGAAATATTAATGATTCTATCATAAACTCTTTTCTTCCGGGGATGTACCTTTAGTCAAGTGGTTAAGTCCATTTGACTCTGTCTTTCCTACCGGAGTTCGACTCCACTCAATCGCGTTACCCCGCATAGTAGGGATTGGCTATGGATCGAGACTTGTCGATCCAAAGATGTCAAAAAAAAAAAAAAAACTCTTTTCTTCCGATTGGTTACCAATTCGATTCGTATTATATTTAATTTACGTGCATGTTGATAAGAAACATATTTAATATTTAATTACAAAATATTAAGTTTCCATCGTATAACTATAAGCATAGGATATAAAAAATTTAAATCCCAATTACGACTTTTTTTTTGTTTTTTACATCTTTGGATCGACAAGGCCCTATCCATAGTCAATCCCTACTACACGAGGTAACGCGACTTAGTAGAATCGAACTCCGAGGGAAAAGGCGGAGTCAAATGGATTTTACCACTTGACTAAAGGCACATCCCCCAGTTAAAGATTTAAGTTTATAAACTCATTTTCCAATATTAAACAGATAATGAGAGACGCACAAAGAAAGTAACTGATGATTATGATGACATGTAAAATGTAGTCATCAATTATATGAACATATGATAAGAGAAGAGCGAAGGCATGCATGTGTAGTCAGAGGTGTTTCAATTATTGTCATATTGGGGCTTTGTGTGTGTGTTTGCCCAAAACTCTCTGAAAATTTTCTGATGTGAATAGTTTTGGGTGTAAAGAGAAAATGGATCCACCGCAGACACATGCAACCAACATGGGAACACTTCCACACAAATTCAATATAAAATAATTATCATATAAAATATTTCACAAATTGAAGCCAAAAATAATGTGCTTATTTTTTATCTAGATGCCAGAATTTATATGCTTCACCAATCATTATTTGGTACTTCCGGATAAAAATATATTTATTTGCTGTGTGAAGAATTTTAATAGTTTTAAGTTCGTGTCCATATATCTTCTTTGGTTCAATATTACGTACACTTCACAGAAAAGTTTACTTAGGAGACATTTGAATCTACTCATGTATATAGCGAATGCTAATGTTTAATCGTGGATATTTTTGAAAAGATAGATGCAACTTGATCATTAATAAGTGTTGATTTTTTTTTTCCAGTCAGGAAACCTTTGGGTTTGGTTTTAGAAACTAAATGAGCTTAATTTAATTAATTGAATTACTAATTGGAGCTTCTGCGGCGGGTGATCAGTGCGAACAAGATCTTGGCGGCTAGATTAGAACGAACTCTCCTTGCTTCTGTTTGTTCTCGTTGGACTTTTGTAAATTCAGGCCCAAGCCCAATTTGGAATAATGCCTTATTAAATAATTTTTTGTTAAAACAAAAAAGGATTAGGTAAAAGTTCAGAAATAATTCTTAAAAAAAAAACAAAAAAGAGATAGACAATTTTTAGAAGTAAAGAAAGAGAAAACAAGATCTGTTAAACTTTATCTAGATTCAACGGTGGATTTTACATTCTAACCATTGATTTGGAAGAAATATGAGTTGTTAGCGTCGATGATAGCGTCTACCGAATTCCATTTTTTTTTTTTTGTGAATCACTAAGAAGTTCTTGGCTTAAGTATGTACATCTTTTCAGACCAGAGACCAAAACTTTTTATATGATTTCCTCCTAAATATCACTCGAACCGGCGATTTTTAGGTTTTGCCTGAAAATCTTTACTAATTGAGTTATTGACAGTGGTGAATTCCAAATTTTCCAACAGTACATGTATTGAGTTTGGGAAACTCAACAATGAGTTTGTTTTTAGCCGAAATTTTGCAGATGTGTTCTTGACTCGCTTATTTATGATTTGTACTGTAGAAATCTAATTTGGTGACTAGAATATACTAGTGAAGTTAAGATCATTTAGAACTACTTATTTTTAAGTACTAATAATGTAAAATAGTATACTATTATATGCCAACAACCATCTTATAGTCATTACACAATTCATCACAACAATAATAAATAAAACGTAATCAATAAGGACCTATATAGTTACCTTTCTTGTCAATATGTTGGTTTCTGTTATTACATGGACTACATGGATTTACGTTATAAATTATCAAAGAAAAAAACCACACTTTTTGCAGAAAAAAGGCATAATCTTTGTGTTAAATTTTATAGATTTTTAACTCAAATTCAGTTGGCAATTAATGTATTTGTCGGTGTCTTTTATATATTATTTTAGATCCTTCTAACTTTCGATGTAAAATCCCAACGGGCTCTTCTATTAAATTAGATTTCACTAGCTTCAAATCAAAATCAATTAATCTTGATGAGTTCCTTAAATATTTAGTTAAGGTCTCTTATACATTATTTAAGGTCTTTTTAAAAAGATGATACAGGATCCTAACAACAAATACACAATCAATGAGCCAATCATCAAACGAAAACGAAGCAAGGAAAAGAAAGAAGACAAACATACTTGTCTCAACTAAAGAGGTTACTTTAGTACTTATATAGACTACAAAGACTACTTTAGCACACACACGCAGAAACCTATATAGAGGCTGAGATTGTGATGTATATTTATATAATAATTCAAAGTGAAAATGAAAAGAAAAACGATAGATCGATGATTGTAAGAAATGGGACCAAACTGTTATTATTTTGACTTACCAAAAAACAAAAACTTGTGTCATATATTTGTTCTTTCTTGACCATAAAGTGTTGTGTGTTATTGAATTGTTTTTCCAGCTTTTGAGGTGGTTTTGAAAAGCTTTCTCTATTTCTTTCAATCGCAAGTGTCTCTTTCAGTCTTCCACTTACATTATGTTATGTGATTTTAGTGGCTAAGCTCTTTGTTTTCTTGGCCCGTAAGTTTCTCGCCCACACGAATTCGAAGAAAAAGACGTTTGTTTTCTTGACTGAAAAAGGTCGCCTATTACGTAAGATTGTTTGTTTGTCTTCTTGTATGAGGATCGATGTTAAGTAGAGAAGTGATCTTGACATTTGAATCTTGGATTCACGTGTGCCTGTCCAAAGTTTTCAAATTTTCTTTGATGCCCTACGCATAACTAAAAATTTGGGCCTTTTTGTTAATTAATGTAAAAAAAAAAATTAAATTTCCTAAAAAAAAGTGTTTAATAATGTGAGACCCTAAGCGATGACTTCACTTGCTTACCCTCCGGACCGGCCCTCGTGTCTTAGTTTTAGGTCTATCCAAGCTTTACTAAAAAGACATTTACTGCTTTGTAGGCTAAATCTTTCGTAATGATTCTCAGTACATGCACTACCAATACAAGGTACTAAAATACTACAAATAAAGCTCTTCGTAGGCCTGGATAATTGCAAAATGCTTTAGGCCTTAATTAGGACATAATCAGATTTAAGAGAGTTTCACACACAAGTACAACCATGTAAGGTCTTAATTGTTTGTGTTTGTGTTAGATTAACGTATGCATTTGCTTTTCATATTAAATCACAATCTTAATCATTTTTTTGTTAATTTTCTACATCAAAGCAAATGGAGATGAAAACAAAATAAACCGTTTACGGTTGATTTATATTTTTATCAAACAAAAACATAATTGGTAATAATTATAAACGTATATGTTAAAGACAAAAAAGAAGAAAATCAACCGTTAGTGTTTGATGCTTTTGTTTACATTTTGCAAAATTATTGATGCATGTAAATTTTTTTTTTTTAAATATAAATTTCAGAAATATGTAATTTTAATTTTATCAACAAATGCAAACAATTGCTTCCTTCTTTTCACAGGGAACAAAAGTTAGAAGAACTCTGCTTTTAAAAATGACTAATTTACTAATTATTGGTCTTAATCTGAGACAGATCATCTCTGGATGTACATTTATAGATACATACTAGAGCCACTTAAACATCATCTATACAATGTCGTCTCTGATACAAGAGAAAGGACTTTGATTCTGAAGCTGCATATCACTAATCATTTGCTTAAGCTCAGAGGTTTCCTCTTTGAGCTGAGCGTTCTCTTCAATAGCCTTCTCTTGAGACTCTAAAACGCAGTTAAGCTTACGAAGCAACTGATGATTCTCATTCCTAAGCCACATCACTTGTGACCAAAGCTCATCCACTTGTCTCTGCTTCCTCATACGCGATCTCCTGGCCGATTCTCTGTTCGATATCTTCCTCTTTTGCTTCCGCTCATTGACTATCTCCGTATGATTCTCTTCTCCTTCTTCTGAGGTCGAGTTGTTGCTGCTCAAACTCATGAACTGTGGAGTATTCACACCAGTTTCGAAGCTGAAGAATGGATTAGGGTTTTGTCCGCAAAATGGTGAGGATGTAGGGAAATGGGAAAGGTACGAAGGTGGACAACCATGGAGGCTAAAAATGTTGGTGGATGGTTGCATTATCGGTGGAGACTTGGGACGCAAGGTAGGGTTTACCCTTAGGTGATGGAAGAAAAGAAAGATAGTAGGATTTAGAGAGTTGTGATGAATGTTTGGTGCATGTGTGTGGTGAGAAGAGGTGTTCATATAGACTAGTAGTAGTAGGGGACAAAGGTGGACCATGGTTTCTTCATTTGGGTCAAACCAATATTAAAGCATCTAACAATCATGCAGCTAAAACTTGTATTTATATAACAAATATTTTTTTTTTTAAAGATCTATTTTTTCACTTATAAAATTATTGAACTACTTGAATGAAATCTGAATAACTTATTTTTGAAAATAGACAGCTGAATGCGGCATTTTTGCAAAGAGCATACCAAAAGGGTATTACTCAAAAATTAGATGAAATACTCATTTAATTTAACTCTTTTAACTTTTTAACTTAGTTAACAAATGATGGTACTTGAATCAGATGAATACTCCTTTAATTCTTTCAACTTTTTAACTTAAGTTAACCAATGATGGTACAGTAAAACCTCTATAAATTAATACTCTATAAATTAATAACCTCTCTAAATTAATAAATTCTTCCGGTCCCGAGTTGGGACCAGTGTAAAATATGACATAAATCGATAAATTAATAAGATAATAATTTTTTTGAAAATCTCATGTAAACATATGGTCCCATCTATATCATAAATTAATAATTGTATTAACTTATCAATATATATATATATATATTATATAAATTTATATATGTTATATATGAATTAATATGATATATATTTAAAATATTGTATGTAAAATTTTTATGAAATATTACTCTATTATTTGAAAAAAGTTTGTGTTGTTTTTTAAACTTAATAATGGTTCTCTACTTGTAATTATTTTTGAAAATATATTGTTTATAAAGAAAAAATTTATTTTTAGATAGAAATTTTTTTAAAAATTACAAAATTAGTAAAATCTCTCTATAAATTAATAATTATTAATTTATCGATAAATTAATACCTCTCTAAATTAATAAAATTTCATGGTCCCAACATTATTAATTTATAGAGGTTTTACTGTACTTGAATCACCATATCAACAACCGCGTGCTAAAATAAGAGATATAGTGATTGCAGTCACATATCTGGTGAGAGTTTCTTTGATGTAACGATATACAAAAAGTTTTTCTTGGTAACGAACTCTTCTACAAACATAATTCATCTAACGGTCTATTATACAAAAGAGTAATTAAAAAAGTTCTTTAGATGAGTATGTTTTTAGAAGAGTTCGTATCTAACTTACGAGCTTGACACAATTTACGGTCTATTATACGAAAACGTTAGGTAAAAGATAAATATTGATAACCAGAAGAAAAAATTCCATATATATATATAATTAAAGAGTCTTCTCTCCATATAAGGTGTCAACATCAGCATCCATGTCATCATATTTTATATTTTTGTAGGCTCCATATATCTTATTTATTAAAAAAAAAACATTAAAGCTAAAATTAATTCACACAATTTATCTTACAAAAACACTAGGGTAGTTACCCGCGCCTTGCGCGGTAAGATGATTTTTCAAAAAAAAAATCAAATTATGAAGATTAAAAATAGTTTACTGTCTCTAAAATACGATCGAGTTATTACAAATGATCAAACATAACGTGTCTAGTATAAATGATTTATCCATCAATTATAGCTCATAAGAACACCAAACTAATCAAACATTTTGTAGAATTCTCCATGACCCATTCAATCATCCGACTCTGAATATATTGCATTCTTTGTAGCCCAAGTAAAAGCCATCGAGAGTGTCATATGTATAGAAAACTTGCTAGGTTATTATCCGAAACAAATGCGAACATCCAATTAATATATCATGATAAACCCTGAATATTACAGTTCCTTGATCTCTTCAAGATCGTAAAACTACGGAAAACATTGAAATTTTGATGATAAAAATTTAGTTATGAGATTTCAAAATTCGACCATAATATTACAAAAGATGAAGCATACTGTCTCTAAAAATAAGTAATTATACATTCCTTAAAACCCATAACAACACAAGACTCATTGATAATATTTGTAAAAAATTCCATGATCACTCAATCATCCTAATCGGGACGGGCCGGGCCTTAGCTACACATGTTCAAATTTATGCCTGCATGGAACTTCATACGAATATGAAAATCTACTACAAGGGATGGATTCTGAGACTAAAGCGACGAGTAGAATAACAAACCACTTGCTTGTTGGACCGCAAATAAGAGACGTGGATGGGCGGAGGACTTAGTCAAGAACAACTCGGTGAAATCTTGACGGCAAAGTATGAACGCCCATAGCTTCGAAACGCAACGACACCTAGCGATTAACTTTGTAGGCAATCTCAATAATATCTCGAGAAAGAGATCATTTGGAATGGAATCAAAAGTTTTTCCACTATCCATTACTGGAGGGAGAAAGATCTTTAAGGATACAAATCGCACAGACTCACTCTTGAAAGTTAACCCTAATTAGATTGAGGTTAATTAATCTTAGGGAGGTGGTGGTGGATTTGAAACCTATTCAGGATCAACACTAACTTAAGGCCCAAGAAACATGGGCTTTTTACCATCCAAATTAGTGTTAATCGAAAAAACAAATGAAGGTTGTGATATTTTACAAATTCATGAAATTATGATGTGAACTTTGTTATTATATTAACTCTTTCTTAATTATTCTATTCATGCATACTAAAAAAGCTCCTTCCACGGATTGTTGGATATGTTGTAGCTAGTATTGGCTAAATGATTTAAAGGAAGATCACTTTAGGTTTTAGTCACTTTTTGCAATGTTTTAATTAGAAAATAGTATTCAAAATTTTTCAAATTCTAAGCTAATAAACCAAAATGATACCTCACGTTTTTTTTTTTTTTTTGAAACGATCCCTCACGTTTAAAATATCTAAGTCGTCTGCAGATTATACTTAGGGGAATTGGAGGCTATAACCAAAAAAAAAATTAAAATTAAGGGAATAACCATTCTAACCATGGACCATCAATATTCTTTGTATTTCATATAATAATGACATGTTTGTCCTTATTGCCATAACACACAGTGCTCCTTTCTCCTCTCTATTTTTTTTTTTTTTTATTAATCCTTGCCTCTCTTTCTTCTTCTTTTCTAACGTAACATATATATAATAATATAATATAAACTATATGAGATCCATAATGTAACTATCTTCTATATTACTACACCATCACTTCTATATATATATATATATATAATATAAACTATATGGGATCCATAATATAATTATCTTCTATATTACTACACCATCACTTCTACCACCACCACCATTGCTACCTTCAATATCACCGCTCTGGTTTACCTAAGTTGCTTGGGTTGCCAATGTTGTATCTTATAGGGTTTAATTTTTTTTTTTTGAAATGCGTTTAATTTGGTCATTTGGGTTGTCTATATTTTATCTCTTACAGTTATCGTCACTATTACCACCGTTATTGTCACCGGTATTACTACCCCTGCACTTTTCACCACCACCACCACCGCTACCGTTACCACCACCACCGTCACCGTCACCGTCACCGTCACCACCACCTTCATCGCTATACTACAACTATCACCATCACCGTCACCACCACCTTCATCGCTATACTACAACTATCACCATCACCATCACCACCACCATAAACACCATCGCTACTGCTACCATTACCATCGTTATCACTGTAGCTGAAACCGTTATCATGGTGCCTCATTCCATACTATTTTATTTGGTTCTATACTATTTTATTTATGCCAAATTTGTATAATCTAATTTTAATGTGCGTTTAACTCGGTAGTTTGGGTTCCTTATGTTGTATCTTTTAGGGTATATCTTTCTTTATTTGGCATGTGTTTAACTCAAAATATTGAGTTTTCTATGTTGCATTTTTTAAAGTATATCGTTCATTTTTTCGTGCGTTTAACATGATCGTTTGGGTTCCTTATGTTGTATGTTATAAGGTATAATGTTTTTTTGCGTTTAACACAAAATTTCTAAGATTTATGAGTCATTTCATTCTATAACGTTTTTTATTCATATTATGTGATCTTTTTAATCAAAAATATTGAATTTAGAATACTATTTTAATTTCTTCATAAGTTTTTATCTGATTTAAAAAATTCAAATCATGTTCTATACAGAAAAAAGCTAGTTTTTTATTTTTAAAGAATCATGAACTTAAATTAATATCTATACACATAAATATGAGTTAAACTTTAGAAGGGGTGAAAAGAAAATAATAAATAAAATAAATAAATTGAATTTCTCTCTCATGCCAACTCACCACATGTGTCAGCGCTTCTCTTCCTCTCCTCCTCTAAACGAACACCAAAAATGTAATTTTACCCACCCTTTATGTTAGTTTCTTAGTTGTTTGAATTATGGTGCTATATTCTTAATTTTTTTATCCAAATTGGTTATTGAGCTAAATGCCCCTTATACTTATATATTAGTCTCTTCATTTCTATAGCTTTTTCTTTCAAAATAAAATATGCAACGAAGATGCTACAGCAACATTCATCTGTGTTGGTGAAAATTGTATATGAAACAATAAAAAAATTGGAGAAGAAAATCAAAAAAAAATTTCTAATAAAAAATATAATTAAGTGAAGAAGAAATAAATTTGCACAAAAAAGAAAAAAAAATCTTTTTTTATCTCACATTGAAGTAAATAATTTTTTTTTTGTTTTCCCCCTATATAAAATTTTTTAAAATACAAGAAAATGTTGACAAAAAGAAAAATGTTGGGAAAAAAAAAAAGATTTTCGTTTAAATGTGCATTTAATAATTTGCTTCAGCGCCAACAAACACAAAAAGCTATAATTTTCCCTCTCCTTCCTTTCTTCACCTCCCATTCTCTGCATCTTTCTTCTTCTCCAACAACTACAATTCTTTTTTCTCAGAGAATCTTTGAATCATCATCTTCTCCATTGTTTCCAAAAACTAGGGTTTTAACAGATCATCTTCTCTTTCGTCTCTCAAATCTCTCGTTGAGATCATCTGAAGAAGAAGATCTCAAGAAACATCCAATTTCGCAAAATCTAGGTCTCCGATTTCTTCTTCTTCTTCTTCTCTAATCTTCAATTCGATCAATAGTCTAATTCAAGATTCTCAATGATTTCAGGAGAAATGGAGAATCTAGACGAAATCCGGACCGATATTGTAGAAGTTAATGCTCCATTGTTGCAAGAATCATCATCAGAGAGCGACGGAGGAGGAGAATTCAACGGAGCTTCGTTTAGTGGAGCGGTTTTCAATCTCGCTACAACGATCATCGGTGCTGGTATAATGGCATTGCCTGCAACGATGAAGATCCTCGGACTTATCCCCGGAATCGCGATGATCGTTCTTATGGCTTTCTTGACCGATGCTTCGATTGAGTTCTTGCTTAGGTTTAGTAACATAGGGAATCAAAGATCTTATGGTGGTGTTATGGATGATTCTTTTGGTAAATGTGGAAGGATTTTGTTGCAAGTTTCGATTCTTGTTAGCAATATTGGTGTTTTGATCGTTTATATGATCATTATTGGTGATGTTTTGGCTGGTAAGAATGAATATGGAATCCATCATGCTGGTATGCTTGAAGGATGGTTTGGGATTAATTGGTGGAATAGAAGAACTTTTGTTCTTCTCATTACTACTCTCACTGTGTTTGCTCCTTTGACTTGCTTTAAACGGATTGGTTAGTATTCTTCTCTGTAACAATTGTATCTGTGGTAAAGATGTTCAAGTTATGTGTTCTTATCGGCTTATGTTTCCTTGTAGATTCTTTGAGATTCACATCTGCTGTATCGGTTGCTTTAGCGGTTGTTTTTCTTGTCATCACTGCGGGGATTACTATCGTAAAGCTGTTTACTGATGGTTTGATGATGCCAAGACTTCTACCTAATGTCACTAACTTGTCGTCGTTTTGGAAACTCTTCACGGTTGTTCCTGTGCTTGTCAATGCATACATTTGTCATTACAATGGTAAACACAAAAGCCTCTATTGTCGCTGATTATAAACACATTTGAATTAAACTCATGTTTCCATTGGTTTTTGTTTCAGTTCACAGTATACAGAACGAGCTTGAAGATCCTTCTCGGATAAAACCTGTTGTTCGATCAGCACTTGCGATGTGTTCTTCTGTTTACGTTATGACGAGCTTATTTGGATACCTCTTATTCGGTGATGCTACACTCGATGATGTTCTTGCAAACTTTGACACAGATCTTGGAATCCCTTTTGGTTCGGTTCTTAATGATGCAGTGAGATTTAGCTATGCAGCTCACCTCATGCTTGTGTTCCCTGTTGTCTTCTATCCTTTGCGGATTAACATCGACGGTCTCATTTTTCCTACGGCTCCACCACTTACTTCCTCTGAGTCTGATCTGAGGTTTGGCTCTATTACTGCTGGTCTCATTGCTGTAATCTTCTTGGGAGCAAACTTCATTCCAAGCATTTGGGATGCTTTCCAATTCACTGGAGCAACCGCTGCTGTCTGCATCGGTTTCATATTCCCTGCTGCTGTTATCTTAAAGTAAGATCCATTGATTCATAAGCTAAGAGAGTTTGGTTTTGGAACCTATAATGGATCACATTATCTGAAATGGATATTTACTTGTCTTCTTTCAGGGATCGTCATAACCAAGCAACAAAGCGGGACAAAGCTATAGCCATTTGCATGATCGTCCTTGCGGTTTTCTCCAACGCAATCGCCATTTACAGTGACGCCTACGCCTTATTCAAGAAGAACACATACGTATATCCAATATGAAAAGCAGTTATGATTCTGTTTCTTCTCTCACTCTATTGGAAACCAAATATGAAGAAGTGTTATTGGTAATACAATGTCCTTAGATGATTTTGAACCACATGTGAATAGTTGTAGAATCTCTGTATATAGAGAGAAAGATCAGTTTTTTACTTCCTTTCTTTTACATTGTAAACATTTGAAAATTGAAAGATGGCAGCTTTTACACATTTAGTGTGAAAAACTACACAGTTAGTTGCTGTAAAACAATATCCAAACAAAGTATAGATCAAGTTTGGCTGTAGAACAATAACAAAGTAACAATATTGTTACAATGTCATTGTGAATGGTAAGAATACAACAAACAGCAACAAGTGTATATTTAGAAGTCATTGCACAATTCCAAAAACAGAGTTATAGAAAAAGAGCCTCAAACAAAAGGCTAAAGAAGAAGAGTTAGAGAAATGAAGAAATCGTTCGACTATCTCCATCTCTCTGTTCATTGCTCAATTGCTGGAATCAGCCTCTGAAGGGAAGCATGGCCTCCATACAGTTTCTTTGCCAAAATCCATTAACGCTATTCCTTTTCTTGTCAGTTTCTTTCTGATCTCATCACTTTTCGCAAAATCTTTATTGTTCCTCGCTGTTATCCTATCTTCTATTTCCCGTGAAATATCTTCTTCTCCCATTTCTGCTCTTATTAGAGTTTTTAGTTTCATTTCTTTCAAAACCTCGGTATAGCTCAGTGTAGTGAGCAAACCAAGTACATCAAGAACTTCCCTTGCTGCTTTCTCAATCTCAACGAGTGACACAAGCATCGACATTCGCTGCTTCTTCTGCATTTTCTGAAAATTTGGAAAAACCAGACCACTTTGGTATGCATAATTGTGAAGGAAATGACACAAATAAAGAAGAAGACAAGAGGCAAGAACCTTGAGCTTGCTGCGGTTAGCGTTTATGAATTTCAATGCATCTTGGTAAGCACCAGTAAGTATATGGGCGGTATTCAAATCGTCTAACATCTTTGATTCAAACTCACTTTTTAGCTTCTTAATGATGTCTTTCCCTTCTGGAGTCTGTTCAGCTTTTCCACCATCTTCAGACAATGCTTCTCGATATGGTGACAGATCTTCATCAAGATCTTGTAAAGTCTGATAAACATAGATCAGAGGTTAAAGTCAGAACTGGAAATAAATTATGATGGTGTCTTACTTTTAGTTCATATATTCCTAAGATAAAACACTGCAAATGAACATGCTAGTTAAGTTGTTGTATAATTTTGAAAACAGATCTGAAGCACTGTACCTGATAAACATAATACAAAGCGTCTGACGAACTCTCTAGCTGCGACGCCGAGAAACTCAGAGGAGACCGGTACTGTGCACTCATCAAGAAGTGCCTCAGAGCCAATGGATGGTAGCTAGCAGTGATCTACACAGATTGAAACAGAAAATGAAAACCTGGCAATAATTCTGCATTTAGCCTTGGGAACCCTCCAAAGAAAAATTCAATTATTATACTAGGAACAAATAAGAAACATACTTCTCTAATCGTTTTAAAGTTTTTCTTTGATTTTGCCATCTTCTCGTTATTGATAGTGACATGCCCATTATGCAACCAGTAATTCACACCACTATCCTCACATGCAGCACATGTTTGTGCGATTTCATTTTCATGATGCGGGAATTTCAGATCAGCACCACCCCCGTGAATGTCGAATTTCGGAGACAGATAATGAGCACTCATTGCACTGCATTCGATGTGCCATCCTGGTCTTCCTGGACCCCATGGGCTATCCCAACTTGGCTCATCAGGTTTAGCAGCCTGCATAGATTTATGTTTAAACCTCACTTCATCATAAACTGCAAGCCTCAATTTGCTGACTCAAAAGATAAAAGTTATAAAGATTTTCAAACCTTCCATAATGCAAAATCAGCAGGGTTGCGCTTTCTCGAATCAACAGCAACACGCTCACCAGCTCGTGTATGTTCCAACAATTGCCCAGATAATTTACCATAATTCGGTGATTTATCAACGGAGAAGAACACATCCCCTTCCACTACATACCCACAATCTTTCTCAATGATCTGTAACAACAGGCAAGCATATGTATCAATCACCTGACTGATAATTCCAATTTCCAAATTCATGATCTTTCAACCAACATTTTATCAAGCCAAATATACCTTTTCAATCATCTTAATAATGTGGTCCATATGTTCGCTGACACGAGGCTGGTGGGTGGGAAGGAGGCACTGAAGAGCACCCATATCTACCAAATATTCCTCGCAAAAGCGATTACTCAAATCTAACGGGTCCTCTCCATTCTCATTAGCACGAATGATAATCTGCAGAGATCCAAAATTCAGATACTAACAAAATGTCGTCTACCTAAGCATAACTATCATTCAATTATACCAACATTCACTACAAACCTTGTCATCAACATCAGTGAAATTGCGGACAAAATTAACTTCATAACCCAAATGCTTCAAGTATCTGCATAACCAATAGAAGCAAAGATAATTTAAATCCCAAAATCCAAAAAAATTTCCTTCACTCAAATATTCACATTTTACCAAATCAGTATCAAACTATAGAAGAAGCTAACCAACATGCAAAACTTCAAATTGAGATTCCAAAATTCAACCTCATCGATCTAATAGATTCCATTCAACAAAACCCTAATTTCTCAGAGAGGTAAAGAGAGAGAGACCTGTAAAGAACATCAAAAGAAACGGCGGCGCGTGCATGACCGATATGGCTGAAATCGTAAGCGGTGATTCCACAGACATATAATCCGATTTTGCCGGGAGTGATTGGAATCAAAACTTCCTTCTGTTGCGTCATCGTGTTGTAGAGCTTCAATTCCATTTTCTCAGCCTCCATATCTCACAATCTCACCACCACAACAACAGCTCCACGGCGAAGTTAACAAAAACGAAAACCCTTTTTTCTTAAATTTTTGGTAACTTAAAGTTTTTTCTTATGCGAGCTGTTACTTTACTTTTCTTTTGAACAATTCTCTTTGGATTGAAATATTAAAACGGACCTAAGTCTTGGGTCAGGCCCAACCCATTACGCTAGTCAGATGTATTGGCGGGTTTTTGTGTCCACCGATCCGATCAAAAACTATAATATTCGATGTGGAATTCGGATAATAATTTAGGTATCATTAAGATTTTTATTTGAAAAGAAGAGGATATATAATACAGTTTTAATGTACATAACTAGATCATCACCCGTACTAAAGTACGGGTTAAATTTTATTTATTATAAAAGTTATATAATATATATATTAGAATTAAATTTTAATATATTATAATAGTAAGTGAAAAAATATTAATTTTTTTGTCAGTTCATATATACAATATTAGAATAAATATAGATTTTTTTCTATAATACTCAATTATGGATAATATTTTTTTAAGATATGAAAACGGAAAATAATTTTATTTTTAAAAAGTAATATTTTTTTAACAATGAGTTAATTTATGTTAACAACCACAAAATAGGATTGCATATATTTCAGTTAGATCAAAAATTAAAATATCATAAATAAATCGCATATAAAATATAGAATATTTTGAATTAATTAAGAAAATTAGCTATTATTTTGAATTATTATATCATAAATATCATAAATGAATCGCATGTGCTAGTTATGAGAGACTATGGTCTTTCTGATAACTTATTTGTTGGTTTAAATGCTCAACAATATTCTTAGTACTTTTCTTGTTTCTCATTGAGACTACACAACTAACATGCATTATGAGCGTGTCTTGCAAAACATTTTTTCGTTCTTTCTTCTTTTTGGAAAGCTTTGCTTTTCTAGAGTTGTAGACTCACGTATAACTTCCGTTTCATTGTCACCGTTTTGTTGCTCTTCCGTTTGTTGGATATAATTGCTTTATACGTAATTTGTATCCTTTTCTGGCTCAGTCAACAAAAATTAGATATTAAATTTCAAAGGCAATGTAAATTAGGGATTTAATGTGTTTCTTTCATCCATTTTTGAAAGTTGGGCATTTTTTGAATATTTTTCAAAAAATTTTAATGGAAATAAGATTTATTGTTTAACAAAAAAATTTATCTACAATAATGAATCAAGAGTGTGGAAAGTTTGTTCAAAAAGAAATTATAATGGCAATTAACCAATTTCTTTTATGAAAAATCACTGTTGAAAAAGGCAGATGAATTTCTTAGATTATGTAAAGTAGAGAGAAAATATAGTTATGAATCATCTTATCTATAATACAGAAAAGATAACATGGCGAATAGTGTTAGAACTATTTATTTTTTCTCGTTTTTGTTGTTTAATCACTAAATTTATGCATGTTAAAGCTAGTTATCTTTGATTTTTTACCGTCTTCATACTCTCCCATACATATTTTGTGTCGAACTAGCCAAACTTAAAACGATTGAAAAATATCAAAATTAAGTGGGAAAATCAAACAATTATATACCATGTTGGCATGTTTAGCGGGAGCGTATCAGTAGTCGGTAGATGACAGTAGTGTGAGTGCTATTTTTCATATTATTTTATTCGTGTTGTAGATAAGACGTCTTGTAACTATATTTAATCTCTTTACTAACAGCATAATAGTATTATTACAAGAGATCATCATCTTCAATATAACAAAACTATAATATTAAGACTTGTAACTAAATTAGACGAGATTAAACACTTGAACTCAATGGATTTTAGTTTTTGCAATATGAATTATTTTCAAGTTATAAGACAATAACATATATTTAGATGATATCTTTTCGATTTCTTAAACTAAAAAATTTTGGTAGCCAACAAAATACTCAATGGATAGTTAGGAAAAAAAGCTCATATAATTCTTCGAGTATTTGCAATTGAAAGCTTAATTCTCCAACTTAATCGTATGTGCACATTAATTCTCAAAATTGTTGTTGATGAACAAAGTTTAGACTTAAAAAATTCAACGTCATATTTGTAGTTCGATTACAAATATGAGAAATCCAAAGAATTCCCAAATCTTTTCCCCAAATTAATTATCTAGTGGACGGGCCGGCCCGTTTGGATATCTATTTGCCGTTTACTTTATAACATCTATAAAAGTAAACGGCCCAAATTAAAACCCGGATTCAAACCCGTACCCGTAACCCGATCCGAGTTACAAATTGCCGCCTCACTGATCTCTTTTCTCGGCCAAATTTCAGAATTTCTCCAATCTCTGCAACCATCGGCGATGGATCCTCCTCCACCACGAAACCCTAGTCATGATTCCGAGCCTCCTGAACCAAACACAACATCAATTCCTCAAACCGACGAATCCTCAACGCTAGCCGAAGTATCATCGATGAATCCTCCACCTCCCAGAAACCCTAACCTACCTGATCTAAAGACAACGGAAGAAGTAGTAGAGCCTGAGCCAATGGAGGAATCCAAGGACGATTCCGTCTCTGTAGACGCGAATAAGCCAGTTCGTACCCGAACCGTGAAGCAGAATCCAGTCCCCTACACTATTCCAGAGTGGAGTGGCCCTCCGTCTCACCAATTTCAGCTTGAAGTTCTTAAAGAAGGCGCCATTGTTGACACATTAGACGTGTAAGTAAACTCTTATGAATCTATTGCCCTCTAAAGATTTAGCTTCTGTGAGCAAAAATTTGTGTTCTGGTTCTTGTTAGATTGAGATTGAATTAGGAAGGAAATGGTTGATAATTCGTATTTGTTCTCATTGCAGCTATAAGAAAGGAGCTTACTTGTTTGGACGTGATGGTATCTGTGATTTTGCTCTTGAGCATCCTTCGATTTCTCGGTTTCATGCAGGTGGTTATCTTATTGTTCATATCATGATGTTATTGCTTTTGATTTGGATTACGTCGTTGTAATTGTTTTTGTAATGAATATTGCCAGTTATTCAGTACAAGAGAAGCGGAGCTGCGTATATATTTGATCTTGGAAGCACGCATGGAACTACTGTTAATAAGAATAAGGTGTTTTATTTGTGGATTCAAAATTTGTATTCTCTTGATTGAGCTTTGATAAACTGACTTATGGTCTCTTTTCTATCGGTGTGTTGTGGTTTTTGCAGGTGGATAAAAAGGTTTTTGTGGATTTGCATGTTGGTGATGTTATTCGCTTTGGCGGGTGAGTATATATTTCTGTTAAGCTCGTGATGATTTAGCTTGGTAGCTTTTGCTTTGATTTTTCCTGAGCTCTTTCTTTGTTCTTTTATGTAGTTCGACTCGATTATACATTTTTCAAGGACCCTCAGACTTAATGCCACCGGTAAGTTACACATTTCACTTTACACATTCTAATTCCTTATCTAGAGTATTTTTTTTGGCTTCTACCCTGATGTTCCTGTAATTTACTTGTGGTATTGATTTTTAGGAGAAAGACTTACAATTAATCAGAGAAGCAAAGATGAGAATGGAAATGTCAGAACGAGAAGCTTCACTGCGACGAGCAAGACAGCAAGCATCCATGGCTGATGGTGTTTCATGGGGCATGGGGGAAGATGCTATTGAAGAAGAAGAGGTAATAATGACTATTTTATCTGTAGTGTTGTAGATAAGTGTCTCACTTTTCCAGGATTTTTGAAATCAATATTTCTGACTGACCTTGTTTCTTCTATAATTTGGGCATGAAGGATGATACTGAGGAAATCACGTGGCAAACATATACGGGAGAACTCACTCCAAAGCAAGAAAAAACTAAGGAAAAAGTACTGAAACGGTTGGAGAAGGTTAGTCCTTTCATTCCCAATGAATTTTTTTCGATGCAAAATCATATATTTAGCTGATGCTTCTTAGTGACCTGAGTCTCTATATTTTTCTTTTTTTCGTCTTTCTTTCTCCATTCAGATTCTCATTATAATTTACAGACTGTTCCAACTTTCCTTTATTTATAAATGTTATAGATGTTTTTAGACTACTTCCACTTTGCTTCATCTTTATATGGATGTTTACTTCTGTGTAGATTGGCCATATGAAGAAGGAAGTAGCAGCTATTCGAGCCAAAGACATTTCGCAGGGTGGATTGACACAGGGACAACAAACGCAGATTGCTAGAAATGAGCAGAGAACAGCTGAGGTAACTGCTTTGTTAATCTGAAGTGTTCTTACGACAATCTATTATTTTTGGTTGCATAACTCTTTATCTGATTAGACTTTCCATTTCTATTAAATCTATGATAGCTTCTGGAAGAACTTGAGAATTTGGAAGAGACACTGAATGACAGCATCCGAGAAAGTTTGGGTGCCAAAACAGGGAGAAAACCCCACGGAAAGAAGAAAGGAATGGTAGAAGAAGAGGAAGACTTGTCGAGGTAATCTTTCTCATGGCTCGGCTATTTTTTTCTGTAAGGGATTTTGTGGTATGCTTACCTGTGTTTCAATCAAAGGCTGCTTCAAGTGTAAAACCTCTATATTTACATCTTCATGTAAAACTATAGCTTGTGTCTGTTTTTTTCTGATTCTCATAGGGTAAATCATGTTCTTTTCAGTGATGAAGATGACTTCTATGACCGGACCAAGAAGAAACCATCAACACAGAAAGGCAGCGAAAACCAAACTGTAGAAACTGTTGATTCACTTCTAGATAAGAGAGACAATGTCTTGAAAGAAATAGAAGCAAAGAATGAACAGCTTTTAACAGAGAAGAATAAGATGGAGATAGAGAATGTCACAGAGGTTGCATCAGCAGACTCCCTTGATGCCCTTGATGCATACATGACCGGGCTTTCTACAACACTTGGTAATTTACTTCTTTTTTTTTGTGTCATTTTAATTTATATTTGTGCTTTAGTTCACTTCTAGGAATGTGTCTTACTGATGTCAAGGAATTTTCCTTTTTATTGGTGTCAGTGCAAGATAAAACCGCCCAGATCCAGCAAGAGTTGTCTACTCTTCAGTCGGAATTAAGTAGGATCTTGTACCTTCTAAAGATTGCTGACCCAACTGGAGAAGAGGTTAAGAAAAGAGAGTTGAAGTCACAAGAACCAAAAATAAAGAAATGTGAAACACCTCCTGTAGAAAAGAAGATCAGTATACCTTTAAAACAAGCTGATTCTAATGAGCATAAGGAGAAAGATGTGGCCAAAGATTTAGTGGACTCAGAAAATAAGCCTGAAGTAGAAAAGAAAGCAAGTGAAACAGCTGAAGAGAAGAAGACCACTGTGTATGTTCCATCAAAACCCCAATGGCTCGGTTCGGCTGCAAATAAAGCCACAATTGAAGAGAAAAAACCTGAGATTGTAGCTACTGCTACTGATAGCACAGAGGATGCTGATGGGTTTGTTGACTATAAAGATAGGAAGAGTATTGCTCTAACAACCACAACTGGAATTGAAGGTGCAACAGGATTGATAATAAGAAAACGTAAGCAAGAAAACAAGAGCGAAGAAGAAGATGATGAGTCAAAGGAAAAGCAAGCAGAGGTCATGGCACAAGATGCAGTTGCTCTCTTATTGAAACATTCTGTAGGACATCATGCAAACGAAGAAGACGAAGAACTCAGTAAAAATGAAGAAAGTAAGCAAGGAAGTGGCCATAGTAGAAAGAAGAAGAAGAAGAAGACGGCTAAAAAAGTAGTTGGTCCTGACAAACCAGAATATCTGGATGAAAGCACAGAGTATGATTCATGGGTACCTCCTGCAGGTAAAGTAAAAGAATTGTTTAGAAATACATTATGCATTTTTAATCAAATCCGGTTTTAGCAAAAAGACATTATGGCTAATGAGTAATGTATTAACTTGAAATGTGCAGGACAATCTGGTGATGGACGAACATCTCTGAATGACCGTTTGGGATATTGATCGGCCATCGAGTCCCCAGAGCAAACCATGGGATTGACGGGAAGTCGAAGTGGCTTAAACATCTGTCAAGTTTTGCATCACTCGTCTGGTGATTAGTACTTTGTAAATTCGTACTCTAAACCCAAAGCTTTCCTGATTATTTTTTGTTAACTAAAATTTTACACTTAAATTTCTCATAAATATTATTTTATATTTAGGGTGGGCCAATAAACAATGCTTACGTCTGTTTCTCTCTCTCTCTCTGTGAAAAGTCAAAAGTGAATAAGCCTTTTATCATTTGTTCCATTCATAGAGCTTATCCAAACACATTCTCTCACGACCGTCTCTTATGGCTTCTGCTCGAGCTTGGAGATACAGCGTCTTCCCGAGCTTCCATGGACAAGATACTCGTAAGGCTTTTCTCTCTCATTTACGCAAACAGTTTAACTCATATGGGATTACGATGTTTGATGATCAAGGAATCGAGAGGAGCCAAACCATAGCCCCTGCTCTCGTACGAGCTATTAGAGAATCTAGGATATTGATTGTGGTTCTCTCAAAGAACTATGCTTCTTCGAGTTGGTGCTTGAATGGATTGGTGGAGATATTGAAGTGCAAAAACATAGTGATGCCATCTTCTATGAAGTAGATCCATCTGATGTACGGAAACAGATCAGAGATGCGATCTTCTATGAAGTAGATCCATCTGATGTACGAAAACACCGGAGATTTTGGGAGGGCCTACAAAAAATGTTGTGCAAGTAAAACTAAGGAGGAGAGGCAGAGATGAATCCAAGCTCTCCTCGATGTGGGCAACATAGCTGGAGAAAACTTGCTAAACTGGTTCGTTTGCTTTAGATCAACTAACTTGGCGCTTTGTGTTGAGTTACGCATCACTTTATTATGCATAACTAATATTTTGTCTTCTCTCTTGTTAGGGAAAATGAAGCGGATATGATTGAAAAGATAGCCAAAGATACTTCGGAGAAACTAAATACTACACCCTCTAGGGATTTTGATGGGATAGTGGGACTTAAAGTTCACGTAGAGGAATTAAGATCTCTGCGATACCTTAGGCTGTGATCAAGTGAGGATGGTAGGAATATGTGGCCCTTCAGTAATCGGTAAGACTACCATTGCCCGAGCTATACAAATCCTACTCTCTAGCAATTTTCAGCTAAGTTGTTTTATGGAGAATGTTAGGGGGAAGTCTAAATTGGATTTACAAGTATGGTCTGAAGTTGACGAGTATGGTCTGAAATTGGATTTACAAGAACGCCTTCTTTCAAAGATTCTGAACCAAAAGGGTAGGATAAAGCATTTAGGCGCAATAAGAGATAGGTTACATGACCTGCTTATCATTCTCGATGATGTTGTTCATGGAAGTAGGATTATCGTGACAACATAAGACAAAGATCTTTTGCAGATGTTCTTTTAGACAAAGCTCTCCACCTAATGGGCTTCTAAAGCTTGCAGAACGAGTAACAGAGCTATGTGGTAATCTCCCATTGGGTCTCCATGTTATAGGTTCATTGTTACGCTGGAAGAATGAAGATGAGTGGGAAATTTTAATTCACAGACTAGAAACTAGTCTTGATCGAAATATAGAGGCAGTACTTAGAGTCAGGTACGATAGCTTACATGAAAAAGAGCAAGCTTTATTGCTCCGCATTTCAGTATTCTTTAACAGCAAAGACCGTCATCTCGTGATCGCCATGCTCGCAGACAGTAACTTGGATGTCAGGCATGGGTTGAAAACCAATAAGTCTCTTATACATATATCTACACAAGTTACAACAACAAGTGGATAGACAATCCATTCAAAAACAAGAACCTTGGGAACACCACATCTTAATAGATGCTGAAGGAATATACGATTTCCTTGAAAATAATACAGTAAGTCCTCCACGATCTGAACCTAATCATATGGTGAAAATGAAAAAATCTTACATATTATGCTAACAATTTTTTACATTTGGAATATTTTTCAGGGTACTAGAATCGTGTCAAGGATAACATTTGATATATCCAGACTTGGTGAAATGTCTTTAAGTGAGAGACCTTTTAAACGTGAGAGACCTTTTAAAAGAATGCGTCATCTTCAATTCCTCAGTGTCTTTACGATTACTACATTGGATCGCATATCCGAGGATATAATGGAAATGAAAGAGTGCACATACCGGAGAACATGGAGTTTCCACCTCGTCTAAGGTTACTACATTGGATCGCATATCCGAGGAAAATTCTTTCTCCTACATTTTACTCGGAATAGCTTGTTGAATTTGATATGCAGTATAGCCTGCGATGGGAAGGAACTCAGGTTGGTTATCATAAACTATCTACATATCTTGACGGGAAAGGAGACAGCTAATAACAGAGATTAGTAATAGAATTCGTTTTGATGATCCTCCTCTACTATCTGGTTTACACTCAGCCCCTTACAAATCACAAGAAGATGTCTTTGTCAGGTCATGGTATTTGAAGAAACTTCCGGATCTGTCAAACTGCTACAAATCTCGAAGGATTGGATCTGAGAGCTTGGAAGAATTTATTAGAGCTTCCCTCTTCCTTTTTTATCTGCATAAAAGTATTCAAATATGATGGGATGCAGAAAGCTACGAGTTGTTCCACTGCACATCGTTGAGATCTCTTCAATTGGTCATGTATTGATGCTCACAAGTCAAAGGAGTGTCGCCTTACAAACGCACATTAGCTAAGAGCCTAAGACCACGCGCGTTTTTCGACCCGACGTTTTCGTTTCTAAAAATCCCTTTAATTGTTGCCGTTTCTAATTACTTTACTAAAAATCCAGATACTGATTTGTACCGATCGGTTCTTGGCGTCTTTACTATCGATTGGTTGTTCATCTTGAATCTTCACTTGACTTGACGTTTTAATGATCTATTTCTTCTCTAGAATTTCCTCTTTTCACCTGACATATAAACCTGATAACAAAATCACCTAAAACCATCTTCTTGTTATTGAAAACACTCAAGATTCAGTGTTAAAACAACCCCACAGGGATTCATCACCCACGTGCGCCACTCGATTAGCGCCTAGCAAATTTTTAAACATAGGTCACACCTAATTCGTGAATCCCCTCATAGATCACAACGTGCTAGCTTATCTTTTTATGTACGTACTTTCAATCCTATAAATGAATGATTTAAAACCTAGAAATTGATATCAACTGTTTATATAGTGGAGAAAATTACACGAATCGTTAATCCAAAATTTGAGCTCACTTCTCTATCTAACCTAAAAATGATACTAAAAAGAACGTGATCATATCAATTGATTTGATTATTGTCTCTTTATATATAATCAAACCATGGTCGTTGTCTTTTCATTGTTACACCTACTTCGTGCATCCCCCATCAATCACTATGTACTTTATCTTTCAATTTCCTCATTCTTGTAAGATGTTTAATGGGCTATGGGTGAAAATAGAATTAAGCCCAAAACAATACATAGAGAATGGGGGCAAGTCATAGACTTGAATTAATCAACCATGGTTACTGGGTCAAAAAAGGAAGCATTCATGATCTAATCAAAACTGTATAAATCATTCATATATATATATAACTCAAGTTTCCTTCAAGTTTGATCATTCAGTCAAACTCCAAATTCAATGGCCTCAATAAGCAGCTTAGGTGAAGCTTCCATAGTCATATTTTCCTCTATCATCTTTATCCTTTGTTTCCACCTCTTCAAGAAACCTCATAATAAAGGCTTCCTTAGAAACTGGCCAGTTCTTGGGATGCTTCCTGGTCTGCTCATGGAGTTCCATCGGATCTATGACTTTAGCGTAGAGAATCTCGAGGCGTCTAACTTGACGTTTGCATTCAAGGGCCCGTGGTGTTTTGGAATGGATATGTTGTTCACGGTTGATCAAGAAAATATTCGTCATATAATGAACTCACACTCTTCAAATTACACCAAAGGTCCTGACTTTAAAGAAGTATTTGATGTTCTTGGAGACGGGATACTAACCGCGGACTCGAAGCTATGGAAGAGTCTGAGGAAAGCTTCTAAAGCCATGGTCGACCACCAAGGGTTTCAAAAGTTGTCAATGAGTACCACGAGAAGAAAACTCAATGATGGGCTTGTTCCTCTTTTCAATAAGATAGCGGAGGAAGGAACGGTCGTGGACTTGCAGGACTTGTTCGGGAGGTTCATGTTCGACACAACATTAATGACAGTAAGTGGGTGTGATGATCCTAGATCTCTATCCATTGAAATGTCAGAGGTTGATGAGTTTACTAAAGCTCTCAACAATATAGGAGAAGGGATTATGTATAGGCATGTTAAACCGAAGTTCTTGTGGAAGTTGCAAAGAAGGATTAGATTTGGACAAGAGAAGAAGTTGTCCAAAGCTGACGCCACTTTAAATAGAATGTGTGCAAAACTTATATTAGATAAGAGAGAAGAGATAAGATCACAAGATTTTACTCACAATTTTAATGATGAAGGTGATGATCTTTTGACATCCCACATGAAGCTAGATGCAACCAAGTACGAGCTCTTGAACCCGAACGATGATAAGTTTCTTAGAGACACCATGTTAGCTTTCATTCTAGCGGGGAGAGATACCACTGCTTCTGCTCTCACTTGGTTCTTTTGGCTTTTGTCCGAAAACCCTCAAGTTGTCGCTAACATTCGCCAAGAGATCAATATAAATCTACCAAGAGTAACCACTGGTGGTGATGGTGGCCTAGAGAGGCCGTCTTATGATGTTTCTATAGAGTTCTTGAACAAACTGGTGTATTTACATGGTTCCTTGTATGAAGCAATGAGACTTTACCCGCCGGTTCCATTCGAGCGTTTGTCTCCCGTAAAACAAGATAAGCTTCCAAGTGGGCATGAAGTGGACCCAAGTATGAAGATTTTAATCTTTGTTTACGCGTTGGGGAGGATGAAAGCAGTATGGGGAGACGACGCATTGGAATTCAAGCCGGAGAGATGGGTTTCAATGACAGGAGGGTTGATAAAAGTTCCTTCCACCAAGTTCTTTTCGTTTAATGCGGGTCCAAGAGCTTGCTTGGGTAAGAAGTTAGCTATGACTCAAATGAAGACAGTGGTCGTGGTCCTCGTGGAGATACTACAAAACTATGATATCCAAGTTGTTGAAGGCCAAAAGATTGAACCAGCTCCTGGTCCTATTCTTCGCATGAAGCACGGTCTTCGAGTCACACTTTCTAAACGATGTTCTTCTTAAAATCTATGCTCAGAATGTTTTTTTTTTTTTTTCAATTTTCTATTGCAAAATCATAGCCTAAAAATAAGAATTAAACTCTTATTAGGGCTGAAATTTCCTAAGTTGTAATATTTGATTGATGAAATTAAATGAATGTATTCTTATAGTAATAATCATGAATGAAACGTGACAACCATCATATCTTAAATATGATTGTGCTTTCTTTGTAGCGTTTTATGCGTGCATAGATTTTCTTATCATATAAGAAGACGACATAAAACCATTAGACACTTAATAAAAACGTGGTAAAAACGATCATCTAAGCCACTTACTAACGCAAATCACCATCAAATCTTGGATATTGGTAGTTTGCCAATTCACCCATTATTTTTCTATGTACATTAAAAAAAATCTGCTTATACTGGAATTCATAATAACTTTTATTTTCTATCTTCTGTTTATTTTCATTATATAATATTCGAATAATAAATAAAATTATAAAATAAATTCCTGATTAATTTCCGCTTAATCTCCAAATAAAATCCCCAACTACTTAAAAAGGCTTTACTTGTTTGAAATGATAACATTGGGCCTGAAATTATCCGTTTGAAATGGGCTTTTGAGTCTTTCACATTATTTATCTAATTTTGTTTTTTCACCTTCTCTCGAGATATATCAATATCACAGTCTCTCGCTCGCCGGAGTTTCGTCACTGCGCCATCTCCGGTGTTGATTTCATCGAACAATGAACTCTCCTGGCATCGATGAGCAATTAGAAGCAGACGTATACAGTAACTTACCTTCTCGAAATGATTCTTCAACAGGGAGGAGAAATCGAAGCTCGTGTAGATCGAAACACTCAGAAACAGAGCAACGAAGAAGAAGCAAAATCAATGAAAGGTAATATAAATAAATGTTCAAACTTTGAATTTTTATCCGATTTTCTAAAAAGGGTAACAAGAAAGTTTCCTAATTTGTCAATTTTGGTGGATACAGATTTCAGAGTTTAATGGATATAATACCTCAGAATCAGAATGATCAGAAACGAGATAAAGCTTCTTTCTTATTGGAGGTAGCTTTGAACAGAACATGTGTTTTTTAGTTTTAGATGTTTTTATCATTGCTTTTATATTGTATCAGGTTATAGAGTATATTCACTTTCTACAAGAAAAAGTTCACATGTATGAAGAATCTGATCACCAAATGTGGTATCAATCCCCAACCAAATTGATTCCTTGGGTATATTCATTCTCTTATCTTCTTTTTGCTTAGTGCCTTTTCTTGAGATTTTGTCTATCTATCTTTGGTTGGTTTATTGTGCTAACTGTTTCATCTTTCTTGGTCTTTTTGACAACTGGTTCATGTAACTTTTATGAAGAGAAATAGTCAGGGGTCTGTTGCGGAGCACAATGGTCATCCTCAAATCGTTAATGATAACGTTGCTGCTTCTTCCGGTTTGCTCTCGGCCGTGGATCCTGATATCGAGTCAGCAGTTAATACCAAGATTCTTGAAGACTGTCCTGTTTCAGCAGTTTCATCGTATCTACCAACCGAGCCTTCGCTGCAGTTTGTTCAGCATGACTTTTGGCAACCGAAACCAATCAATTGCAATACAGATGATTTGTTCAACTCAAACGGAAATATATCACCCAGCTTGTCCACTGTCTGTTCACAAAGGTAACTAATATGTAGCTGAAAAAGGTTTTGTTTGTTCCGTAATTTAATTCATGTTTTCGGAAGGAAGTGTGGGTTAGTGTATAGAGTGAAATGACATAGATGCTGTGAACTTAGGAGGCCTTACAGAAATAGGTTTGGCATAACCATAATCCAATGCCTCTCTTTGTGGAATAGTGCTTCTCTTCCTCAATAGGTGGTGACGCCGTTGTGTAAGATCGTAACTGCTATTGTACTTAAAACAGATTTAGGGTTGGAGGAAATTGCAAATGTATATATTTGATTGAAGCTCATACTGGTTTTGGTTTGATTTTTGAACAGGGTACTACACACTCTAACTGAAGCACTTAAGTCATCGGGTGTTAAAATGCCAGAGACCATGATATCTGTGCAGTTAAGCCTTCGGAAAAGAGCAGATTGCGAGTATTCTGTTGCTGCTTTTGCTTCTGAGGTATGCCTGTAACATTTTTACAGTGCAACTGATTCTTAGAATATTTTGCTATGTATTTTATTTTGTATTTTGATGCTATGTATCTTTTTTCATTAGGATAATTGTAATAGCATCGCGGATGTAGAAGGAGATTCTCCTACTGAAACTAGAAGCTTCTGCAGTGATATAGATCACCCCCAGAAGAGAATAAGAAGATAAAAGATCTGGTTTTTTATTTTCTTCTTTATGACCACTGTTTGATAATTTTGTTACTTTCGGCGAGTCAAGTTCAATTCTTTCCAGAGTATCAGTAGGTTTAGATTGGTGTATATAAATGTGAATCACTACTTTTATCGAGCTGAAACTATTCTCATGATTTAGTAAAGACTAAGTAGAAAAATGTAGCAAGTTTCACAAATCCATAACAAGAGATTGCTTTATTTAATGGTACTTTTCAAGTATATGGTCTAATAGATATGTCACTTATTGCCCTTCTCTTTCTTACACTATTAACTGGGGAAATTATTTTGTGCTTGTTGACATGTCTGTATCATGTAGTGCGTTTGATTTGATAGAAAGGAGTCCATGTTTTCTTGAGTCTCAAGCTTGATTTGAGCTAGAGTATCTAGATATATAGATTCAAGAACAGATGCAATATTCTGTAGAAGTTGAAAACTCATCTTTATTCTTTAACCTTATGTAAATATGACTGTCATATACAACATATAGTTCATCTCTCAACTAAATGTTTGGTATGTACATATGATACTCCTTGTTGATTAAGGAGGCTGCTTGTTTGCTGAAGAAGATGAAGCAGGAGGAGGGCCAGGGTTGCGTGGTGGTGGGAAGAACGGGAATGGAGGAAATGGAAAAAACGATGGAGGTGGAGGAGGGGGAGGAGGTGGTGGCGGTGGTGGATGTAAGCCTGGAAAGATCGGTGGCAGTGGAGGAAAGAGAGACCATGGTGGAGGAGGAGTGGGAAGAGGAGGATGAGGCTGAAATGGGTTTGGAGGGAATATCGATGGAGGAGGAGTGGGAGGAGGCTGAGGAGGACGAGGCTGAAACGGGTTTGGAGGGAATATTGATGGAGGAGGAGAAGCTGGAGCTGGAGGAGGCTGAGGAAATATTGGAGGGAATAAGGATGGAGGAGGAGCGGCAGGAGGCTGAGGAGGACGAGGCTGAAATGGGTTTGGAGGGAATATCGATGGAGGAGCAGGAGGTGGCTGAGGAGGACGAGGCTGAAATGGGTTTGGAGGGATTATCGATGGAGGAGCAGGAGGTGGCTGAGGAGGACGAGGCTGAAACGGGTTTGGAGGGAATATCGATGGAGGAGCAGGAGGTGGCTGAGGAGGACGAGGCTGAAACGGGTTTGGAGGGAATATTGACGGAGGAGGAGCAGGAGGTGGATGAGGAAATAATGGAGGAAATATTGATGGAGGAGGAGCGGGAGGTGGCTGAGGAAATAATGGAGGAAATATTGATGGTGGCGGAGGACGAGGCTGAAATGGATTTGGAGGAAATATTGAAGGAGGTGGTGGCCGAAACGGGTTTGGTGGGAAAAACGAAGGTGGCGGCGGCTTAAATGGATTGGGTGGGAAAATCGAAGGTGGTGGCGCAAATGGGTTTGGCGGAAAAATCGAATGTGGTGGCGCAAACGGGTTTGGAGGAAGAATCCATGGATGTGGGAAAAAGAACTTCTTATCTGATGGAACTTTGTTTGAATTTGCTTTGTTTTGCAGGTATCTTGATGATCTCCTCTTTTTGTGTTGATGATTTCTTCTTCTTGCTTGCCTAATATGTTTAAGAATCCGTCGAGTCTTTGCACATCTCACCTCAGAGAAAGGACACAAAACCTGAAATTCTCTGTGATAACCTTTTGTCTCATGTCTAAAACTTGGTTTTTCTTGTCTGCAATCAAGCTCACCTGCACAAATCCACACAAAAGAAGACAAAACTTCTCAGAACAGAAAGGAGAAAAGTTTTTAAAATATACTAAAACCAGTTTTTGGTGATGATACCTGAGACTGAAAAGTGGTTATTGTTGTTACAATGGACAGTGTCAGGTAGAGTTGTAGCAGTAACTGAAGAGTAATTACTGAATGTTATGGTTGAGGCAATGAAGATGAGGATGAGAAGAGAAGACATTTTGGAGCTCTGTTTTTAGAGTTGTTTTGTCTGTGATATTTTATAAGACACATAAACATGTTTCTTCAAAAAGTTTTTTTTGTTCTTTTCTGTCTCGTGATTCGCCATTATTGTTTTCAGTGTTTGGAATACAATGAACAAAATAACAAAAGCTTGGTATTTATCACTTTGTTTATGATATAGTTATTTAATAAGTACTCCAATAATTATGTAATAAGAAAAATTAGTAATTGACTATATCTATAGTTGCTACTAGCTTGAAAACTGTATTCTAATTAAATTTTGATTTGGTAACAACTAATATTCCTGACATAATTCTTCCGATGGTTCCATTTTACCTGAAATAAAGGTTTGTCCAAGTTAAGACCAACATAATCTAATCTTCACGAGAGTTTAATGTTTGAGAGTATTCCACAAAACCCTCACGGTAGTTACTTGTACACAACAAACTATTTCTCAACATTCACATTCAAAGATTGACGCTAAATTAGAAAAACAAAAGCTTACAAAGATTGCAGAAAACTGATTCATATATTAGCTACAAATGTATGAAACACAAATCTCGTGATACAAGACTGATTAAGAGAATCAGAAACACACGGAAATACTTAATAAACCCCACAAAACACAAATGGCGAAACACATGAGTTTCCCGCAATGATTTAAAAACGAAACCTGAGGAACTATATCGACACAAAGAAACGGTTGTTAATAGAGAAGAAGAGTTACCATTTTCTTTACAAATTGCACGTCGAGCTTTCCCACTTTGCAAACATTGTTGTTGAAGATCAGATTCACCAGTGTGTATAATGAGAATTGAGAGCGGAAAATGATGGGTCTTTACGTTCGCAATGATTCTTTATCGTAAAAGGCAAGAAGCTGTTTGACATGGTTTTGCCAAGCTGCAACACTTTGACCATCTACAGTGACCCAATCCACAACTGTAGCTGCAGGCTGTTCCCACCATTCGTCAAGCTGCATTTGAAACACAAACAAAAAATTGGCATTAAGCTTCCAATAGGGAAGGGTGCGAAGAAGAAAAAAAAGGACTAGAAAATGTAAACTTTTTTTGCAAATATGTAGGCAATTGTCAAATGAAAACCTGAATTTTTTTCATATGCAACTTAACTAGTCATAAAGGATATAACAGGTTGAGTAGCAACCGTAATGGCATGTGCTTATGATATGACCATGTCCATGCCAAGAGATGGGGTTTAGCATATTAATCATTAAAAAGGAAGAATAATACTTAAAAGTAGTTCTATACCAAGCCCCTGACGTATTTGCAGTGCTCGGAGGAAGCTTGCGCATTCTGGACTGCAGTCCTAAGTTCAGGCAACCATTGGTCCGATATTGTATTCTCTTGTTCAGAAGCTAGATCTAGGCAGTAGTTAGTTGTTCTGCATACAAGATACATAGTTAGTATAGTGAAAGTTTCATAAGATTACGTGGGGAAATAAATAAGATAATGGTGGCCTGTGTAGACCAGAGTACTGATGAACACGCCTTACCTTTCGTATTTTTGCTGGGCACGGAAAGCATGATCTAACAGAGAATGGCCACTCTCAACTAGATCCTGTCTTATATGGACCAAATCGATTGCCTTTGCTAAGTCTTCTAAAACACATGCTTCAGAACCACGAACCCTTAAGCAGAACTCAAGAGACTCTAACACTGAGGCCAAACTTGCATCTGAACCCTCCAGACCTATTTACGAAGCAGAATAGAGATGATAAGCAAGTCGTACTATGAAGCCACTAAGAATTTTGGTCTATCAAGATTTCTAAGTATATCATATAAAAGTGCTCCATTTTATGTTTAACAACAACAGAAGATCCAAAGCGTGGTCATAATATGCAACTAGTGGCCATCATTAAACCTTTTGGCTATTATAGCATACCTCAATCGACGTAATAGGTAGATGAACTAACAATGGTAAGGAAACATTTTTTTATGTTTGTTTTATGATTTTGCATTGCATTGAAAAAGATTGTCATTCATGAAGCAGTGAACAATAGTTTCGTTATAAAGCTCCTTGAAACTTGGATGGTTCAATGCAAATGAATTTTTTCAAGAGGGATGAACTATACATCCTTGGATTTGTGAAAAAGAGAAGAAAAAAAATCTTACCTGCAGGATATTGAAGGGCAGCAGAAATGCGACATATAGATGGAATTGCTGATGGATCTCTTGCACCGGCTCTTGCCGTTAATAGAGCAGCATTCTTCTCTGCATATGCAACAGCTTCAGGTCCCGTCGATCCATTAGCTCCCATAGACTCCAGAAGTCCCTAATGAAGAAAATGTTCAAGTTCGCTAAGTTGAAAGAAAATGGTCTTCTAACTGCAAGTTCTGTTACACCTATGAGAGCAACAAAATTTTTAACTTGAACCATAAACTCCAAATTTTTCTTATGCTGCATGATTATTTGATTTACAGACCAAAAGAACCTTGAACAGATACCACACTATTCTATATGAAAGTTCTATTGCTTTTATATTATTCAACAAATATCAGTCTTCGATTATGAGTTAAATATACCCTACAAATTAACTGAAATACAATTGTATCACGTAGAAATGGATTGATAAAATACATCAGAATGCCATCTGACAACTTACACACCTGAGGAGTTGCTGGAAGCATATAAAGACTGTTATCAGGACTTTGAAAGAAAGCAGACACTTCTTTCTCAATGAAATCTTTTGCGCTGTTTGAAATGTCAACAACAACTTCACTAGCTGGAATTACAGTGGCTGATGCATATTCCCTTGCAGCTAGTGGTTGTTGATTCCAGAATGCAACAGCATCCTATATAAAAGGAAGGTCATGCTACAGAGTATTACTCATGGTAATTATCACTCAATCAATTTAATGAAAGAATCAGTTGGGATATTACCATGTTGGCCTTGAGAAGAGTTGAATATATGGTTTCAAGTTCGGATCTGCGAGCATCAAATTCCTCAATTTTCTTCCACTTCTTCTTCAAGGAATCTTCAGCTTCTTTTCTTTCTGCACATAATTTATTCAGCCGTTGTATTTCAGATAACAATGTGTTTAAGCTAGCCCTCAAACCAGCAGCTTCTCTTTCCTTTCCCCATACATCCAACTGCAAAGGAAAAATTGATAGCTTGTTCAAGCAAGTATATCAGCATGTATATTAAACATACAATGAACTTCCATGATAACTGATGAATCAGTTATGCAGTGCCTCATACATAACAATTATAAGAATGTTTTGATTGTAAGATTTGTATAGGAACATGATTAGTCTTTATGATTCAAGTGAAAGGTTGAAACTAAAGAAACCAAGGGAATCTGGCATCTACCTCAAATTGCCTAAGATTGCTACCATTCTGTGTTGTGCCTCCAGCAAACGAATGTGTAGCTGCATCAGCACTTCCATGCAAACGGTTAATAAATTTTTGGCATAAATCACGAGCTTCAGCCGCTTTGTTTAGTGCATCTTCAGTAGCCAAAAATTGTTGAACATGCGCTTTCTGAAAAACGTAGCACAGGTGAAAGGTAAGATAGACAGACTTTAAACATATGGCCATACAGTGCAACACATACAAATACAGTACTAGAAGGACAAACGGAATATATCTGTCTAAAGTATTCATTTGCTAAATTTGAAGCATAACTCTGCTTTCTCTATATGTTCATATTAAAAGGAAGAAACCAACAAAACTAGACAAAGAAAGCAACCTGCCGTTCAAGGAGCTGGTTGTTAGATCCCTGGAAATGAGTATCTGTGCCTATCTTCCCATTACCATTAAACTGATAACTCAAAGGCGAGCTCACATCAGAAGAAGAATTGTCTGTTACCCGGTTGTTCTCAAACTTATACCTGTAAATAGATTGACATCCAATTGCTTATGTTAGTCCAAAGCAACCCTGGAACAAAAACTTAAGAAAGCAGAGATGTCTCACTCAGTGAAAACTGAAAACTTGATAGGAGATAGAGATACAATTATCATTGATCAAACATATTTTAAAGAAAGCCCAGGAACCGTTCATATCGACCAGATCAAAATACAAAGAATAAGTACTAATTTGCTATATGAGTTTCATAATCTTCCACTTCAGTGTCAAGAAAATTAGCAAAATAGCATGCAAGGTGCATTTGAGTGAACCACACCCCGCAGAATCAGGAGTGTACAATAACAGAGAAAGGCATAAGAAGGAAATTCAGGAGACACCTTAACATTTCAGCATCCGCTCTGACATCAATCTTCTCCATCTCTCTGGATATCAGGGTCTTAATGCGTAAAGTGTATGCAGCAATAGCCTGAAGCAGCAGAGGAGGACCCCTCAGGGAATTTACTATAACAGTTTTCATCTCATCAGTTATTTCTCCATCATATTCAAAACCCAGCTTGGCTGTTTCCAGCTCAGGATGTGAACAAATTCCATTTCCTTCGTATGCAGGGAAGGAGTTACGGATTCTTTCAATCATGCGTGATGCAAGTAAATCACAAACTATCCTGATATTTCGTTCTCGGGTTGTTTCCATGAGAATAACATCATCCGCAGACTTAGTTCCTTTGACAGTGGAATAAACAGCTTCCCTCTCACTGTTAGCACTGAGGCTGTTTAACACTTCATTCGACGAATTGACAGACCGCTGTGCATCATTTGCTTGATTAACGTAGGCTTGTAGCCTTTTGTGATACTCTGCAAATATTCTTGTTGCTTCGTCGCATTGTTGATCATATGCTTCCAACAATGCTTGCTTGTGTCTGAAAAAAGGAATAAAAAAAAACTCATTTAACAATTTGTAAGATCTACTGAACATAACAGAAACAAAGATTTCCATTAATTGTATCAACAATATCAATGCATTTCAACAGAGTTAAATACTGTTGATAGATCTTCGTGAAGGGGGCAGATAGAACATCAATTTCGCCAAGTACAAATACAAACTTAAGAATGGTTGATGTGGCATATCCATGAAACTAAAGCAACAAACTAGCCTGACGAGATCCCATATACATATTCTTCTAGAGGTATATCGAGATCATTGGAGAATCAAAATAGCAAAAAAGAATACTTCAAGGCTATATATATGTGGCTCCTGAAATCACAGAGAAGGAAATTGAAATACCACCAAAACTCTAACCAGCTAATCATGGTACACATAAAGACTATACTTAGAATGGTTCAGTTGAGGACATGACACTAATGATAGTAACGCAAAACCACAACATGAGAAAGTATTAAATGAGCTTGAGCTGACTGGTGCAGGTATTTTCTATAGTAGTCTTTTACAACTGAGGCGCAATGTATTAAAATACTGTGTTCAAAATTAAGATTCAAATCATACCTGTAATTTGCTCTTTCGTCAAGCATCCTCTTCCGTTCTGCTTCTTCTCTAGAGACCTCCAACATTCGAGCTTTCAAATCTTTTCTTTGCCTCCTCACTATGTTCCTCAACCTCTCCACTTCCTTTGCAGCTAATTCCCTTTCCTGCAATGCAGCCTCTCTATCCTCTGCATAACTCGAACTCTCCCCAGACACTGTCTTTTCCTTCCGTCTTCCTTTACCCTTACTCTCCTCCTTCCCAGGATTCACAGAACTCCCAATGCTAGCGTTACTACTTCCTCCATGAACCGTAATGTTCCGCCTAATTCTCTCCACTGTCTTCTCCGATTTCACTCGGTTTATCAAAAAATTCCAAATAGGTATCATATTCCCTCTACAAATCTTCCTTATAGCATCAATAGAAGGAACATGAGATTTGCTCGATCCATTATACGGACCTAATTGCCTATACCCCATTTCCTTCTGTAACCATTCTAATATCGCCTCCGGTGTCGGAGCTGAGCTCGATAAACTCTGCATTCTCTCTACAACTACAATACCTAACTCAATCCCTCAAATCTTCATGAAACTTCCGAAATTTCTACTCACACTTCGCATCTTTTCTTCAAATCCAAATCAATCAGAACAGAAACGTAGCGAAATATATAGGCTACTCAAATCGAGCGAAAACAGGAGTACATAGACGCGTTTAACCTAAACAATTCGCGAAATGCAGCAACTATCGAGCGAATTGAATAATCCGATGAACACAGCGAACGGAGGAAGAAGTAGACGAACAGATCTGGGAATCCCGAAGACTAATCTCGCCGGTTCCGGTGACGGAGAGAGATAAATTGTGACGGAGAAACGGATCTGGATAGAGAGATTTCAAAATTTAGGTCCCGCTTGTTTATTGGATTTTTCAATTAAAGGAATCAACTCGAAATTTTTCTGCAAGTGTCGTCGACTGTTGAAAGTTGGAACTGGGTAATAACCGGGTCGGATTCGGGTATTAGGTGAATCCGGGTCGGATTCGGGTATTTAAGTCTCACAGGGTTGAATTAGTTACTATCAAAACATTATGGGGCAAAATTTAAAATTATAACCAAACATTTAGGGTTGAAATTGAATTTATATAGAATCAAAGGGACGGTTTCCGAAACTTTCTCGATCAAAAACCCCCAGCTTACTAGGGTTTTGTTTGACTCTCTCAAATCGGAAGTTTTGAAACTATGACGACGGAGCTAGTAACGCCGGGAGATGTAATCGGGAAAGCAACCGAGTTTAAAGCCGGAAAAGGAGCTTATGTTAACGACACCACCATCTACGCTTCTCTCACAGGAACTCGTCGGATTGTTTCTCCTCTTCCCGAATCACTTGACCAGGTTCGACTTTGTTCCATTGATTTGGTTCATCTTTTACATTGATTTGGATCGCTGAATCCTCTGGGAAAAAATCGTTGGATTGTGTAGTTTCTATTTGTAATTGAAAATCGGATGTGTTATTGTCGAGTTTCTTTGAGATTATGTGATTTTAGTCAATGCAAATGAAATTGCTCATTCATAGCTCCTTGTTTGTTGTGGTTGGATCATAAAAATGGTAAGCAGAGAGCTATTGTGGAAGTTACGGGTCACAAGGCGCATGGTCCAATTCCGGGGACGGGTTCTGTTGTCATAGCAAGAGTGAGTCCTGCACTTATTTCATTGAATTCTTTGATGTTCATACTCAAAAAGACGTATTTTTGATCTCTAATTCTCTGGTGTTCGTGATAGGTGACTAAAGTTATGGCTCGGATGGCTGCTGTTAATATCATGTGTGTTGGTTCAAAGGCCGTTCGTGAAAATTTTGCCGGCGTAATCAGGTAAATTTCTCGTCCTACTTTGGCGCTTATTTTCAAGGTTTGTTCTTTTCTGTGTCGATTAAACTTGTGTTTACTCTTTTACAGGCAACAAGATGTTAGAGCAACAGAGATTGATAAAGTTGACATGCATCAGTCTTTTCGTGCAGGTGACATTGTTAGAGCTATGGTTGTATCCTTGCCCTTATGTTTCACACTTAGGTTTTTTTTACATTGCTTATAGAGGAAAGACATTTCTAAGATTTGTTACATTATGCCCTTCATTTTCTCTTTTTACTTACACATCTTGTTATATAGTTTAATTCGAATGTAGCGTAGGTGTAGTCTATAATAATATATGATGTTTTGGGTGATAATATCTGAAGTTACCTTAACTTGGACTCTTAAAGCTGTCTCTTGGTGATGCACGGGCTTACTATTTGTCAACTGCTAAGAATGAACTTGGTGTGGTCTCAGCAGAAAGTGCTGCAGGTACATTTTTTTCCCACTCTTAGAAACTAAAGAACGGGTAATGAAGGCAAGATTGTTAAATTTATAGATAATCTGTCACATATCAAAGTGTAATACATTTCCAACTTGTAGTTCTCATTATGGAATTATGAGTACCAACCATTTTCATCATGGAATTGGAGTATGTTAAATGTGTAGATGCATTTGCTTCTTTGGGCAGTTTATACTTTATGAAGTTAATTTCCGTTTGAGTAATCGAAAAGTTTCTGTGGTCTGGTGATTGTGCAGGCGAAACAATGGTTCCAATAAGTTGGACAGAGATGCAGTGCCCCTTGTCAGGCCAAACGGAGCAGAGAAAAGTTGCCAAGGTGGGTAATTGAATTCAAGACAACACTTGGCTTCTCTCACATAATGTGGTGTGCACTCTGCAACAAGACAGACAATTTGAGATTTTTACAATTTTGAGCTCGTGTTGTTTGGTTATATCAAGTGTAGAGATATGTTTAGAGCAACTTGACCTGATTCCTTCATCAAAGTGGGCATATTCAGGATACTATTATTAATTAGAGGATACTCACAAGTTCTTAATCTCAGATTTTGTTGTTAGAGACTTTCAAATTCACAACATAAGAACGCGTTTTTTGCTTTGTAAAAGAAATCATTTGATTTAGAGTTTTAACACAAATTCATAACTCCAATCATATGGAGACGGTAGGTTTAGCTCGAATCAACAACACCCCTACCAGAGTCAGAGTGTGTGATATTTTGATAATTAAAAAAAGTATGGATCAAATTAAAATAGCGTAAACATTTAGGGTCAAAATTAAATATATGTAAAAATAAAGGGACGGTTACGGAAACTTTCTGTTTTATTTCCTGGTTAAATTTCGACCAAAAGGGCTATGGATCAAAAAGGTAGAAGAAGACAAAGACGAGAGAGAAAGGATCGCTATTATTCTGGAAAATTATTTTGCACTTTTTCGACGAACAGATTAATACCGGAAAATCTTCTATCAAGAATTAGTCAACAGATTATAATACCGGAAAATTCCAGGTTTTTCTCATTGATTTTTTCTCTTGCTTCTGGATTTTCTCAGGTCCCTATCACAACTCATCGATTCCTCTGTTTTTTCTTCATTTTTAAAAAAATTGTATTTGATGATCAAAGGATTTGGATACTGATCATTTCATGTTGATCGATGAGCTTACTTATGATCCTTCAAGTTTTGGTTTTTGTGGGTTTAATCGGATTGATGGTTTTTATCTAAAAGGTTGATGCTTTTGTTCGTACATTAAACAATGAATCTTGTAAAAAGCTGAGCTTTTTTGAGGTTTTGGAATCATTTTGTTGCATTGTTTTGTGATGTGTATTAGCTAATTTCTTCTAGTGATTCATTTGGTTTTTGAAATGTAAAATTTTTATCTGTTTCTCTTACAGGTAGTTCAACTGTGTAGGAACAAGAGTTTTACTTTACATCAAGAAGAGAGAGGATTCTGTTTTGCGGGAGTTAGTGAAAATCTTCTGTGAAATTGGCTTCCTCTCTCATTCTCTGTGAAATTTGAAAACTTGAGGCTTGAAGTTTTGATTTTGAAGATATGGGTGCTTTCTGTTGTTGCTTTCAAGTTGATCTCTTTGAGAGTTATGTCAATCCAAACACTTCAATGACTAGAAACTGTCCTTGCCTAAATTGCTTCCTCCAGAGTTTCATGGATTTGGTATCTTCTTCTTCTCCTTCGTCTTTGAATCATGTACTCCTTTGTAGTGGATTACCAATGATACGGTTTTCGGTTTTGTTGAAACTTACGTTCTATCTTTTTTGCAGTATGCGTCATTGTTTAATAGAGGGGGCATGCATCCAATACCTTCAACTGTTGAGACTGCTACAGTGATGAATTCAACAACTGCACTCGATGACTCTCTATCTAGTGTGTATCATTCTCCTCCAACACCATTGCCTTACGATGCTGATCCTAGGTACTTTCGTTTTGTTAAGGGCTCTGGCCATTCAGGTGAAGAATCAGAACCATTAAGAGGTGATACTGAAATGAGTTCTGAAGCTTTGGGTGGTGGTGGAGCCAAATGGAGTAAGTCTGATTGCGAAGATGGTTCGAAAGAAGCATATTCAAAAGGTTCATCAACCATTGCAAAGTCGAAAACAATGCCGGGGATTGAAAGTTATTATGCAGAATCGGATGATGAAGATATTTGTCCAACCTGCCTTGATGGTAAAATTCACTTTGAACCCACTATATGCAGGTTTTTTGGCTTATTACCGCGTGATAAAGAGTGTGTTAGGTTGTTAGTAGATCTTTATAAGCTGCTTTCTCTGCTTTATTGGTTTCATTTCTTTATTTAATGCAGTCCTGAGCAATTAGGCCACTAATAGTCTTTAGTTCTTTAGGATAGTTTACATCAAATTTTTCGTAGAATGAAACTACGTAGATAAAGCAATCGTTTGTGAGTGCTTTGAGGTAATTTTGGTTTCAGTATTCTTTGTTTTACGATGTGCAGATTACACTCCGGAGAATCCAAAGATAATCACCAAGTGTTCTCACCATTTCCACCTTAGCTGTATTTATGAATGGATGGAGAGAAGTGAAACTTGCCCCGTCTGTGGAAAGGTAACTCGTCGCTTTCTACAAAACTTTAAAACCCAGATTTGGTCGAATGTTCCATCAATCTCCTTCATAGATATTAAAAGTGCATCAATTTGTATAAGAAATTGTTATCTCCATTTTAAGCATTTACATTTATTACATACATGAATGGAGTGGTCCATTTCTCATACTATTCTTGGTCATATAAGAGAACCATGACCTAATTTCTTCAATCTAATCTTTCAGGTGATGGCATTTGATGAAAATGAAACTTCTTAGCATTGTAATAAAGACTTGCTCAAAGAACATAAAGGAGAGTTGAGTCTTGCTCAATAGAATAAACAGAGAGAAATCACCTGTACATAAAACTTCTGTGAATATCCAGATGCCTTTTAACAGTAAATATGTGACGTCTCTTAATGTTATAGACTCGTATATCTCTATATACATTTATAAGCAAGACAATGATTGGAAGGAAAAATAGTTTGAATCATTCAAGAATTTGTTATCTAGAACATTGTTTTGAGATCAGAGCAAGAAGAAGAAGAAGAATATTTGAAATCAACTTCTCTGAATTATTAGACAAAACCATCACAGAACAAATCTGTTTTAGTAATTTATTACACCAACTTCTTGAAAAGTCAATAACTAAAGTTCAAACAACAGAAACAGACAATCTCCATAGATGTAAAACTTCAACAACTCTTGAGTTTTGGTGTTTCAAGCTGAGGCCGCTTTAAACGCACTCTGGAATGTCTCGGGCGGTTGCGCACCACTCAATTTCACCTTCCCGTTGATCTGAACAAACAGTACAAGTAAGGATACAAGACTAAGACTATGGACACATTAAAAATGGCGGTCTGTTTCACTCTAACTAGAGCATTGCCATGATCTTATAAAGGAAACTGATCTGTAGCGCGAAAACTTACAGTGTAATTTGGAACTCCGGTGATATTTCGCGAATACTTTGCCAGTTCTTCTTTCACCTTTCATTATATAAAAGTTCAAAACATATCATTCAACAATCAACATTATACTAAAGAAAATAACTCTAATGATCACATGATTCAGAATACACACCTCTGTGAGTCCATTGTTGGGGTCTGAGAGGAATTCTTCTGTTCCTTCTATCCCAACCTTTTTAGCCGTCTCAACCAAGAACTCCCTGAATTCATCCAAAACGATACCGAGTTTTTATGTCCAGTTCACATCTAAGGATACTTAACGCTAACCGATGAAATTTTTGAGGACAAGAGCTTTGTGATAAATACCTGTCACCGATGAACTTTCCCTGCGTGAAGTAACCGATAAACAATTCCTCAACAAGCTTATGTTGTTTTTCCGGCGCTTGTTTACCGGTATAATGTATAAGTCTATGACTATCCAGACTGTTGCCTCTGTTCTCATCAACAAAACATTTAGAAGAAAGAAAAAAGACAAAAGAAATCTCTCTTCTTGATTGATAAAAGAAAACTCTTGGTGCTTACGTGAGACCGGCTGTGTCAAACTCTAAGCCAAGACCTTTAAAGATCTGTAATGAATCAAACATTATCTCAAGATTCTCTCAACAAGAACATAAACTATGTTAAAGAATCGGTATGTGTTAAACCTCGGACATTCTGGCGAACATTCCTTCATATCTGTTTCCATATTTCTGTCTATAAAACTCTTTCTTACTCACACCGTCTTTCGGTGCAGATGGATCAAGGAAAAACGGACGCCATCGAATCTACATTATTTTTCGAGAGATGAATACCGTAAGCATCTCAATTGTTCTCCAAGTAAATAAAATAAAGAGAAGTGAGAGAGAGGTAACCTCAAAGTTGTATTGATCTTTAGATGCTTCAATGGCTTTGTCAAGATTCTTCTTGCCCACAAAGCACCATGGACACACCGAATCCGAGCTCACATCAATCTGAATAAGCTTTCTTGAACCGGTGTTGCTTGCAGACTCGGCCATTATGAGTGTTCCTAACCAATTTCAGTCACAATTCAGAAATCAAATTAAAGAATTCAAGAATCCATTAAACTCATAAAATCAACAAAAACAAGACAGACTTGATCTTCAATTTAAGACAACAAAGGAACTTCTAGATTGGAAATCAAATTTGACAATTCAAGAATTTATTACACTCATAAACTGAACAAAAACATGATCTCCAATATCAGGTGGTTCAAAGTGTTCAAATAACATAATTGTTCACATCAAAAGGATCATCTCAAAACTTGCCTCTGAAAAATCTTAAGATTGGACTCTCCAGGATTTTTGGACACGTAGACAAAAACTTATGAATTTGATTAATCTGCAACATCAAACTTTCTCAAATCCACCCTATTTTCAAATCTTTAATCAAACAAGAAATTGAAAAATTCAGCTCTTCAAAATTCTCCAAGAAATGAGCTTTAATTTCTAGTTTATTTAGATAAAAAACTCTTAAGATTAGAAGAACAATACATGTCCTAATTGTACAAATCTAAGCATATGTGTAATATATAATCGAAAATGTGTTCTTGGTTTACCTGGAAAAAGATTGGTGGAAGAAGATCGTGAATCCTCTAATGGAGAGAGAAGTCAAAAGATACTCATATAATCACCAACCATGCATGATGATATATCCCAAACTTTTCTACATTTTTCTTGCATATACTTTGACTAGTAACCCGTATGAAAAATATTTTCAACATCTCTTGCATCTTTTTTTGACTAATAATCTGTATAAAAATGATGATTTAAAATTTAGTTAAAATGATTTTAGCTTTCTATCAAATGGCCCATTAGCTCAGTTGGTTAGAGCGTCGTGCTAATAACGCGAAGGTCGCAGGTTCGAAACCTGCATGGGCCATTATGTTTTCTTTTGTTTTTCTTTTTTGTCATGAAGTAGTTGTAATGATAATGTTTTTGCCAGGATTAGCTAGATTGTTATCTCTTTTAATTTATCCATTACACTCTCTTTTTTCATTTTGGACAAGTCTTTTAACAATGTAATTTGACCAAGTACTTTTTAAAGAAGACAAGCTTTCTTTTTGATAATAAAGAAGACAAGTCTTTCTAGTTTCTACAATGTAAATTGACTATGCCCATGAGTATCATCATTATGATATTCAAATATGATCTGTCATATGTTTTTGATGCGTTTTCCTATTTTGTGTTTGCTTAATTAATTTCCTTAACTTTTGATTAATAGATGCCGTACAAAAATATAGCATATTAGAAAATTATATAGCAACATTAGTCGACAACATTAAGAATATATAACACATAAAATGTATGACAAGGTCTTGTGGCTGAATAGTATATATGGGTCAATGTTGTTGTTGAGTCATAACCTAACTTCAAATTCAATTGTGTTACACTAATACGCGCGGTTATATACGCACAAAAAAAAAAATCTATGTACGTAGTGACCTCTAGGAGACTAGGACAACTTAAGAAAAGTAGAACAATACTATATATCAATGACCTCTATAGAAACTTTTTAAATCGATGGATCTTAATCTTACATGCGCTTGGCAGTTGAACCATTGTGGCATTGTTATAAGTGTTTCATTGTGGACCGGCTCTGCATGGATTCAACTAGAGAAAATCAATTTAGGTTTTTTATGTGTTGGTTGATATAGTCGTACGTGTTTTATCATGTAAAGAAACAATCAAACAAAACTTTTTATTTATTTATACATTTTATCAGATTTCAACAAATTCACATTGACCTTTTGTTCGAGTCAATGAATAGCAGCAAGTGTGATAAATGACAAGTTGACCGAAGATTAATTCAACAAAACCAACAACTAATGTGTACGTACTATTGCTTACGGGTGAGCAATCACGTTTACAATTTGGTTTATGTTTGGCAACAATTAATGTACACTTGCAGACTTGCTTAGGGGTGAGCAATGTTTGTTTGATGTTCGGTAAGAATCTTTGACAAAGCCTTAATTGAAGTGTATATCCGTTATTCTTTTTGTTTGTTTTTGTCATATGTGACATCATCATAAAAAAAATATTTGACTAATCATATTATGATGTAGGTGCCCCAAAATTTTTCTGAAATTATTTAGACTACCAGCCAAATATGCGATTACGATAAATAGCTTCCATGAATAATGATTCAGCGACGCAACTCTCCCTGCAATACTTTGATCCACGACATACCGTTCTACATACGACTATGTTTACGGTGTACTCTGGAACCTTTGATAAACTTTGCACCAATAATTTGTAAGAAATTGCGTTATGTAGGATTCAAACCCTACACCTGGTGTAGAAGCCTTTTAAACCCATGACCAATGGGTCAAAGATGTTTCCAACCGTTTACCTTGTGCAATAAAAAATAATTTTATATTTTAAATAACCCTTAAATTATCTTGTTTGCTTGGTTTAATTTTATGTTTGCTTTTTTGTCTTTGATATTATTATTTTTCTTATGTTTGTTCATAGCTCAAATAACCGACCACAACAATATTAAGTAAAACAACCTTCCCGAGCATGGCGCCGACAACACCTTTAAAGATTATTAGAGTGAACAAGTGTAATTCATAACAAGTTGAGGAAGAATTATTAAACACAACTTTGATACGTATAACTTGTTAATCACCAACACTTGCCATTTCAAACTTCAAATGCATCATATTTCATTGATATATATATATATATATAATTTTTTTATTCCAATCTTACGTGTTTCAATATAAATATTATCACCATAAACATAGTTTGTGGAGGGAACACAATTTAGATAATTTTTTACCCATTTCAAACATCAATTTCATCATTTACACGGACTAGTTCTACTCCTAAACTTGTATATAAACTGAGATCTATGTCTCATAAGTTTATCATCTCTCCATTAAAACCTAAACGAAAACCTCTCCTCTCTTCGAAGAATTTCTTCAACTAATATATATAACCATGAAAAGTCTCTCATTTCTTGCAGTTCTATCTCTCTTGGCTATTACACTTTCATTAACCAAGGCTTCGGACCCTAGCCCTCTTCAGGACTTCTGCGTCGCGGTCGACACCCCAGCTTATGGTGGTATGTATATGTTCACTCCCTAATCATTTTTAACTTGTGTGATTTCGGGTAAATAATAGAGAAAACGTTAAACATCGTGAAGCGAATACATTTTGTCTAAGGTCTCTTTTATTAATATGATAATAAACTTTACAAACCTTAGACTCCTTATATATATATGGTTCAACAACCCAACACAAAAAGAGTAGAAAGTCTTTAGATTAAACATAACTATTAATTAATGTACTTTTTTAATAAATGTAATCGATATAGGAGAAAACATTACGTTCTAACAATCTTTTTATTTGGGTATAATGTTTAGTATTTGTGAACGGAAAGTTCTGCAAGGACCCGAAGCTGGTCACAGTAGATGACTTCTTTATCTCAGGGATTAACAAACCAAGAACACCTAATCCAACAACTGGGTCTATTGTGACACCCGTCAATGTTAACCAGATTCCAGGGTTAAACACCCTTGGAATCTCCATTGTCCGTATTGATTATGCAATAAACGGACAGAACCCACCTCACACCCATCCACGTGCCTCCGAGATCTTGTATGTTGCGGATGGAACACTTTTAGTTGGTTTTGTCACGTCAAACACAGACAATCGCCTCTTTACTAAAGTACTCTACGAGGGTGATGTATTTGTGTTTCCAGAGGGACTCATTCATTTCCAAGCCAACGTTGGGAAATATCCCGCGGTTGCATTCGCTGGTCTGAGCAGCCAAAACCCAGGGGTCATCACTATTGCCGACACCGTGTTTGGGTCTAACCCACCAATAGACCCGAATGTTCTTGCAACGGCGTTCCAGTTGGATGCTAGGACTGTCATGGATCTACAGACCAAGTTCAAAAAATAATAATATTGTGCATTGAATTGCTTTCATTTTATGTACCTTCAGCTAAATAAGGATCTTGTATTATCCGCTTATCATAACATGGCATGATTTTAGTCATTGCTTTTACCTTGATATAATTCTAAATAAATATATATGTTTATAAAAAAAGATTCGTGTTTTAAATTTGGAAATCCACGAAAAATAATTTTGTGATGAATTTACGATCACTAAATTATGTTATTAATTAATCGAGTCGTACGACTTTGTTACAACAAATTTACCCACATTTGTGAAGAATAAGTGTCCTACAAGGCTAAAATATATCTATATTAAAGTCTCTAGCTCATCGATCGAGAGGTTTCACCTTGAGGAGTTAAGGAAGAAGACTATTATGGTTTTAGCATCGGAATTTTTTTTTGGTATCAATGTATAAGTATGTGCATGAGAAGTTCTTACTCGGTTTTAAACCAATTTAGGTGTTGTTCGTTTCGAATAAAGGCTAAACCAAACAATACGATGTATAATTGTAGATAGATAGAGCACTGTCCCTCTTTGGGATTGGCAAGAAAATGAGATATTTCTTGAGGAAAGCATTAACCCCACATTAAATAAAGGGTAAAGCTTGAGACTTTCGCTTCAAGTGGGGTTAAAGGTTTCCAACACAAAAGCATGAGCATAAGGAAACGAAAATTAATTTAGATTTTAGAACAACAACAAACAAGATGCGGGCTCATGTAGCTAGAGCTAAATATCGTAAAACATAATTGAACATACAGAAAGTTTTGTTGTAATTCTTTAAATTAAACAAAGGTATTTTAGATAGTTTTTTTATTTTTGGCTGAACTTGTTGTAGCCGAACGCACCTTTTGGACTCAGCCAGAATTTTTGCATTTTCAAGATGATTTTTATAAAATTCATCCAACTCCATCTAATTGCTCCGTAAAATTATCAAAAACGAACATATCTATCATCTGCATTCAGATGGATCATCTTGATGAATCATCTGACTGGATCATCTAGATGATATATCCAAATGTACAAACGAACATGACTCACTTACTTTGATGTTTATTTATCTTCTTCTCTCCTAGTTCAACTTGTATCGAAAGAGAGATAATAAGCATTGAGAGAGAAAAATCCAAATCTTGAGAGTGCATAGCTAAGAATCAAGTTGATTCGGATTCTCTTCCACGATGCATATATAGGGATCAATTGCTGGACTTTTGAAATCTCTTTGTGCAATTTCAAAATCGTCCTTCGCCCTCCTTTTTGTTACCAAAGATCTTTCACAAAAAATATATTTTGTTTAACAAGGTAGACTCTTCCTAAATAATTTAACAAGCTAGACTCTTCCTAAATATCACTGATGATTTAAAGAAGTTAATTTATTGTCGGAACGCCTTTCCACATTTTCGGATTATTTCAAGTATGAACTTACATTGAGGTTCTTCTGCAGTTCTGCTTTGGGAAAAAAACTAATATCATATCTTAATAACATATGCATGAGAAAGAAAATAATACTCTCTCGAGTAACCTAATGTCATTTAGCATATCATCCATTTCCGTGGTACGGGTATTAGCAATAGAACTTCCATACATTAATAAATAAGTGAATCGATAGTCGCAAATATTTCTTTGTATTTTCCATTGATTAAAACTTAATACAAAAGTAAATTGATGTGTCACATTAATAGAGCTAAGGCAGAATTCAAATACTGTATGCTTATTGGTCATAAATTTATTTTTGCAAGATTAATTGGTGCGGAGTACATGATACATCTCATAAGTGGTAAGAATATTATCTTATATTAACCTTCCAGATGCAAATGTTGATTGGGTCTACAAGATTAATCTTGGGAGAATTTTTCTAAACTTTGAACATAAGATTTTTATTCAACATTACTAAAACTTATAGAGCATAACTAGCTCATGACATTTTCCGTGACCTGTCATTCTTGAGAATAAGAAATATATTTGTCTCATTTAGACTTTTAGTCTTTCATCCAAATAAATATTCGGATTTAAAAAATCATTTTCTGGAGAAACCAAATGTTTTATGTTGATGTCAAAAACCGCTACATATAGAAAATAATGTTGTCATACCATTTGGTCATCAAATCATGTAAAACCTCAGCATATGTCATATCCTTTGTTGAAATTATGTTCATATCACAAGTTATGAACAGTTAAATATGATTCAAATACAATCACAAATCTGTTCGATTAGTTAGCGAGAACAACCTCTGAAAATATTTGGTGGCAATAACTGCATTGATCTCTTTTGAACTTGGCAATAATCTTTACAATGTAATTTAACCACAGTACCATGAGTATATTAACATGCATGATCTCATATCCTGATTTGTTTTCCTAATTTCTGCTAAGTGGCTTAGGTCTAAAGGAACATTTATCTCGTTTACAATTAAACTTTTTAGCCAACAAAGAAGAAAGTCAAAGACTAAAGAGAGTAAACTATTCTCCAAAAAATAACTACTTATATATATTTGGTTGATACAGTCGTGTCTTATCATCTAGAAAAATTAAATAAAACCCAACACGTTCACATTGACCATTAATTTGTTCAAGTCAGTAAAATAAAATGACAAATTGAGGGAAGAATCATTCAACAAACTTAACCTTTAACGAATAATATGTTGAACTATATATAATATAATGTATTATCGCTAACACATGCCATTTCAAACTTCAGGTGCATCGTGTTTTGTTGGAGAAATATCAATTTCATTATTTAACTGATTGGATTTGCAAGTGTATAGACTAGTTCAACATGTAAACTCATCTATAAATGGAGGTCTATATGTCTCATAAGTTTCTTACCTCTTCACTACAATCTAATTCAAGAAAACAAAAAACCTTCCTCTCTTCGAAGAATCTCTATATGGCGATGAAGAGTCTCTCATTTCTAGTAGTTCTATCTCTCTTGGCTATAACACTTCCATTAGCCATTGCTTCTGATCCAAGCCCTCTTCAAGACTTTTGTGTCAGCGCCAACACCTCAGCAGATGGAGGTACGTACATATAGAATTCCTAATCATTTTACTCTTATTTTTGATATTTTTTCTCATTTCTTAATAACACTCTATCTTTTTATGTTCAGTTTTTGTTAATGGAAAGTTCTGCAAGGACCCGAAGCTCGTCACTGAGGATGATTTCTTTTTCCCCGGGCTTCACAATGCTAGACCTGTAACTAGTCCAGTTGGTTCAACCGTGACAGCAGTCAATGTTAACAACCTTCTAGGGTTAAACACTCTTGGAATCTCCCTTGTCCGTATTGATTATGCGGTTAACGGACAAAACCCACCTCACACCCACCCACGTGCCACCGAGATCTTGGTTGTCGCGGAAGGAACACTTCTAGTTGGGTTTGTAACGTCAAACCCCGATAATCGCCTCTTCACTAAAACACTCAATGCGGGTGATGTATTTGTGTTTCCAGAGGGACTTATCCATTTCCAAGCAAACATTGGCAAGGCACCAGCGGTTGCATTCGCCGCTCTAAGCAGCCAAAACCCTGGTGTCATCACTATTGCTAACACTGTGTTTGGGTCTAACCCAGCCATAAACCCAAGTATTCTTGCAAGGGCGTTCCAGTTGGACCCTAGGATTGTCGTGGATCTACAGAACAAGTTCAAGAAATAATAATATCGTGCTTTGAATTGCTTTCATTTTATGTACCTCCAACTGAATAAGGATCTTGTATTATCCGCTTATCATTACATGGCATGAATGTTAGTCATTGCTTTTACCTTGATCAAACTCTAAATAAATTAATATTTTTATGTTTTTAGAAATCGATTCATGTTCCTAATGTCATTTTGGAAATTCACGACTGCAAATTATCTCTATTCTGATGGAGTTTTCTTCAACAAAAAAAAAAATCTATATTCATTCCTAAATTAATATATTATAGTCTGTAGCTCATTAATAGGTTTCGCCTTCAGAATCTTTTACCAAAAAAAAGAAAGAAAGAGGTTTCGCCTTGAGGAGTCAAGGACGAAGACTCTAATCTTTTAGCTAAATGTTGATGGGTTTGACAAAACCAACAATTAGTGGACCTATATGGGCCTGACGAAAATTGCATAAAGAGAGAAGAACAAAAGTGGCCCATCACATACACATATATATCTCTACGTGAGATAAAGAGGAAGTGGTGGTAGGTGAGAGACAAGACATAAGAGAGTTCTAGAGAAAGAGAAGAAAAGAGGGTTCTTCTTCAAGAAGCTTTCTCCATCTTTGTTCTTTGTCTTTGATCTTTGTTCTTCTTGAGATTGTATCTGAAACCAAAAGACAACATCACAAGTTAAGTGGTGTTTGTAACCTCATTCTCGTAGTGAAAGTTGGGAGCAAGAGTCCTCCCCCGAGACGTAGCGGTTAAGCCGTGAACTCGGTTATCAATTTGTTTGTGTTTGTTTCTTTCACAAGTCACCGTTCAAATCTCTTAATTTCTCTACACTAAAGAAGTTAATTAAAGACGAGTCACGTGCCTAGGAAGTTCTTACTCGGTTTTAACCAACTAATTAACTTGATTTGATTTTTGTTTAGTCTTTTCTTCTTCGTCTTGTTTGTTCAATTTGTATCAAAAGAGAGAGGAAAAAATCAAGAGTTCAAAATCTAGTGGATTATCTTCTTTCACTCGAACGAAAAAAAAAAAAATTCGCTTCCACTTTAGTCACATTTTTATCTCAATTTTTTGAGAAACCAAAAAAAAACCAGGGGCTAAAAATGTTTTATCTTGGGCCCAAATAATTAATTGGGCCGACGACTATGCTTTGGATCCCCAATATTATAGGGCCTATAATTAAAAGGGAAACGACGTATATATAGTTGTTGCCGATGATAAGATATATTTTTGATTTTGTCACACTTACTATTTTCTGCATTAACGATTTGTCAAACAAGAATATGTAGAACCATGTATTTATTATAAAACATTTTGGTTTTACTCGAAAGTATGTAATGTTCTTTACATGTTAAAACGTAAAACAAAAAAATTTTGGAATGAAATCATAATGATGAATATAAGCGGAGAATTCATGGGTGAGACTCATATTTTTGGCTAGTGCTCGACGATGGATTTAACTAGAACCGATATATCTGAAAACATTATTTATATCTTAATTATCTCTATACTATTCCCAGCATCCACTTATATATATCTGGTTTATATAGTCGTGTCTTATCATCTAAGAAACAATCAAACAAAACCCCGACACGTTCAAATTTTAACCTTGACCTTTTGTTTGACTCAGTGAAATAAATGACAAATTGGGGGAAGAATTATTCAACAAACTAAACATTTAGCATATAATTTGCTGAACTATGTATATATTATCGCTAACACTTGCCATTTCAAACTTCAAGTGCATCATGTTTCGTTGGAGATATTATATATATATACTTTTTAATTTGAATTTTCAATTAAACATAATGGGTTGATAAAAAAAAATACTTTAACCATTTCAAATATCAAGTTCATTATTTAATTTCTTGGATTAGTTCAACACGTAAACTCATCTATAAATTGAAGTCTATGTCTCATAAGTTTCTTATCTCTTCACTACAATCTTATTCAAGAAACAAAAACCCTTCCTCTCTCTCTTTTATGGCAATGAAGAGTCTCTCATTTCTTGCAGTGCTCTCTCTCTTGGCTTTAACACTTCCATTGGCCATTGCTTCTGATCCAAGCCAACTTCAAGACTTTTGTGTCAGCGCCAACACCTCAGCAAATGGTGGTATGTACATGATGATTGCAAATCACTTTTACTCATATTTTTAGTAAATTTTCTCATATCTTAGTAACACTCTTTCTTCTTGGTTACTATTTTCAGTTTTTGTTAATGGAAAATTCTGCAAGGACCCGAAGCTCGTCACAGCAGATGACTTCTTTTTCGGAGGGCTCCAAACTGCAAGACCCATAACTAGTCCAGTTGGGTCTACCGTGACAGCCGTCAATGTTAACAACCTTCTTGGGCTAAATACTCTTGGAATCTCCCTTGTCCGTATTGATTATGCGGTTAACGGACAGAACCCACCTCACACCCACCCCCGTGCCACGGAGATCTTGGTTGTCGAACTAGGAACAATTCTCGTAGGGTTTGTCACATCAAACCCGGATAATCGCCTCTTCACTAAAGTTCTCAACGAGGGTGATGTATTTGTGTTTCCAGAGGGACTCATCCATTTCCAAGCAAACATTGGCAAGGCACCAGCGGTTGCATTCGCCGCTCTAAGCAGCCAAAACCCTGGTGTCATCACTATTGCCAACACCGTGTTTGGGGCTAACCCAGCCATAGACCCAACTATTCTTGCAAAGGCTTTCCAGTTGGACCCAAGGGTTGTCGTGGATCTACAGACCAAGTTCAAGAAATAATAATATTGTGATTTGAATTGCTTTCCCTTTATGTACTTGTGCATGAATAAAGATCTTGTATTTCCGTTCATCGTATCATCATGACATGATGTCTTTCTTTGCTTTTACCTTGATTCAATTCTAAATAAAGTAACATTTGTATTTTTCAGAAATGGATTCATGTTACTAATGTCATTTTTAAAAACTCACGACAAGTTATATCTATTCTGATGGAGTTTTCTTTAACAAAAAATACATCTTCATTCCAAAATATATTAAAGTCTCTAGCTCATTAAGAGGTTCCGCCTTGAGAATCCTCTAACATAAAAAAGGAGAGATGTTTCGCCTTAATGAATTGAGGGTACTACATCGATGGCAAGTAGCTCAAGAGTATGGGATTCAATTGATATTGGTGTTATGATAAGGTAATAAAATTGAATTGAGATTTTTACTTTTTAATAGAGATGTGATTATAAAGATGAAGAAGAGTACGTGGTGGACTAGACAGAGGCGGCTAAAAGTACATGGTGATATTGGACAGAAACTTAGGGGGTGTTATTGGTTTATTGATTTGTAAATCCATATAGGATTTGAAAATCTTTAGTAATTATGAAATCAAGACATATGAATTTTAAAATAACATGTGTTTACCCATGAATTTAAATCCTTCTATTTTTCTCTTTCAAATCCATTCAAATCCATTTAAAACATAATTAATTTGGATTTTGAAATCCAAAATCAAATGACTAAACGAATAACATAGGATTTTAACTAATATTTATAAATCTTAAAACCAATAACACATGATTTTAATTAGGATTTTAAAATCAATGATTGAATAACAAATGAACCAATAACCCCCTCTAAACTTATGGGTAATATGAGTTGAATGGCTTGAAGCAAAATTAAAGAAAAGGAAAACAAAATTTCGCTTTCTCTATAAAAAACAAATTTTTTTTTTTGTCTTACGATTAATCGGTTTTATAAAAAAAAGAAAACCACATAAAAACCTTATACAATTCGGTTTGGTTCGATTTTGGTTATTTTTGGTTTATTCCATAATTTTTTCAAAAAATAAAAAACATTAAATTTTTTTATTAAATTGTATCATTTTTTATTTAGATCAATGAAACCATGAGTACATTCCAACATACTTCACCAATTAGATGTTAACAATTTTATTATAAAATATATCATCTTCCAAAGATTTTTCTTTTTTCTTTTCTAATAGGAATTATAAACTTTCTAAAACAAATGTCATTAGATTGAGAAAATTTATTCATGTAGCTTTTATTACCAAGAAAAGGAAAAACATATTGCAAAAAAAGCCGAATGGCTTTATGGTTTTAAATTAAACCGAACTGAAACCAATTTACAGTAAAAGCTCTATAAATTAATAATGTTGGGACCATGATAATTTATTAATTTATAGTGATATTAATTTATCTATAAATTAATAATTATTTAATTTATACTGTAAATTAATATTTATTAATTTATAGAGAGTTTTTTTTTTAATTTTTAAAACTTTTTTAAAAAATATGAGAAAAAATAATTTGATCTAAATAAAAGACTAAAAGTAATGCTTTGGATGCTATAACTTTGGTAATTTTAGACTTGAATAATTAATATTTAGAAGAAAGATAATTTTTCTAAAACAATAATAACCAAGATTATAGATAAATTCACATATACAAAAATATGTAACATAGTGACTTCAACTGTTGTATTTGAACGGTCTATACGATTATTCAAATAAAAATTATACTTATTTAAATTTTGAAAACATACATAAGTTAGCTATTTTATGAATAGAAATTCATTTTTAAAAACTACTAAAAATATATTATCTTTATATATATATAATTTCACATGATTATTAATTTATGATATTATTGAGACCATATTTTTACATAGGGATTTGAAAAAAATTATTATCTTATTATCTTATCGAATTTGGTTAATTTTTACACTGGCCCGACTTGGGACCAGCAAAATTTATTATTTTATCGTATTTATTAATTTATCGAGTATTAATTTATAGAGGTTTAACTGTATTTTATATATTTGTAGCCGAACAGTTTTTGGAAAAAAACCGAAACCAAAATGAATCACTGGTTCAACTTTTTGATGAGGTTTCTGCCCACCCCTAATTTATCACTAGAGACTTACGTTTATAATTTATTTTTATTTATAAAATAAATTTTAAAAGAAGAAATACAAAGTATAAAAAAATAAATATTTATAACTCTAATAAACAAAAAAATTGATCAACAAAAATATTCAATGTTAATTTAAAAAATAAAATAAAGAGAAAGCCCGCTTGTAGAGCGGATACTCACCTAGTCTTATATAATATGAAAATGTTTTTTTCTAATTTTGCCTAACATTGCAACATTTGATATTCTATTTTTGTGACACATGTACTCTTG